ATAAAAGTCCTTCCTTCCTGCTCTACAGTTGCTCTACAGTACATTTTCTTTCTTTCTTTCTTTCTTTCTTTCTTTCTTTCTTTCTTTCTTTCTTTCTTTCTTTCTTTCTTTCTTTCTTTCTTTCTTTCTTTCTTTCTTTCTTTCTTTCTTTCTTTCTTTCTTTCTTTCTTTCTTTCTTTCTTTCTTTCTTGTGTCCTTACAGAATAATTTAAAGCAATACTATACAGTACATATGCAGCAGCATATATTCACACGTACTGTATATAGTCACCGTACAAAAAAGTAGAATATTTGTTTTCACAGTTGCCATTTTCTGTGAATTTCTTCAAAAACAAATGACCAAATGAAACATATTTTTCCCAATTGTCTGGTGCTCCTGTTTCTTTTCTCTCCCAATGCTGAAATACCACTTTGTGAAATTACAGTACAATTTTCAAAAGTAGACACAGGCAGTCAGCAATATAGAAATAGAATGAATAGAACGGGCTTGGAAGCTCTAACCCTGGTAAACTCAAGGGTACACTCGCAATGGCTGTCTGGTATTGTGATGCAATCATTTCCATGGGTGATTTGGAATGCTCTATCAACTGATGCTGGATTGCCATAGTAATCTAGAATGTTCATTTAAATGATGCTAACTGATGTGGCTCATGAAATGGAATGTATTGTTGTAATGTCAGTTGAGTTGACTCAACATATCACAGCACAGATTGAAGTGAAGGGTACACTTCCTGCTTTTACTTCCTGGCATGAGTCTAGGTTGAAGGAGACAAAGGTTAAGACAAGAGGGTTCTAATATCCCTTTGCAACAATGGGGCCAGCTACTGTATGCTAGTAAACAACGGCTCTGGTAGCCTAGCGGTTAGCGCGTTGGGCCAGTAACCGAAAGGTGAAAAAGGTGAAAAATCTGTTAATGTGCCCTTGAGCAAGGCCATTTAACCCTAGTTTGGTCCATATGTGCCATACTACTATGGCTGATCCTGTAAAACTGTAAAAAATAAATTATAATCATAACTTGTCCTAACCTTTTATCTTCATCCTAGGCATGGGTACACTCAAAATGGCTGCCAGTCCACCCGTTAATGCCATAATTGACTTGAATAGGGACGTCCGTTTTCATTCTATTTCTATGATTGGCGATGCATGTGCATAGCCTCAGCAACAATGGAGTGCTGGCCTTGGTGATGGTTGCTAGGCAATGGAGGAAATACAATGGCCTCCTTGGAAACTAAAGGCCCTTAAGTGGACTAAAAGGAACGAAATCACACAAAAAATGTATTGATGAGGAAAAACAGTGATGCTGTGCACCTTAGAGTAGACATAGAACAACATATTGCTGTGTTGTAGCACATGGGGGAGACAGGAAAGAGTAGGTACCCGTGCAACATAAGTTGGACTTGAATTCTAGTTCCACACGGAACCTTATGGCTTAGGTTCCATGTTGGCTAGACTTATTAATCAATCAATCAATAAATCAAACATACTAATCAATCTAATAATCATTAAATGTCTGGCTAGCTCTTGCGTTCTGTCTGTCTGTGATTCATGTTAGATGTCTCTTGATTGACTAACATTTCTTAGTCTAGATGTGGTTATTGCAATAACAACAATCAGTGTACAAATAGGGGCTACCAGTGTAAATGTCAGTTGTTTAAAGAAAATAGAAATATGGAGTTGGTTGTCACTGTTGTGTAATCAGTTACTTCCTCTAGGACTGGATGAACCAATTGATCCACACACAAGACATTTAATGATCCTTGTGTGTTTTAGACAGGCATTGACGATGTGTACATGTGAAGGGGCTGAGGCTAGTGTGTAGCAGGCTTTATACATATAGATGTTGGGTTTGGCTACAAAATGGAAGCAAATTAGAGAGCGGTCTTAAAAACAGCAGCAGTCCACTTGGGCTTGACAATAGTGCTTCTGCTGTAAAATATTGTTATTTTGTGCGTCTAGATGAAACAGGTGCACTTTGCAAGTGGTTGACAGCGGGAAAAGAGTATTCATAGCACAGCATGTCTTTTTAGGAGATAGTTTGTTGTCCCCTAATGAAAATATGAAGAGTTCTCTCATTTAATGAAGTTGTATGCAACTGCAAAATAACCCCATTATATGTCCATTGTCATGAATATATCGAATTGCCTCAATTGCAATCAAACATCCATTATTATCACACAACAAAGCCTACAGGGTTTTTTCTAGATTAAAAAGGAGCTTAGGTGATGAGCGTGGCAGGAAGCGTGGCAATGGGTGTGGTCGGCCCGTCGGCGCGGCTGAATTCATTCCGGTCCCTTGGATAGAACATTTTAGAGGCCCCATAAAGCTAATTTCCTGCAATTCTACACATTTTGCCATGGAGCTAAGAGAAAATGTTGCAGTTTTGAAGCTAATTTCCTGCGATTAAACATATTCTGCATTGGAGCTGAAAGTATTTCACTGTTTTAACCTCTTAAGGCCCAAGCTGTTTTTTTACATGCATTTTTTATTTCTCTTTGCTATTTGGGCTTATTGGAACCTAATTAGAATAAAAACTAAGTATCATCTTTTGATATGATGTACTTTTAGAGAAAAATGATGTCCACATATGTGGATTCATGGTCCGAATTTCCATAAAACACAATAAAGTCACCTTTGTGTAATAGAATGAAAAACTCTTCATTTCTGCCTTGAACACAGCAGTTTTTTTCCTGACTGTTTCTTAATGTATTAATAACACATACACATATTTTTTGAACATGTTTTGACTATCGGAGAGTAAAAATAATATGGAAACATTGCATTTTTGCCCATTTTGGACAGTTAAAAATAGTGTTTGGAACATTTGATATGCTGCAAAATAGTTGCAGGATGACATTGTATGTCTGTAACAAAATATAATTTACATGTGCACATTTTTACTAGCATATTACATTTTTACTAACATTTTCAACACAACTAATTTAAGTATGTATGTATGTATTTAGTGATTTAATTGTTATTTATTTCATTGGGACCATGTACAGCTTTTTAGCTGCATCAGAGCTAGCTTTTTTCCCATTTTACGTGTGTGCATGTTTACAAGCATATTAGCTGTTTCGAGGAGCCTCAGTCCATAAGTACACTTACGTGTACTTCATGTTTAGCGACCTACAAAGTTGCTAGTTTTACACTTTTTTTTCAAATTTGCATGTCATGACAAATATACAAGGCTTTTATAAATATCTAAATCAGAATAAGCCATGAAATTGTGGACATAAGAGCTAAAAAGTGCTGTCCACGTATGTGACCACTAAGCCCTAGGAGGTTAAATCTAATTTCCTGCAATTCAATGCATTTTGCCATGGCTTTTAATGCTGTGTTCTAATGCTCAAACATAATACAAAAATCTATACTCCTGAATTCATAGTTTTGGGTATTTTCAATTCTCCCTGACTGTCTAGCTTTCATTTTGGTGAGTTAGCTCTCCGTTATATTATGCAAAATATATAGGCCCATTATCTTTTCTACATAGTTTATACCTGGTTTTCGTCGATTAAGTTTACACTGAAAGTGTTTTTCCATCCGGAAAATGTATTTCTAAAAACAGTGTTTGGCCGGTATGAAAAAAGTAAAATAAGTAAAATTATAATTTAAAGTTACAATTAATAAATTGTTTTTCAATCCACAACCAGACTGCATTATATGCACTGCACATTCGACATCATAGCATGATACATTGTGGACGTCTGTAGGCGTAAACTAGGGGTAAACACACTAAAATGAAGGAGCACACTGACCTTCTATGACCAAACCATAAACTCAACTCAAAGATTCTAAGAACTATAATGTCCTATTTCTCTAAAAATGCTCCTCCTCCTTGCAAATTAAATGTAATCTCTCTCCCATCTCTGTGCAGTCTGTTGTGGAGAAACTGAAGCACCCATTCCAAAACAACACTGTTATTTGCTCCTCCGGGGCCCGACCCCTGAAGTGTTCTACTCAGTTAGAGCTCCTAATGCAGATTCCATTTCAGTAGCTATTAGGCATCCTCTCTCTCTACCAGACCTATCTATTGGATATACATTCTGCTGCCCTCCTCCATCCCCCCCCCCCCATCCCTCCATCCCACCCCATCCCTCCATCCCACCCCTGGGAAGCCCTGCAAACTGCTTATTCAACAATCGCTTACCATAAATATATGTAATGACATTTCGGAGGCAAAGAGGCCTGTGTGGTTTTTAATTCATATTTAATGGCTGTCAGGCTAAATAGCTAACCCACTATCCTAAATGGGAGCTGCTCTGCCACTCCCCTCCACTCAGGACTGATAGCTGTCTGCACTGCTGCTCCTCATGGCGCTCTCTCTTCCATCCTTGTTCTCTAGTCGAAACAGAGTAGTACACTCTTAGAAAAAAGGATTCCAAAAGGGTTCTTCGGCTGTCCCCATAGGAGAACCCTTTTTGGTTCCAGGTAGAACCCTTTTCGGTTCCAGGTAAAACTCTTTTGGGTTCCATGTAGAACCCTCTGTGTAAGGTTTCTAAATGGAAATCAAAAGGGTTCTACCTGGAACCAAAATGGTTCTACCTGGAACCAAAAAGGGTTCTTCATAGGGTTCTCCTATGGGGACAGCCAAAGAACCCTTTTAGGTTCTAGATAGCACCTTTTTTTCTAAGAGTGTAGCTTGATCCCTTACTTAGGTTGTGTTAAAAACAGCCATCTGAGTAGATCAGCCTAAGCAGCGATGATGCTACAAATGACCATTGTAACAGTTCAAATTAGTAGGACTGATTCTATACTACAGATAGAACAGTTGAATAAATGTGACCATCCTCAGACAATGTACATCATAGAAAAGATACAAGATTAATTCAATCTGCAGACAGTCTGTGACAGAAAAACAGACAAACATCCCCCCAAAATACGAGACAGCAGGAAATAATCGGTAGCACATTTTTAGATGTCCAGATATTTGATCTAATCTGACGATATTGACAAATAGAAGTAGGCCTACATTGCTTTGCCCAGACCTCTGAGGACAGCCAATGACCGATCAGTGCAACAATACACACTGTGATATAAAACGGTATCCTAAAGCCAAGAAGAGCGGTAAGTCATCACAAACAAAGAGCAGGGGTGGGTTAAAAAAAACATCATCATAATCACTACTACAAATATTGATGCACGCCCAGCTTCTTCTTTTTTTTCAGAGTTGGGCTCAGGCGCTGAAATGTAAATAAATCTACCAGGGCAAGGAGCTGGAGGCTCGTGTTACCACTACTAACAGTCAAGAGCCTTTTCATGCTGCCCAGGAGGGCCATTCCTGTAACGCTAGCACACTAGAGAGGCCCACAAATCATCTCTCTCTATGCCTCTACTTCTCTCTCTCTCTCTCTCTCTCTCTCTCTCTCTCTCTCTCTCTCTCTCTCTCTCTCTCTCTCTCTCTCTCTTCTTCTCTCTCTCTTCCTCTCTCCCTCCTCATTCTCTCGCTCTATCCCGCTCTGTCTCTTGCTTTCTCACTTTCCATTTCTCTCACTCTCCTCTTTCATCCCTTTTCTTTTTTGTTTCTATTCAGTTATTTTTTATTATTAATCTTCACCCACCCCCTGCCCATGCCCCTTCTACTATCTTATTCTCCTCCTCTCCTTCACCCTCTCTTTATACACTCCACTCTAACACAGTTGCTTACTTGCCTGAGAATAACACATTAGACGAAAGACAACCATACTAAATGTAGTATTGTGTAGTACACATGCATGTAGAAAGAAGGCGGTGGGGTTGTGCTCTGTCCCTCATCATACACTATCGTCTTGTCATCTTATCTCCAGTAGTTAGACAAACAGGTTGAAGCTGCTCATTGATGAGCGATGACACTATCTCTGTCCCTGATCAATGCTGGGCTCAGCCTCTATCGATCTGTCTGCATGGCGGGATAGAGCTTTTCTAGTTCTGCCCAACACAGGCCAAGTGGGTCACATGGGTCGCGACCACTGTTTGGACAGATCCTAGGAGAGGTTAATAACCATGGCAGAACAACAAACACACAATAGGGAAGGGTTATATCAATGTTCATTCAATATGTTTCTTCATTATTTCTTCAGCAGATGGTGAAATATAATTTTATTTTACATTGACCTACAAACTGAAGAGCTTTGAGAAAACATCAAGACCGTGTGATAATAGTTCACATTTTACAAGAAATTGTGCAAAATATGACTTAATCTGATTTCATTTATGTGGAGCAGTCAGTCCTCAGCTTTATACAGTAGCAGTGTCCTAAGTACTCATAGATGAGGGGTAGCGCTTCCCTTTTCTGGAACCATTCCAAACCACCCCCTAGACCCTATCCCAGATCCTTGGTAATACCCTCCTGTCAGATCCATGAGAGTGAATCAACATGGGGCCCTAAGGGCATGGGGCTGGAGATTGGTTTGGTATTGGGCCTTTATCTCTGACATCTCCTGTCCCAGGATGAGTTGGTAGCGCACTCAACAGTCATACACTCGCTGTTCCCATTATCAAGTCCAAGTGCCTTTTTTCTGTATCGCTTTTTTTCTATGGTTGGCTTTGTTTTCCACTGTGGCAGATCTCTATCAGATGTTTGGAGTTGATTTAGCTCCTGAATCAGAGCATCAATCAACAGTAATTACTGTCAGGCTTCCGGTGGGCCAACCCTCACACCCATATGGACCCGGCCCATCCATCCTGGCCAATTGGCAGCTTTATAGCCCCATATAAGACCCTCTCTGTCACCCGGTGGGCTGGGGCCTGTGTGAAAGTGGGACTCTAACAATGAAATGCATTTGACATGTGATTGAGGCATTGAGCCCCAAGGTTGGGCACTCTATTCAACGCCTCACTGCCAGTGCCAATTTACAGTATTCACAGTCTGCCAGTCATTTTGTCTACTGTGGATTATCTGCTGTCTGCTTCTTTCTCTATCATAGATAGAACCATATTGAATCAATGATAATGCAAAAGCGAGTTTGTACTGGTGCGAGATTTGATGCTTTACAATAGACATCATGCTGAATGATTCATCAATATTCTCCATTCTTATGTTGATCAGAAGTCTCATTGTATCGTGATCAGGTTAATGGAACTACACTAGTGCATGGGATGTGTGTGTTTGTCAAGACCAGGAGAGAGCAATGTGAAGCCTCAGTGGGCGTCAGTCCCAGGTGACTCCAGTCTGTTCCTGCCAGGATACTTGGTGCGTGACTTGAAATGAGCTGCAGTGGCTCCCCCTGGGCCCTGTAATGACAGCTGACCCATTCTGATCACATTGCTCAGCTCAGGCCGGCCAGTTCTTACATAGACTGACCTCCTATTCGATTGCTCGGAAAATACATGCTTATTTCCACCCTTACTTGAAGTAATCACTGAGCTGACATGTCTGGATTGGGTGAAAGCAATGCAATGGGAGCCTTGCTCTCACCTATCCAATCATGTTAGATAAATCATTGCGTCAGAGAACATCAAGAGGAAGTCTATGCTAAAGACATTGTTGCAAACTTACAGAGTATCCAACATACAGAATATCAAAAATGTGCAGTGAAAGACCGATTACAGTACGAAATCTGTTGCTCCAGTTACATGGTTCATATTCATGTTATGAAATTCTTACCTCAAAAATAAATCATGAAATGAATCAATATATGATTTAATCAATGTTATCCGTAGGTTAGTAATTACTTATCCCATTGATAAATGAAACTACTCTGACACTGAATAATCAATGTGGTACATGCTTGTAATTTTCCCTCAATATGTTTCTCTGAAATATGGACCTTTCCTATAACTATTTATGAGTGTTGTGTGCTTTGCTGTACTGCCCTGCTTAAAACAATTGCACTATGTTTGTGTGTGTGTGTTCATGTGCAGTCATGAGTGCTGTAAGTCTCTCCTTGTGTCTAATTCAGTTATAGAGTGTGCTGCTGCTCACCCCAGGGCACAACTCTCCAGCTAAAATACATTAGTAATGACGCTTCCAAAGAGAGATCTGGAGATCTGGGCCGAGGAATCAATAGAATGAGGGGAAAATATATAACAAACTGTAAGGAGAGCACTTATATCTTATTGAATATAAACAGTAACTATCAGAGGGGTCCGGTGGGTTGGGATTTTGATAGGTTAAAAAAGATTAGGGAATAGGTTAAACGTATATATAGCAGTACAATAACACAATATTGGATTGAGATGCAAATGCTTTAGATGGTAAGATTAGAAGTGTTTGATTACTGCGTTTTGGGACATAACAGGTCTCTCTTGTAAAATCAATTTTCAATGTGAAATGGATCATCTTAATAAATAAATGATAAATGATTTGGTTCTTATCTAAATGTATTTTCAGAATAGATTAGAATGGGTTGAAAACATCTCTGTTTATTTGAAAGCAGCACCAAGGTTAATCAGTGAGAGAACATATTGTCTGTCGATGGGAGGCAGTTGGCCTTGGACCTAAAAATGTGAGTTCAAATCAAATTTTATTTGTCACATGCTTCGTAAACAACCAGTGAAATGCTTACTTACGGGTCCTTCCCAACAATGCAGAGAGAAAGAAAACAGATAAATAATAAAAAGTAAAACATGTAATAATAAAAGTAATAATAAATACACAGTGAGTAACGATAACTTGGCTATATACACGGGGTACTAGTACCGAGTCAATGTATAGTAGTACGAGGTAATTGAAGTAGATATATACATATAACTAGGATTATTACCTAATCATCTACTTACACTTAAAGCCCATCCAAATCTGTTATCTTTCATTGATTTAATTTGGTGACAGCTACCAACTTTGTGTCAATACATAACATACATGTTTTCAATGCAAATTGACTTTACTATTACATTTACATTTACATTTACGTCATGTAGCAGACGCTCTTATCCAGAGCGACTTACAAATTGGTGCATTCACCTTATAGCCAGTGGGATAACCACTTTACAATATGTTATTTTTTTTATTTATTTTTTGGGTGGGGTAGAAGGATTACTTTATCCTATCCCAGGTATTCCTTAAAGAGGTGGGGTTTCAAGTGTCTCCGGAAGGTGGTGAGTGACTCCGCTGTCCTGGCGTCGTGAGGGAGCTTGTTCCACCATTGGGGTGCCAGAGCAGCGAACAGTTTTGACTGGGCTGTGCGGGAACTGTGCTTCCGCAGAGGTAGGGGGGCCAGCATGCCAGAGGTGGATGAACGCAATGCCCTCGTTTGGGTGTAGGGACTGATCAGAGCCTGAAGGTACGGAGGTGCAGTTCCCCTCACAGCTCCGTAGGCAAGCACCATGGTCTTGTAGCAGATGCGAGCTTCAACTGGAAGCCAGTGGTATGTGCGGAGGAGCGGGGTGACGTGAGAGAACTTGGGAAGGTTGAACACCAGACGGGCTGCGGCATTCTGGATGAGTTGTAGGGGTTTAATGGCACAGGCAGGGAGCCCAGCCAACAGCGAGTTGCAGTAATCCAGACGGGAGATGACAAGTGCCTGGATTAGGACCTGTGCCGCTTCCTGTGTAAGGCAGGGTCGTACTCTCCGAATGTTGTAGAGCATGAACCTACAGGATCGGGTCACCGCCTTGCTGTTAGCGGAGAAAGACAGGGTGGTGTCCAGGGTCACACCAAGGCTCTTCGCACTCTGGGAGGAGGACACAACGGAGTTGTCAACCGTGATGGCGAGATCATGGAACTGGCAGTCATTCCCCGGGAGAAAGAGCAGCTCCGTCTTGCCGAGGTTCAGCTTGAGGTGGTGATCCGTCATCCACACTGATATGTCTGCCAGACATGCAGAGATGCGATTCGCCACCTGGTTATCAGAAGGGGAAAAGTATTTGTAGAGGTTATTTTCTATTCACATTGGCTTATTGGTTGCTATTGCCTATTCAAGAGTTACCGGAGGGGGTCGCAGTTCCGGAGCGACCCACTAGGTGTCATCCTCCGACAACCTTAGGCACCTCCTCACTCACAGTCGGGACTAATCATCATCCTATTGGTGTCACCTGTGTCTATCAGATCGCCTGTGTATTAATGCCCTCACTTCCCTGTGTTCCCTTGCTCAGTTTTCTCTGCTGGTTTCTCTATGTCCAGCAGTACTACTCAATGTCTGATCGGAGATCTACAGTTGAAGTCGGAAGTTTACATACACTTAGGTTGGAGTCATTAAAACTCGTTTTTCAACCACTCCACAAATTTCTTGTTAACAAACTATAGTTTTGGCAAGTCGGTTAGGACATCTACTTTGTGCATGACACAAGTAATTTTTCCAACAATTGTTTACAGACAGATTATTTCACTTATAATTCACTGTTTCACAATTCCAGTGGGTCAGAAGTTTACATACACTAAGTTGACTGTGCCTTTAAACAGCTTGGAAAATTCCAGAAAATGATGTCATGGCTTTAGAAGCTTATGATAGGCTAATTAAAATCATTTGAGTCAATTGGAGGTGTACCTGTGGATGTATTTCAAGGCCTACCTTCAAACTCAGTGCCTCTTTGCTTGACATCATGGGAAAATCAAAAGAAATCAGCCAAGACCTCAGAAAAACAATTGTAGACCTCCACAAGTCTGGTTCATCCTTGGGAGCAATTTCCAAATGCCTGAAGGTACCACGTTCATCTGTACAAACAATAGTACGCAAGTATAAACACCATGGGACCACGCAGCCGTCATACCGCACAGGAAGGAGATGCATTCTGTCTCCTAGAGATGAATGTACTTTGTTGCGAAAAGTGCAAATCATCCCACCGCAAATGTCCTTGTGAAGATGCTGGAGGAAACAGGTACAAAAGTATCTATATCCACAGTAAAACAAGTCCTATATTGACATAACCTGAAAGGCCGCTCAGCAAGGAAGAAGCCACTGCTCCAAAACCGCCATAAAAAAGCCAGACTATGGTTTGCAACTGGACATGGGGACAAAGATTGTACTTTTTGGAGAAATGTCCTCTGGTCTGATGAAACAAAAATATAACTGTTTGGCCATAATGACCATCGTTATGTTTGGAGGAAAAGGGGGAAGGCTTGCAAGCCAAAGAACACCATCCCAACCGTGATGCACGGGGGTGGCAGCATCATGCTGTGGGGGTGCTTTGCTGCAGGAGGGACTGGTGCACTTCACAAAATAGATGGCATCATGAGGAAGGAAAATTATGTGGATATATTGAAGCAACATCTCAAGACATCAGTCAGGAAGTTAAAGCTTGGTCGCAAATGGGTCTTCCAAATGGACAATGACCCCAAGCATACTTCCAAAGTTGTGGCAAAATGGCTTAAGGACAACAAAGTCAAGGTATTGGAGTGGCCATCACAAAGCCCTGACCTCAATCCAATAGAACATTTGTGGGCATAACTGAAAAAGCGTGTGCGAGCAAGGAGGCCTACAAACCTAACACAGTTACACCAGCTCTGTCAGGAGGAATGGGCCAAAATTCACCCAACTTATTGTGGGAAGCTTGTGGAAGGCTACCCGAAACGTTTGACCCAAGTTAAACAATTTAAAGGCAATGCTACCAAATACTAATTGAGTGTATGTGTCACGGATTCAGCCGAGGCTGCCCCTCCTCCTTGCTCGGGCAGGCTTCGGCGTTCGTCGTCACCGGAGTACTAGCTGCTACCGATCCATGTATCTATGTTCGACTTGTTTTGTCTTAATTGGTCACACCTGTTTCCCATTATGTAGTTATGTCTTCCCTATTTAACCCTCTGTCTCACACTGTGTGTTGTGCGTGTTTGTTCATGTTTTGGTTGTCGTTAGTGTGCGGGTTTGTTTCCTCCCTGCGTGGAGGTTGTTGTTCATTCTTTTACCTACGAGTAAAGTACGCCTTTTGATTAGCTCTGTGTCCTGCGCCTGACTTTGCCAACCGCTTTACACTGACGCCTTGACAGAAACATGCACCATCTACATGGAGTCAGCAGGTACAGCTATGCCAGCCGGATCGATGGAGGAACGCGTCCAACAACAAGCGGCCATGATCCAGGCTCTCGGCACTACTATGGAACGAGTAGTGAATACTATGGAGCAATGGGAGAGAGGAGGTATCCCTATACCTCCTCCGATTACACCACCACCTACACCAATCGCTTCACCCTCTGGGTCCAGTGGGATTCGGCTCTCGCTCCCGAGGGCTTATGACGGTACAGCTGCCGCGTGTCAGGGTTTTCTGCTCCAGGTAGAGCTCTACCTGGCAACCATCCACCATCCAAGAGCGTGTCCGCCCTCATCTCCTGTCTGTCCGGTAAAGGGCTGGAGTGGGCCAACGCCGAGTGGGGGGGAATAGACGCCGCAACTGTAAGCTATGCAGAGTTTACCCGCCGCTTTAGGGCGGTATTCGATCATCCACCAGAGGGGAGAGCGGCGGGTGAGCGTCTATTCCACCTCAGACAGGGGAAGAGGAGCGCGCAGGAATTTGCACTGGACTTTTGGACTCTGGCTGCCAGCGCAGGATGGAATGAGAGGGCCCTCATCGACCTCTACCATTGCAGCTTAAGGGAGGACGTTCGTCGGGAATTGGCCTGCAGGGACACCAACATAAACCTGGACCAACTGGTGGATATGTCAATTCGACTGGATAACCTGTTGGCCACTCGCGGACGTCCGGATCAGGGGCCGTCGATTCCATCCCCCAGCACCTCCGACCCTACCCCTATGGAGCTGGAGGCGCTGCTATGAGGGAGACCGGTAGAGGGGCAGTCCCCTGCACCAACTGTGGCCGCAGAGGACACACTGCTGGTCGGTGCTGGGGAGGGCCTTCAAGGAGTCGAGGCAGTAGGCAGCGCACTGGTGAACCATTTCAGGTGAGTAGGCACCCAACTCACCCAGAGCTCCCTGTTGCGCATATGTGTATTAATGTTGTATTTCCAGAGTTTTCTTCTCATTCCCAGCATAAGGCGCAACTTTATTGATCGTCAGTTTACCCGTAGGTTAGGGATTCCTATTGTGCCAGTCGATGTGCCCTTCCCTATACATGCCCTAGATAGTCACCCTTTAGGGTCAGGTCTGATTAGGGAGGTCACAGCGCCACTCTGGATGAAGACGCAGGAGGGGCATGAGGAAATAATTAATCTATATCTGATTGATTCTCCTGCGTTTCCAGTGGTGTTGGGGCTTCCCTGGTTAACTTCTCATGACCCCACTATTTCATGGCAACAGAGGGCTCTCAAGGGATGGTCAAGTCAGTGCTTGGGGAGGTGTGTAGGTGTTTCCGTAGGGGCAACTACGGTGAAAAGTTCAAACCAGGTTCCCACCATGCACATTCCGCCTGAATATGCCGATTTGTATCTCGCCTTCTGTAAAAAGAAGGCGACTCAATTACCACCCCATCGACAGGGGGATTGTGCGATAAACCTCCAGGTAGGTGCTGCGCTTCCCCGCAGTCACGTGTATCCTCTGTCACAGGAAGAGACGGCGGCAATGGAAACATATGTCACCGAATCTCTGAGACAAGGATACATTTGGCCGTCCACTTCCCCTGTGTCATCAAGTTATTTTTTGTGAAGAAGAAGGATGGTGGCTTACGCCCGTGCATTGACTACCGTGGTCTACATCAGATCACTGTAAAATACAGCTATCCATTACCTCTGATTGCGAGTATAACGGAGTCATTGCACGGGGCGCGCTTCTTCACAAAATTGGATCTTAGGAGCGCGTACAACTGGTGCGTATCCGGGAGGGAGATGAGTGGAAGACGGCATTTACTACCACCTCGGGGCACTATGAGTACCTCGTCATGCCATACGGTTTGATGAATGCTCCTTCAGTCTTCCAATCTTTTGTTGATGAGATTTTCAGGGACCTGCATGGACAGGGTGTAGTGGTGTATATTGATGACATTCTCATATACTCCGCTACACGGGCCGAGCATGTGTCCCTGGTGCGTCAGGTGCTTGGTAGACTGTTGGAGCATGACCTGTATGTGAAGGCGGAGAAATGTCTGTTCTTCCAAGAGTCCATCTCCTTCCTAGGGGACCGCCTGTCCGCGTCAGGTGTGGAGATGGAGATTGACCGCATTTTGGCCGTGCGTAATTGGCCGACTCCAACCACGGTGAAGGAGGTGCAGCGATTTTTGGGTTTTGCCAATTACTACCGGAGGTTTATCCGGGGCTTTGGTCAGGTAGCGGCTCCCATTACCTCCTTGCTAAAGGGAGGACCGGTGCGTCTACAGTGGTCAGCTGAGGCGGACAGGGCTTTTGGGCATCTGAAGGACCTGTTTAATTCGGCTCCGGTGCTGGCTCATCCGGATCCTTCCTTGGCATTCCAGGTTGAGGTGGATGCATCCGAGGCTGGGATTGGAGCTGTACTGTCTCAGCGCTCGGGTACGCCACCAAAACTCTGCCCCTGTGCTTTCTTTTCTAAGAAGCTCAGTCCGGCGGAGTGCAATTATGATGTGGGGGACCGGGAGCTGTTAGCTGTGGTTCAAGCTCTGAAAGTGTGGAGGCATTGGCTTGAGGGGGCTAAACACCCTTTTCTCATTTTGACTGACCATCGTAATCTGGAGTACATCTGGGCGGCGAGGAGTCTGAACCCTCGTCAGGCAAGGTGGGCCATGTTCTTCACTCGTTTTGTGTTTACTCTCACTTACAGACCAGGTTCCCAGAACATTAAAGCAGACGCCCTGTCCCGACTGTATGACACAGAGGAGAGGTCCATTGAGCCCACTCCCGGCGTCGTGTCTGGTGGCACCGGTGGTGTGGGAGGTTGACGCGGACATCGAGTGGGCGTTACGTACCGAGCCCACTCCCCACCAGTGTCCAGAGGGTCGGATGTACGTGCCGCTCGAGGTTCGTGATCGATTGATCTATTGGGCTCACACGTCACCCTCCTCTGGTCATCCTGGCATCGGTCGGACAGTGCACTGTCTTAGTGGGAAGTACTGGTGGCCCACTTTAGCCAAGGACGTGACAGTTTATGTTTCCTCCTGCTCGGTGTGCGCCCAGTGTAAGGCACCTAGACACCTGCCCAGAGGGAAATTACAACCCCTACCCATCCACAACGGCCGTGGTCCCACCTAGCGGTGGATTTTGTGACGGACCTCTCCCCCTCACAAGGGAACACCATGATCCTGGTCGTTGTGGATCAGTTTTCGAAGTCCTGCCGTCTCATTCCTATGCCAGGTCTCCCTACAGCCCTACAAACTGCTGAGGCCCTGTTTACACACGTCTTCCGGCACTACGGGGTACCTGAGGATATTGTGTCGGCTCGGGGTCCCCAGTTCACCTCAAGGGTCTGGAGGGCGTTCATGGAATGTCTGGGGGTCTCGATTAGCCTTACCTCAGGTTTTCACCCCGAGAGTAATGGGCAGGTGGAGAGAGTTAACCAGGATGTGGGTAGGTTTCTGAGGTCCTATTGCCAGGACCAGCAGGGGGAGTGGTCAGGTTATATCCCCTGGGCAGAGATAGCCCAAAACTCACTCCGCCACTCCTCTACTAACCTTACGCCTTTCCAGTGTGTGTTAGGTTATCAGCCGGTCCTGGCACCTTGGCATCAGAGCCAGATCTAGGCTCCTGCGGTGGATGAGTGGTTTCGGCGCTCGGAAGAGACCTGGAACGCTGCTCATGTACACCTGCAGCGGGCAATCAGGCGACATAAGGCGAGCGCCGATCGCCACCGCAGTGATTTCCCGGTGTATGCACCGGGGGACCAGGTCTGGCTCTCGAACCGAAACCTGCCCCTTCGCCTGCCCTGTAGGAAGCTGGGTCGGCGGTTTGTGGGGCCATTTAAAGTCCTGAGGAGATTGAACGAGGTTTGTTATAGGTTACAACTTCTTATTAATTACCGTATTAACCCCTTGTTCCATGTGTCTCTCCTCAGGCCAGTAGTAGCTGGTCCACTCCAGGAGTCTGAGGTACGGGAGGTTCCTCCGCCCCCCCCTGGACATCGAGGGGGCTCTGGCGTACTCGGTCCATTCCATCTTGGATTCGAGGCGTCGGGTGGGGGGCCTGCAGTATCTCGTGGAGTGGGAGGGGTATGGTCCGGAGGAACGATGCTGGGTCCCTAGGAGGGACATCCTCGATCCCTCCATGTTGAGGGATTTCCACCAGAGTCATCCGACCCGCCCTGCTCTGCGTCCTCCTGGCCGTCACCGAGGCCGGGGTCGGCGCACGGCTGGAGCCGCGCGTCAAGGGGGGGGTACTGTCACGGATTCAGCCGAGGCTGCCCCTCCTCCTTGCTCGGGCAGGCTTCGGCGTTCGTCGTCACCAGAGTACTAGCTGCTACCGATCCATGTATCTATGTTCGACTTGTTTTGTCTTAATTGGTCACACCTGTTTCCCATTATGTAGTTATGTCTTCCCTATTTAACCCTCTGTCTCACACTGTGTGTTGTGCGTGTTTGTTCATGTTTTGGTTGTCGTTAGTGTGCGGATTTGTTCCCTCCCTGCGTGGAGGTTGTTGTTCATTCTTTTACCTACGAGTAAAGTACGCCTTTTGATTAGCTCTGTGCCCTGCGCCTGACTTTGCCTACCGCTTTACACTGACGCCTTAACAGTATGTAAACTTCTGACCCACCGGGAATGTGGTGAAAGAAATAAAAGATGAAATAAATAATTCTCTCTACTATTATTCTGACATTTCAAATTCTTAAAATTAAGTGGTGATCCTAACTGACCTAAGACAGGGAATTTTTACTAGGATTAAATGTCAGGAATTGTGAAAAACTGAGTTTAAATGTATTTGGCTAAGGTGTATGTAAACTTCCGACTTCAACTGTATGTACAGGTACTTGAGAAGTGTTCTCCCTGTTTCGTTATTTGTTTCAGTGTTAGGTAGTATTTCGTATTTTGGCTGTCAGCGAGTTTTTGGAGACTTATTTGCTCCGCCTTTCTTTTATCGTGATAAATCCGTTATTTTGGCTTCGGGACCACCTGTAAAGATCCTTGTTTCACTATCTCTGCCTACTGCCTACTGTATAACCTGCACCGCACCTGGGTCACACCTCACCCCAACCCTTACATTCAAGTATGACTGACTAGTGTTTCCTCATATGATCCCTTATCTCCCTTGGTCCTAGTACTGATGTACACTACCGGTCAAAAGTTTTAGAACACCTACTCATTCTAGGATTTTATCTTTATTTTTACTATTTTCTACATTGTAGAATAGTAGTGAAGACATCAAAACTATGAAATAACACATATGGAATCATGTAGTAACCCAAAAGTTGTTAAACAAATCAAAATATATTTTATATTTGAGGTTCTTCAAATAGCCACCCTTTGCCTTGATGACAGCTTTGGACGCTCTTGGCATTCTCTCAACCAGCTTCACCTGGAATGCTTTTCCAACAGTCTTGAAGGAGTTCCCACATTTGCTGAGCACTTGTTGGCTGCTTTTCCTTCCCTCTGCAGTCCGACTCTTCCCAAACCAATTAAATTTGGTTGAGGTCGGGGGATTGTGGAGGCCAGGTCATCTGATGCAGCACTCCATCACTCTCCTTCTTGGTAATATAGCCCTTATACAGCCTGGAGGTGTGTTGGGTCATTGTCCTGTTGAAATACAAATGATAGTCCGACTAAGCCCAAACCAGATGGGATGGCGTATCGCTGCAGAATGCTGTGGTAGCCATGCTGGTTAAGTGTGCCTTGAATTCTAAATAAATCACAGACAGTGTCACCAGCAAAGCACCCCCACACCATCACACCTCCTCCTCCATGCTTTACGGTGGGAACTACACATGCGGAGATCATCCGTTCACCCACACCGCGTCTCACAAAGACACAGCGGTTTGAACCAAAAATCTCCAATTTGGATTCCAGACCAAAGGACAAATTTCCCCCGGTCTAATGTCCATTGCTTGCGTTTCTTGGCACAAGCAGGTCTCTTCTTATTATTGGTGTCCTTTAGTAGTGGTTTCTTTGCAGCAATTCGACCATGAAGGGCTGATTCACAGTCTTCTCTGAACAGTTGATGTCGAGATGTGTCTGTTACTTGACCTCTGTGAATAATTTATTTGGGCTGCAATTTCTGAGGCTGGTAACTAATGAACTTATCCACTGCAGCAGAGGTAAAAAAAGTTTTAGAACGGAGTCTTGTCTACGTCAGAACGCCATTCCTGTGGCGGTCCTCATGAGAGCCAGTTTCAACATAGTGCTTGAAGAAGTTCTTGAAATGTTCCATATTGACTGACCTTCATGTCTTAAAGTAATGATGGACTGTCGTTTCTCTTTGCTTATTTGAGCTGTTCTTGCCATAATATGGACTTGGTCTTTTACCAAATAGGGCTATCTTCTGTATACCACCCCTACCTTGTCACAACCCAACTGATTGGCTGAAACGCATTAACAAGGAAAGAAATTCCACAAATTAACTTTTAAGAAGGCACACCTGTTAATTGAAATGCATTCCAGGTGACTACTTCTTGAAGCTGGTTGAGAGAATGCCAAGAGTGTGCAAAGCTGTCATCAAGGCAAAGGTTGGCTATTTGAAGAATCTCAAATATAGAATATATTTTGATTTGTATAACGCCTTTTTCGTTACTACATGATTCCACAGTGCATATGTGTTATTTCATTGTTTTGAAGTCTTCACTATTATTCTACAATGTAGAAAATAGTAAAAAGAAGAAAAACCCTTGAATGAGTTTGTGTTCTAAAACTTTTGACTGGTAGTGTATTTGAAATTAATAGAGGGACCAAGGCAATGACTTGTGCAGAGAATGTCAGTTTATTCTCATTTTTCAATCTGCTAATAGAGTTACAGCCTTTTTTTATCCCTGTAAACATTTGTATATTAGCTGTGAATAACGTCATAGGGAAGAGAGAGAGAAAGAGGAGGTGGAGATGGGGCTGGAGAGAGTGAAAGTGAGAAAGAAAACAGAAAGGGATTTTGTTCTCAATGTTTTGATACACTGTATATTCCATCTATTGTACCTTAGTCCAACCATTAAACCTGGGCCAGTGCTGTATGTCCAAGAGGTGCCAGAGACAAAGAATGAATGATATAGAGCAACAAATGTGTGAAGCAGAGAGAGAGAGAAAACAGAATGAAAGCGAAAACTAGAAGGAGAGAGAGAGAGAGAGAGAGAGAGAGAGAGAGAGAGAGAGAGAGAGAGGGGAGAGACAAAGAGAGGGAAGAAAGAGAGAATAGTGAGATGTGTGTTCATTAGTCCTGGAGCTAACTGCTCCTCTCTCATATAGCTCCTTGAGTTTCAGCTCATCTGCATGAGGCAGCCAGGGCCCCTGGTGTCCCTGGTCGGCCAGAGCCCTGGTCCTAATGAGAGGGAGAGGGGGGTTTGGGTTACACTCCCCCTTACCCTGCCCTGCTCCAGCCTGGGTATCGATCCTGGGTTTACCCCTGTGAGTTTCACTCATACGCACACTAGCGAGGACAGAGCACTACTGGCTGGCTGGGTGGGTGTTGATGCTGGGCCGCTACCATGGAGAGATGCAAATGGAAAATAAGACAATACTGCTAGGAGAGAGAGAGGGGAGTTGTTTAAAAAAAAGAGGAGACGAGTGATGAATTTGAGACGGCTACACTCTACACCCTGGTAGTGCATCGATCGGAAGAGAGACTTTGACCAACCAAAGCAGTGATGTCGATGGTGTTGTTCCCTCTACCCTCAGATCTGTAGATAAAGACATAACCATGTTTTCGGAGTCCATTTGACAGTGAAGTTCCATGTCACAGGCTGTGTATTCTGATCTAACAGTAAGATACAGGCAACAAGGCTTCACATAACTGGGGAAAAACAATCAATAACAATAATTTCTTAAGATTTAGCAAGAGGAAACGAAATGGAAATTGAAAATGGATTATTGGAGGAGCAAGGACAGGACATACAGTATCTGGGTAGGATGTCTCTGAAGGAAGTCTTAGAATATTCTCTCCCCCTGTTGATCAAACCAAGGACGCATTTCTCAAGCTACACAGTGGAGACAGATTGTGGGCATTCTATAAAACCTAGTCAGAGGAGGGGAGAGGAGAATACAAGTGGAATTGAGAGTGGGTGGTCTAGTGCTGAAGGTAATGAAGTACTGTGCGGGGCACTTTCACGACCACCTGAGTGCAGTTATACTGCCTTTCTCTGAGTTTTCTCTGTTCCACTCAACCAGTAGCATTAAACAATTTCAAATCCTACTCTATACGCTGCTTCAGTGTAATTACTCATTAGTGCCAATCAAAAATCTATATGCTCCATTTTCATTTTCAGAATCCTGCATTTCAAGCTCCTCGTATCAAGGATAGGGTTGCAAAACTACCAGTAATTAACCAAAGTTACCAGAATTGTCAGTAATTTTGGTAATGAACATACTTTTTGGCAATCTATGGAAATGTTGGTAATTTAAACTTGAATAACTTTTAAAAAATCATATATAAAATACATTTGTTCTTCATCATTATGTGTCCATATTGTCCATGAGTTTCTAGTGGAAAGACCATATGGTTCAAGAGAAAATTGCGTAATTAATGAAAAAAACATCTAATCAACATTGACAACAGTTTGGCCCCAAAACATTTACAATGAAGACATATAGACATAAATAAATAAAAGCGTGTTAAAATATAAAGGATATTCCACACTGAAAGCCTAATATTGAACACAAACGGTATTCACTAAGTTGATGGGATGGATTTAGGATACTATTTTACAGCATTGTCATTCAATGTTTCATATTTAAAATATCTTATTTTATTATTTTATATCTTTTACATGTTATTTACATGTTGTTTATATGCAATCACCTAAAATCCTTAAAAGTTTCCCCAAATTCTGTAGTTTACTGGTATATTTCTGAAGTTACCAGTAACATTCCCTCCCTTTGCAATCCTAATCGAAGAGGAAAAAAGGAACATATGGACAATTTATTGTCAATGTCTTGGCTGGAAGGCTTTTTTCTAAGCTACGCCTCTCAGGTTTCTTTGACTGACATCTGTGCGATGTCACTCTATTATTGGCCATTTTGTTGGCGGACTGTATGTGAGTAGGTCAATGTACATCAACCGTAGCATAGCAACGCAGGCTGGACATCGGCACTGTGTGCATTAACCACTCTCTGTGTAAAAGCATTTCCTTGTACCTGGTCCAAAATAGCTTTTACTCACTCTCTCCTTACTCTGCGCTCACTCTCTACCTCCCTCACTCACGCGCTCCGGCTATAGGACATTAATATGAAGTGGATTGAGTATTGTTTTAATGTTCGACAGGTATAGCCTCTCTTAGCCTCCTCTACTCTCTCCCCTCTCTTTCTCTCTTTGTCTCTCTCACCCTTTCTCTATCTCTCTGCCCTCCATTTCCACAGCCTTTAATTAATCTGTGCTTTGGTAAAGTTTCAGAGGATAGATGGGATTACTTTGATAATCCAGGAGAGATCAAGAGATCATAATGGATTACATCTGCATATTAATAGTTAATATACTGTATATTGCCATACCTTTCATTGCTTTTAATTATTGTTGCTTATGGTTATGTCTTGGATCGTGGCTATTCATTTGAGTTTCAAGACAATGAACATGTCGTTCCACTCAATTAGCTAATGCTTCCCAAAGAATATGCAAAAGGTTTGGTAAAACTCTCATTTACATGAGAGTGCTTAAGTAGCAGGTGTGAGTCTGTGAGGCTTTCAGGAAGCAAGCATTTCATAATGTAATTTAATCTAATGTAACATTAATTTGTAGAATAATGGTAAAAAGCTACAGGGAGAAAGAGTGTGTAAGAGAGAGACAGAGTGGGGCTGTTCAGGGATGGTCTAACTACACATGGTTTCGTGGACAAGGTGATGGTTGGTCTAGACCTGGGGCCAATCCTACAAAACACACCACAGTGACCAAGTCCATTCTAAATGAGTGATGTCCAAACCACTGTGGTTATCTTTGACATGACAGGAGGAAGATGGATTCATGGGAGTGAAGGCAGCCATTAATTAATCTTTGACCATCGATGTTCACCTATTTCGAAATGATAAGAAAATGGGGAAGAAACCTCTTCCACTTTTTATAAATGAAAATTAATATACACTACTGAGATTAATAAAAATAGTTAAACCAAACAGGTAATTCAATGACAGACCCAGCAACAAAAATGTGTTGTTAGGTCCTGAAATGGTTGCCAAAAGTCGTCAGGATATTGTGTCCATGGTCCACTGTATTTCCCTCGTTCCCGGCGTGTCCCGGGGACGTCCCCGGGATGTTCGCAGGATGTTCGCAGGACCTTGTGTCATGGTCCCCTGGAGGTCTTTCCTTCGTTTACTACAGTATGAAGGGACCAATCAGAGAGCACGGTTATGACGATGTCATTATAAAGTGACCAAATTGGGACAATGTCAACGTTCTGTTGCGACCAAGCTGGGACCTGTATTAAAAGTCCTCTTATGGTCCTGAGGTAAACATCATGTTTTAAAGGCCTTTAAAACATCATGTTTTATATACACTCAGTGGACAGTTTATTAGGTACACCACCCCGTTCACAAAAATGGTTTGTGGCTTGCAATATAAAGCAGGCAGACAGGCATCGAGGCATTCAGTTACTGTTCGATTGAACGTTAGAATGGGTAAAACGAGTGACCTAAGCGACTTTAAGTGTGGTATGATCGTCGGTGCCAGCCGCACCAATTCCAGTATCTCAGAAACGCCCGGCCTCCTGGGCTTTTCAGGCTCGACAAACAAAACACATCCAGTCAGCGGGCAGTCCTGTGGGCAAAAACAGCTCGTTGATGAGAGGTCGAAGGAGAATGGCAAGAATCCTGCAAGCTAAAAGACGGGTCACAAACAGGCAAATAACGGCACACTACAACAGTGGTGTGCAGAACAGCATCTCGGAATGCACAACTCGTCCATCCTTGTCACGGATGGGCTATAGTCTGGCACAGTGGACGCGTCATAAAACCTAGAGGTAAAACACGGTAATGGTTCCAATCGTTTTTTCCCCATTCATTTTTGCATCTGGAATTTTAGAACTACTTCATATAAGGTCTGTGTTTCGTGTAGGCTTACCCTGATGTGACATTTTGATAGCCATGTAATTCTCTCTCAGACAAGGTGAGTTTTCTCAATATATTTGCCTCAATTTACTCTAAAAAATTCGAAATGCTAATTAGAAACAGAGAAGACCTTAGCAAGATTACAAATTCCTGCAGGAAGCTCCTGCACTTAATCTCTAGCCAACACTGTCAGCTACAGTTCAACAGCGCGACCAGAGCCCTTTGTGCCTAGAGACCTTCTGTGCCCAATCCATGAACTTAAGTCCCCTTTCTCTGTCTTAGCTAGCTACTGACTATAATAATAATAATATGCCATTTAGCAGACGCTTTTATCCAAAGCGACTTACAGTCATGTGTGCATACATTTTTACGTACACTTTAGCTAGCTAGTTAGCAGAGCAGTAGATAAAAAAAATAATTGTGTTCTACTTAGCCTAGATAATTGTTTGTACAGTATGTCGACTTTGGTGTCTATCTCAGATCTTATGGCATTTTTCAAGGATGAGCATAAGAGCATTTAAAGGGGAGAAGACCACTATAAGTCTGGCCATGTGGAGAAGTGCAGCTATAGTGAGAGGCAACTTACCGGTTTGGTAGGAGCCAGCATGAGTGATAAAGTTTATCCTGTGTCGGTGAGTGTAGCTATAAAGTTAAGTTTGAGCATATTAGCAATACAATGTGTTCTATACAGCTGTCAACATTCTACAAGGAAAGAGCCACTTAATCAATTATATAATCATTAACCAGATTACCCCGGATACCAGACTTCGATGAGTGATAACTCAGTTCTAGAATGTTGTCATTGATGAAAAATAATCTATTGACATTCAAAATTGACTTTGTTTAAACATCCAGCCTGTATTGTAATTTCATGACCAGAAACAGATCTTCAAAGGCACAGTATTTATTTATTCAGAGTGGCACATGCATTCATACAGTCTTGATTTATATGATCCCACTATATGATTGATATGTCAAGTGATAAAATCCCAAGTTATAAATTAAAAGTAGCTAGCGAGGTAATTAGAAAAATGCAAACAAGAATACACACGAGAAACACTATCAATTATTTACACGAGAAACTAAAAAGACTATAATATCTACTTACTAGGTTACTTGCTACTTGTTTGCATTGAGACATGTGCCTTGAGGGATGATGTCAAAGCTTGCGTCATGATGTGTAGTTCTGTATGCTAGCCATATTAGCGGCTAATTAGCGTTTCATTTTGTAGGGGTAATTACAGGCAAGTATATTGATAAATGTTACCTTGTCCGAGAGAGATTTGTGCGGTTATCAAAATGTCACACCAGGGTAAGCCTACAAGAAACACAGACCTTATATGAAGTTCTAAAATCTACAACGCAAAAATATATGGTGAAAAAACGATTGGAACCATTTCCTAGTTTTACCGCTAGGTTTCAGGGGTATTAAATAAAATAAAATAAAATTTTATTGGCCACATGCGCCGAATACAACAGGTTCAGACATTACAGTGAAATGCTTACTTACAGCCCTTAACCAACAGTGCATTTATTCAGACAGTATTATGACTCATACTGTTGTACTCAACTGCAGCAGACGACCACACCGGGTCCCACTCCCATCAGCTAAAAACAAGAAGAAGCAGCTCCAGTGGGCACGTGATCACCAGCACTGGACAGTTGAGGAGTGGAAAAAACAGTGCCTGGTTCGACGAAGGATTTGGCGTAAACAGCATGAGTTCATGGCCCAATCCTACCTGGTGTCAATGGTACTGGCTGGTGGCAGTGGTGTAATGGTGTGGGGAATGTTTTCCTTGATACTAATTAAGCAATATTTCCATGCCACAAAGAATTCAGGCTGTTCTGAAGGCAAAGGGGGGTCTGACTCAGTACTAAATGGGTGTATCTAATAAACTGACTACTGTGTGTATATTTCCACGCTATAAGGTTGGAATAATACTGTTAAATTGTGAAAAGTATGATAATGCCCTTTTAGTGTAAGAGCTGTTTGAAAAGACCGCCATTAAATTTCAGCCTGTTTTGGTGGGATGGAGTTTTGGCCATCCATGCTGACATCACCATGTGGTAAATTAGTTAATAGACCAGTAAGAAAGAGAGTTCCAAACCTCTCTGCCAATAACAGTTAGTTTTCAGTTTTCCCCTCCCCACTCAGACCACTCCCAGACCGTCCTAGCAAAATTCTTGATTGAGAAATTGTCCTTTGCTAAGAAGCTATTTTTGCTTCTTTTTGACCATTTTAATTGAAAACAATCACAAAAGGTACTTAATTGCTACACAGAAATTATTTGATATTAAGACAAAAACGGCTGCATTGGAGCTTTAATGTTCCTAGAACGTTTTCAGAACTTCAGTTAGATAACATATCACTGAAACCTGAAAGGGACCCAACGAGAATGTTACCTAATGTCCTTAGGACGTCCCCTGTGATGCTTTGAGGTTCTTGATGAGGTGTGGGGGTGGTGAATATTGGCTATTTGTCCTTAATTTGATTACCCATTGTTCTGATTGGCTGCTTTATTCAGTATATCCTGCTCTGCCCTTGATTATTTTAGACTTCCTATCCCTAACTGCATCATAGATTTGGAACATTAGCTCAAACAGAAATAAGAAATTATATGTATTCTCAATTTTTCTTATGTTCAGAGAATATGGAATATGATGAGAATGTATAAAGTATATTGCATAAACACTTTGCATTAGCATTCCTCATTTCAATGCAAACAGACATGTACACTGCCACACAGACTGCCACTTAAAAGACAATAAACAAAACAACTGTTGAAAAACATTATTTAATTTAATTCAATTTTGATATCAATCCATGCATTAATAATGGGTGGTATAAAGCATTCTGTATGCTCAATGTCACATTTCACACATCAAACACTATTCTACACATTTATCTACTCCACTAGAACACTTCTGTCGTGAAAATGCTTATTGTCTTCCCGCCTTAACTTGCTGAGCTCAGTTAAAGTATGGAGAGTAGGGAGGAAGTCCTGAGCCATCACTATCTCCTGCTACTGCAGCAGAAATGGCAACTCAGCTTATAGCTGGTAATTGTGGTCAGGACACTATGACCTTATTCATGTTTATGGTGACTAAGAGGGATGGGGGTGGGGTATACTATTTGTCCCTGGTGTAAGAATTGGCTCCATCTCAAAGACGCCAAGAGATGGAGGGCCACAAGTAATACTAATTCTATATGATTGTCCTTGCGCTATTGCAGTGAGTTATTTTAGCCCGCTGACAAGAAATATTTGAGCCATGATGTCATCTTTACAAATGATATTCCCGAAATGAGATTTTCAGTTAATCATGCTAACCCTGTCTTATGACTATGTCACAAGGTGGATAAGTGACAGGTTCTGGGTCTGGGTTGAGCAGGCAGTATGAAAGCAGAGGCAAACAACAAAAGGACAGTTCAACACATTTATTTTAAGGCATGGTGTTTGCCAAGGTTTCAGCACACAGTTTGTCAATTCAATTCGATTTCATCGTCTCCATATTTCATTTACATAAACATCATTTTCTCTAATGTTTAGCTTTAAAATCCATGTTAGTTAAACCATCATACAACATACAATCCAAACAAAAAGGGACACAAATAGCTACACAGGACAGCAGGCAGGAGTCCATATTTGATCACTTAGTCATACAGCACAATGTCCATTTGACATGTGCTCTAACCAAACATTTCACCCTTAAGCTCTGTTGCAACATGGATCCACCATGCCTCTGGACCGCATCACTTTCTGTGGGCGTCTGCCTGGAACATAAAAAACAAGGGGATTTTAATACACAATTCAAAATCACATTATATGTTAATCGTCCAATAGGAATGCTTGATTGTTACACATTGTTACACAAAATAGTGTAACAATTACCCCTTTGTAAGTCAATGAAATAATTACATGCATAATAACCCTGTCAAAAAGTGATTGTTCGCCTCATAGCCTATTGTGTTGACTAGGGTTTCCTAGTATTGCATCTTCCCTGATTTGTCCAAAACCCCCACTAAATCCCTTATTAGCTCTGATCTCACAAACCTACAAGGGAAGTCACCTCATTCATAAATCCATGTAGATAAATGGATTCACCATTTGCAACCATTTTCACTGCATGAGACTGGTTGGTACCCAAGAGCCCTGACTCCTCAGTTGTCTCACACCTGGAACCACAGGTGGGACAGGAGACATCTCACTCAGAGGCAGAAGAGGCCATCATCCCATCTCTTTCTCCCCCCAATTCCCTCTCTCTCTGAGGTGTCTGGTGACTGTGGCTCTCCCACACAGTCAACTAATGGCTTGCTTTCCCTCTGAGAGAGAGAGAGAAAGAGAGAGAGAGAGGGAGGAGGGAGGAGGGAGTGAGGGAGGGATGGCTGCAGCCCACCAGCGCCCCCAGGGCCCCTTGCCTGCCTCGCTCCTGCTGCTCGCTGCTGCTGTGGCTCAATACCAGAGTCTCCTGGCTGGGATCACAACCCTGCGAGTCAGCCCAGAGAAGATCTGCTGTGTGTGGAGCCTCCCAGTCCGTTCTCCTGTTTAGTCCTACTTTGTCTCAGTCTGTACTGACAACTCTCTGAGCTGCCCCTCCACCATCTCCATCATCATGGCTGTGGTTGTGGGTTCAGCTCCATGGGCAGCCCCACTGGCCCTGGTACTACTGGCAATCACCCTGGCAGTGCCAGCCCTGGGAGGGTGCCCATCCGCCTGCCGGTGCTCCTTCGCCATGCTGCAGTGCCTGGAGCCTGATGGCATTGCCACTATACCCGCGTTGGCACTACAGGAGAGCGAGAACGTCACGGAAATGTGAGTGCTGTTGGTTGTTTGGATGGTTGGTTGGTTGATTGGTTCTGCTGGGTTTGATGTGTGCGTTTGTCAAGTGCTCATGTCCTGCTTATCTATCTGTTGACTCAGTCTTGGATGGGGTGTCTGGTAGTGTCAATAATGAGTTGGGTTGGCATAATGGTTCATCCATTGCTTTGATGATCTGATGTTGGTTGCCTGACCGGCTTGAGCTGTTTGAAGCAATGCTGGGCATGGAACAACAAGTACATGTCTTAATAGGAGAAGGTGAATATAGTCCAGTATGGAGTTGAATCAAGGTGATTGGTTTCCATGCATTTTCATGGAGAGGGGGGTTATATGACCCCATGGATTGAATCCATTTTGTATGACCACCGGCCTTCAGTGTGTGTTAGTATGGTAATGAGCTGGTTAGATAACGAAGTTCATTTTAATGGTGTTCCTGCTTTGATGATTGCTTCTACAAATTAGATTGGCAAAAGACACTCTTGTGCAGGCACTTTTTGAGAAGTTTTACAGAACTGTTATGAAAAAATGTTAAGAGATTTTTTTCTCTAAGACTGTAGTTTATTGATTATTGGTTGATGCTAAACATGTCTGGAATAGTCAGCACACATTTACAGTTTGTCCCTAGTTGGATGGAAAGATGAGAAGTCCATGAGATTCAAAGAGTATGTATCAAAGTATGTATCTGGAGATTATCCATCTTAAATCTTATCAGAGACTTCTACTCCTAGTCCTATTTCCATTATTTCACAACTGGTGTTTCTCAATTTCTGTTTCCAGTGAACAAATTCCACTCAATGAACTCATCAAATTGAACTCCCCCGCCTTGAGTTGGGGTTACAGACTCTGTTTGATCTTGTGTCTGGTGGTTTAGCATGGGCTGAACTGGGGCGTGATACACTGTAAGAGAACACTATTGATAAGAGCAGAGTCAGTGGTAGTGGAGTGATCAGGTCTGTGGGATTGTGTTAGTATTGATACTGTTTCACTAATACTCTGCCTTGGTGACTGCAAACAGTCTATTCACAGTAATGCATCATAGAGGCACTATAGCAGCAAGGTATTCTGATACATACATCCTTGCCTGGTGAAAGTCAACCTCACAAACCTGTTGAGAACATGTTGTTGTGCAGGAGGCTTGTGCTTCCCTGAAGGACTATTAATCAACAGAGTATATATACTTAAGTAAAACTGCCATAGAAGAGACACATATATAATATTTTAAAGGGTACACTCTACTTAAAGATACACTCTAAATTCGTAACATATTGCATGAATTTGATTCGTAACATGTTCGTATGATATCATACAAATTTAAAAATGTCATAACATATCACACAAAATGGATTACATAGTACCCATTGGATGACGTAGTACACAAAAACGGAGACCACTTTTAGCTTATGAGCACTACTTTCAAATTATACAAAAGTTTAAGAATGCATCTTTAAGCAATTATCTGTTACTTTACACTACACCCCACTGTCCACTATTTTCAGAGAACTGGAAAATGGCCACCTGTCATTCAGAAAAGAAAAAGCTGTTATACTTAGGCTATACAGTACTGAAATGACCAACTAATGCCATTTTCTGTATCCATCTGTTCTGTTTGTCTCTCTCTACTGCTCTCACATAACACTCAATTGGGCTTGTTAAGGGAGAGATCCGCATCTAACATCGTCCAGTTAGTCTCTCCTCATCTTCTCTCCTCTCTCTCTCTCTATCTCTCTCCTCTCTTCTCTCTCTCTCTCTCTCTCTCTCTCTCTCTCTCTCTCTCTCTCTCTCTCTCTCTCTCTCTCTCTCTCTCTCTCTCTCTCTCTCTCTTCTCAGTACCTGTGGCTAAACGTGTTACTTAGAACGCCAGCAGAGCTGCTAAATTCATTCTGAAGCCATTCAATCAATAAGCAAGAGCTGCTCTTTCGGCATGTGTTTCAGCAGAACAAACAAGAAGCCGTTAACTATGGAACAGGGGCCCAAATTCATAATGCACTGTTATAAATTAAATTTTGTAATTTGTCAGCGAATGCCCGCCTGAGAACACTAGATGAAATATGACCCACTTGGCTCAATCCAATAAGCATGGGGGCGATTGGTGATTCTCATTCCACCTGCCCTGCAATTACATTACTGCTCCGTGGGTCAAATAAATATCTGTGTTACGCAGTGACAGACTGAAACAATAGTGCCTCACTGTTAAAGAAGGAAATATTTGGTGATGGAGATGTTTGGGGCACTGCCCAGTGGGCAAAACTGGCTGCAATGATGTCTGTCTGATGTCTTTTGTGACTGTAAAAGGACATTTTTAGTGATCAGAAAGAGAGGTCTTCACCTGGTTGTAATCTGGTTATCGGTCGTCACGTCAACCAGATACCAATGAAAATATATTAAGAATTTCCTAGGTGTTGTCATGAAAAAGGGTTGAGTGCTGTTTTTTTAAGCTATACTGTATGTGAAAAAAAGCTTTGAGTTTTTATTGATAAAATTGTTTAAGTGGAGGAAGCTTCCCTTTAACTAAATTTCCCCTCTTAGTCCTTTTATACTGCTTTACTTCTGCTTTGCTTCTGGTTATTGATACAGTAATGGTGAAATATCATGAATGCTATATAACAGTCTATACAAAAATGTACTTTTCTGGCCACGTCGTGTACATATGTAGGATCTTAATTTGATCACCCTGTTGCAGGATAACTTTTCTACAATGCTGGAAATGTGTATTTAAGGTTTAAAAAGGCTTCTGAAGTTTATAATTACATTTAGAAATGTCAGACTTGATTTTCCCTTACGGAAAATGTATCAACTTCTACAAAAATATCCAATAATTATAATCTGCATAATAATTCACATTTCCTGTTGGTGCAAGATTATTTCCCTGCTGTAGCAAACTGGCTCAAATGAAGATCCTACATCTGTACACTCTTAGAAAAAAGGATTCCAAAGGGATTCTACGGCTGTCCCCATAGGAGAACCCTTTTTGGTTCCAGGTAGAAATATTTTGGTTTCCATGTAGAACCCTCTGTGGAAAGGGTTCTACATGGAACCTGAAAGGGTTCTACCTGGAACCAAAAGGGTTCTAACTGGAACCAAAATGGTTTTTCAAAGGGTTCTACTATGGGGACAGCCGAATAACCCTTTTAGGTTCTAGATAGCACATTTTTGTTCTAAGACTGAACGTACAAAGAGGTTCAAGATACTGTCGTTCAAGAGTAGAGCAAAGTGACCTTGTGTTGAGTGTTGAGTTGACATACTGTCCCCTCGTGAAATAATAGGTGTGTCTGGAAAAGTGGAAAATGACTAATTGAAGAGAATTTACCAGCGATGTCAACTGAGTGTCTCACAAGAAGACAAATGGTTTTTCCAAGTCTTCTTTACAGTAGATTTAGTTTTGATATTAGCTTTGTGGTTTGTTTTCTTTGCATCTGCCTTGGTCTGGTTATGCTATCAGTTGTCAGGCTCTAGCCCACAAAGGTCCATGGTTTGGACAATGCACTCATGAATTTCACTATAAAATATATCACTCAGTGCTGTACTGTGTCATTTCAGTACCTTTTTAGAGCTTTCATCACATTTAATACATGTAAACCCTTTTGTATTTGTCATTAAATCAGATGTTCTGCTTTGTCTGGATTGCTTTGGGTAAAAACAGCTCATTGTTCCTAGAAAGTATTTTTGTATTTTGCTGTCAGTTCTTTTTTGGTTTTGCTTTTTGGAATTGTACTCAAATCAATGCTGAATGCCATAATTAAATGTTTCCTTTAATTTTACATTGTATTTCTTTTTTGTTTCATTACCCAGTTACATCGAAAATCAAGCCAACCTGGAGAACATCACAGAAGTAGACCTTGCCAACTATAGAGAGTTGAAGAATCTGTGAGTAACCTTGCATTTTATGTAATATGTATGTACAGTATTTTGCTAATGCTGTATGATAATATGTTTGTAGATGTATATTTGTATTACTGTATGACATGCATACAAATGCAAAATATGCTACAATACACCTAGCAGTTGATTTGATTGACTTGGCTTTAAATGTTTGGTTGGTCCTGTCATTGAGTGAGTGGTCTTCTCTACACTCCACCTTGTAGTACATAAGCCCTCCCAATAACCCTCTACCTTGTTATAGCAATCTGCAGTCCTAAACTTTACAACTCAACATTTAATTCCCTTTATGGCTCTTTCAATCAAGGGGGTGAACCTTGTGTGTTGCACATTAGCCATTATTCTGAGCAGAAACCTGCAGTCCTGTACAGTAATTTCACTTCAATCCTTCTTCTAAGTACCTTACAACTATCGTATTCTAAGAAAGGAAATGGTCTGGAGCTAGCTAATACAGCTAATACAGACTGGCTAATATACACACTATGGATTTACTGTGGCTAATTAGTAGCATAATCAGTGATTCACACTTCCTGTTCTGTCTTTTGTTTGTTTGTCGTGTTTCTCCCCCCAGCACGGTCACGTTCTGCAGGCTGGCGTACATCTCGGCTAATGCTTTCCAACACAACCTCAAGCTCCAATACGTGTAAGTGTCCTTGTCTTTACAAAGGGATTGTCTTTCCTTGTCATGTCTCGACCCATGCTTGGGTCAGGCTCTTTGTTGCTATCAATTAAGGGGAAGCCACCCAAGCCTTGAGATCACAAAATATTGAACATTTTACATGAACTGGTCCCCATGAACTTATGGATGTAAATTCTGTACATGATTTGTGGTTTATTATTCAGCAGAGTCACTGCAAAAATATAACAATAGATTTCTGCTGGAATACAGATTCAAATGACTGAAATGTAATCATAATTAATTTGATACCATTTTATTCCAACAGTGACACTATGTAAGTTATTTAGGCACAGAATGCATTGGTATAGTATCAGAGGCTCCACAGTAGTGAGTCATGTGGGGCAGATTCTGACCTCTGATCTAACAGTGTGTTCAATTTGTTTTACAAGAAACATGCCATTTCAATTTAAAGTTAAAAGGATTGGGTTGACACAATGTAGACCAACCTGTTTTTACAAATGTAGTCACAATCAATGCACAATATATTGGACCACTTTTAGCATATTGAAATGATTTGGATTCCACTTGTTAGAATGTTCGAATCAACAATATTAGAAAAACAAACCACTGATGGATGAATCGTAGATTCTTTTTCAGATATTTGTGTTTCTAACACTGTGATCCAAACTTTCTCACAATTGGAATCCTTCAACTACCTTCTAAAGACACACTGTACAGCACACTGAAAAATAACAACAACAAACAAGCATTAGTGTTGCCCGTATCTAGTGTTGGGGAGTAGTGAACTAAATGTTGTTTAACTAGTAATTTAACTACATTTTGCAGTAAATTGGTGGTAGTTTAACTAAATTCACATCTTGGTAGTGTTTTCAGTAGTCAATGCCATTTTTATCATGTAGCAGTGTAGCTAACTACTGGAACTACACATTTTTTCTTCTTCTCCAAAATAAATAAAATATGGGTGAAGTAGGCAAGAATGTAGTTTCTTTTTCGTCATCAGACCTGCCTAATTCTCACTTGAAACATCGTTTTTGTTTTTAATAGGATAAATGACAAATTCTGTTAACATCTGACTCCAGAGTGATCTGTTCTTGTAATTTGTAGTCTATGACATTTCAGATTTAGATATGTTAATTTACACACAAAGTAGTTTGGATGTAGTGAACTACTTTTTCAAAGTAACTTTAGTTAAGCAAACTATGTTTTTCTTAACGGTAGCTTTAGTGTAGCTTAACTTCTTACAGTGTGAAGTAATTGGTAGTTGGTAAACTATATTTTCAGAGTAGCTTCCCCAATACTGCCTGTATCCATGGCAATCATCCCTCCATCAGTAGCTGACCCTTATCTCCACCATCTTGTCCTCATCATCTTACTAAGCGTGTGTGACATGTCCGATGTTGTTTATCTGAAAGACAGGCGGTTTGGGAGGAGGAGGTGGGGTGGTGGGAAGGGTGCTGAAAGGGGTTCAGGGTTGTGGGGGAGGGGGTTCTGGCGAAATCGGAGAAGACGTCCACTAGTCACCATTTACTCGCCCACTTTGGTGGATTATCGACAACTGCTGCATAATAAATACACTCCAGTAAGGGTCCATTATCGCTTAATCAATATTTCAAAGAAGGGGCTGTGGGGTGTAACAGATGTGTCTCTTAGATTGGGAGCCCCACCCAAAACGGGGGAGAACATGGGGGGGCTCTGATACTGGGGGGCAATTTTTCAAGACTTGCCAGGATATTTTCTCCTCCACCACCTTCCTTGTTCCTTAAGATATATTAAGATATATGTTGTGCATGAGCACAGCTAGGAGCAGCTGCCACCCCCCCCCCCCCCCCCCCCATGGCCCAGGAGGAATCAAGCTGGTAATAGATAAGCCCCAATGGCTAACCCATCTGACATGAACTTTTGGGAGCAAGGAAAACAAATAATTGAACCCCTCTGGCCCCCATTGGCCCTGCCAGAGTGAATATGTATCGGTTGCATGAGCGGCCTCCCCAGTGTGGTCTGCTGTCATCTTCTGAGGGGTTTTATTTACACCCTCTGCCAGCACAGAAGCATTTCAGAGCAGTCATGGTGATCTGCAGCAGGGGAGAACATATCTTCGCAGTGATATGCCTCAGAAATCCACATTTTCTTTTGATTTACAGTAAAGTGCAGCACATCTGAATGTACAGTAGCTCTATGAAAGCTACATCTGCCAAGCGCCTGCAATATTGAAGCTTTTTTATCAAATGAATTAACCTCATACTCCTAATACACAATATTTGATATAGTAAAACCTCTTGTCCTTTCTCCTCTTTCTTACAAGTACAAGCAGCATCATCAGGCTAATATAACTCGAGCACTCTAGTAGTGTTCGATGGCCAAGAATAGCAACCACCATCTCAGAGAAGTGTTTGGGATAATCACCTAATGTACAGAACAGTGGGACAACAGCGAGAGGTGTGCCAATGATGTTTGTGAATGCAGCACTTAATGTAAAAGGCTTGCCTGGGTAATTGAGCAGAGTAAATTTGGAGGCATTAATATGTCCACCCAGAGAGTTATTATAAGCATGTACGCATTGTTCTGCAGTGAGTGATCATATCTTGGGATTAGTTCAATGTGATTTATTTCAACAACATAAAACATACATTTTACAACATGATGTCTCTAGGTGAATGTTTATTTACTTCATCCAAAAAATGATTATAGATAACACAAAAAAAGTATATTACAGACTTCGATTTTTGTCCTCATTATGTCAGCATTTGAGAAAACAACAGGTGTCAGACACACAGTAGAACAGAAAAACTCATTTGAATAGATATAACAACTACGTGTGTAAACATAACAACCAGCCAGGCTATAATGACTGCTGATTGTTTGTGCATGAATGTGAGGACTCTTGACACATTGGAAGTCCAAAGACAAGCATATGGAAACAGTGCAAAAACAAAATGGTCCCTTTCTACTGGTATTTGTTTCAGATATTGAGCTGTGGCCATGCATAGACCATTCTTATGCAAAACTCAACATGGGTGAAAAGAGGGGGGGGGGGGGATCATAGGCTCAACAACAAATTGTATAATACTGTATTTTTATTTTTTGCCATTTATATGCTGAAAGTCCTGTTGGATGGATGTTGATGTTGCCTTGTTGTATCACACAGAAACCTGGCATCTAACTCCCTGGAGCATATCAGTTGGAAGGTGTTCCATTTTCTTCCCCTGCTCAACCTGTGAGTAAAACACCACTCAGAACATCACTTCTGTACTCTCTTCAACTAGTCAACCTGTGACTGAAATATCACCTCAATTATGTATTATTTTCTCTGTTGAGTTTTTTCTCTCTATTCATTGCCCTCTTTCTTAAATTCTAGAATGTTCTATTTGCAGTGTGCGTCTTTGATAATAACGACCTTGAATGCTTTGTATAGTCCTTTAGAAAGAACAAGAAGGTTACACAATTGAGAGAAAACTTTTGGACAAAAGAGACCGATTTTCTCTGTGTTCCCTTTCAGGGTTTTGAGGGACAACCCCCTTGTGTGCTCATGTGATATCCATTGGCTGCAGCAATGGCAGCTTAACGAGCACAGTGACCTCGACAACCAACCGCTGCACTGCTTCTCCAATGGCCATGGCCTGCGGTTGGACTCCTTAGTGATGGAGAATTGCAGTGAGTTGAATTGATAGATTTTTACTCAATTTAGTAATATATGCATGAAAATCATGTACACATATAGTTCAATCATTGTAGAAATAGTGTGACAAGGCTTTATTAGACTTTATTAGTAGCATTGCTGATTGGATTGCTTTTAAACGTCATTATCAACATTAAGTACCCCAGGCCAGACCATAGATTTTCCAACCCATTCTTGGTCCATTATTTTGCAGCTGAACCGGAGGTCGCCATTGTCCATGCCAACACCAAGGTCCAGGAGGGGGGCAACCTGACATTTGTGTGTCAGGTGACAGGAGTGCCCATGCCTGTAGTGAGGTGGCGCACAAATAAACTGCTGTCTCGCTATACTGTACAGGTACTGAGTGATGATGTCACATGGACATACTGATTGGAGAAAGCCAGCTAGATCAGTGGGCCAGAGATATTGCACAATGCACTTTTTGTTCCCATAATCTAGTAACATGATCAGGGTCACATAGGAAGGAAATGTAAATGTAAATATTCAGAACTAAAAAGAAAATAGTATTATGGTGTATTTAGGTTTCATAATTGTGCACATTGTCATAATCCTTCAGACTCCTTGAATCTCAGATGTCTCCATGATTGTTGTAAACTGTAATGTGTAGCTAAACCCCTGTGGTCCTCTGTGCCTTGGTCCATCTGTAGGAGAGGTTCTGGGGCTCCACTTTGGAGCTGGAGCTGCAGCTGTGGAATATGTCCTCAGAAGACAACCTGCACAACTTGACCTGTGAGGCAGAGAACCGGGCCGGGCCTGGGGAGGAGAAGGTGACGTTGGACATTGAATGTAAGTGCCAATGACCTATTAAAGGGTGTTGAAAGCAGAAAGACTCATTGAGAGCTGTCATACTGTAATGAAAGCAGGAGAGGTAGAGGGAGAGAAGAATTGTGTCAATTTTCCTTTCACAGCAATGTGTATAGCCAGAGATTTTTTCCCCAGAATGAAATACTTAGTATTAATAATTGTGGCTAAAAATAAGCCCACTTTACTTTAACATGCCACAGGTCTTTCGTTTCGACTTATTATTATCAGTTGTCACTCAATAATGAATTAGTACAGTGGCAATTTTAGCATGTACATTTTGGTGGGGCAAACAAAATAATGTTATTTTAGATGCATGCCAGCAAAGCCACTACACAGCACAACACTAAAAAATACATTAATTGCACTATAACGGTGACAAACGGTGCCCACAAACTGTTAGGGCCTACATAAAGCTGTTCCAACAGCAGAGCTTTCTTTTCAGCACCATGGAGTGAATCCTTACTACCACTACACATGGCTACATCAGAGGAGCCTTGTCTGGCAGCGAAACAGTTAATTCAGCCTCATTTACTGCCTTTTAAAAAAACATAGCTGATATGGCTGACTTGCTTAAACAAATGTGGTTTCTACTAACAATTGAGATGTACAAACTATGGCATAAGGGGACGACGAGTGGATAAGAGGCAATCCGTAATTTCGATTAAGCCATTAATAAGCGAGCTAGGACGGACATAGTCAATATAACTATTTGTACAGCACTTTTGAAATGTACAGCGACAGAATTCAGAACATGGGCCGTATTCTCCCTGTACACCAAGTCAGAACTGTAGGATAAATAAAGGGGGCATATAAGCAGACAATGAAAACTCTTACAATATTAAATGATTACATTTCTCTAAAACAGGCTATAGGCTACATGTGCACCACCAAGTCAGAACAGTAGGCTAAATTATGAGGGGGAAAGGGACAAAATTATTAGGGTGAGGCACATGGGCTACTAACAGCTTACTACACAACATACATTTAGTATGACTTTCTTAGCTACAGTATACATATCTCCCTGGTATATTACATCATTTATTCAGCAGAATACAATACATTTGGACTCACCTTGTTGTGCTGTGCTCACTTGAACAGGAAGGAGCCGTGAGGGTCCATGTGGACAAATTTTGTCATCAAACTTTGTCATTAAAGTCTGGCATTCTCTGGATTTATGGTGCTTTCAAGACAAATGGGAACTCTGAAGAAAAAAAAGGTTGAATCATGACGTCAGTGATCTTCAGGTCGGAGCTCTAGAAAGAGGCCTGAGTTCTCGACTTGGAATTCCGAGTTGGATGACCGTTCAAAACGTATTTTCCTAGTCGGACCTAGTTTTTTTCAGAGTTCAGAGTTGTCTTGAACTCACTGAAGTCTGAGATTTCCCAGTTCCGAGTTTCCAGTTGTTTTGAACGCGGCAGAAGTCATGCTGGATTGACAGCATGGCCAATGTCTTCAACCTTTTTTGGCCCATGGTGTGTTGTGAGTGAATGTTTATCCTTTTAAACTTGGAAAAGAGACCCTTAAACACAGACTTGGACCACACACCCTCCCCACTGAATAGCAGGCTAGTGATTGCTTTGCAAAGCTTGCAGATAGCCACTGTGTCACGCCCTGGCTCTGGGGACACTGTTATGTTGAGCCAGGGTGTGTAATTCTATGTTTGTATTTCTATGTTGGCCTGAGTGACTCCCAATCAGAGGCAACGAGTGTCAGCTGGTTGTCTCTGATTGGGAGCCATATTTAACTGTCTGTCTTGCACTTTGTGTTTGTGGTTTCTTGTTCTTATTTGGTTTGTTTATGTAACCAGAGACATCACGTTTTCGTCTGTTATTTTGATCGTGTGATCATTCTAATAAATAATATGTTCGCATTCAACGCTGCGCCTTGGTCTCTCCCTGACGATCGTGACAGAAGAAACCACCAAGATGTGACCAAGCAGCGTGTCCAGGAGCCATCGCCAGGGAGATCCCTAACAGATCTCCTTCGCCTCATCGACTGGGTCAAGCCGAGTGAGGAAGAGAAGGGCTTGACGTTGGGGCAGAAGGGCGAAAGGCTGGCGAGGGACATGGAGACCTGGTCCACGGGTAGGAGAAACGCCCAGAATTTTTTTAGGGGGGGGGCTAACGCCGTGGACGACGGGCCAGCAGGAGACCGCGGCAGAGCGGCCCAGCGGATTGGCAGAGGAGGCCGCCAGGTTACGGGGGCCACTGGTCGAAGAGGGGGTGGAGGATGTAGAGGCACGGCGAGAGGTACTGGCGTGTGTTGCCAGTCCGGTCCGGCCTGTTCCTGATCCCCACGTAGGGCCAGTGGTGTGTGTTCCCAGTACGGTCCGGCCTGTTCCTGCCACTCGCACCAAGTCTACGGTGCGCATCGCCAGCTCGGCCCGGCCCATTCCTGCTCCCCGCACCAAGTCTGTGGTGCGCGTCGTCAGCCCGGTCCGGCCCGCTCCTGCTCCCCACACCAAGTCAGTGGTGCGCTTCGTCAGCCCGGTCCGGCCCGTTCCTGCTCCCCGCACCAAGTCTACGGTGCGTGTCGCCAGCTCGGCCCGGCCTGCTCCCCGCACCAAGTCAGTGGTGCGTTTCGTCAGCCCTGTCCGGCCCGCTCCTGCTCCCCACACCAAGTCTGTGGTGCGCGTCGTCAGCTCGGTCCGGCCCGCTCCTGCTCCCCACACCAAGTCAGTGGTGCGCTTCGTCAGCCCGGTCCGGCCCGTTCCTGCTCCCCGCACCAAGTCTACGGTGCGTGTCGCCAGCTCGGCCCGGCCTGCTCCCCGCACCAAGTCAGTGGTGCGTTTCGTCAGCCCTGTCCGGCCCGCTCCTGCTCCCCACACCAAGCCAGTGGTGTGCGTCGTCGGTCCGGCACGGCCCGTGCCTGTTCCACTGGTGCCTGGTCCGGCACCGGTCAGATGCGTTACGCCGGAGCTAGAGCAATCCGCTCCATCAGTGTGCAGTCCAGCTCCGGCCAGCGGGGCCAGACCGGACCAGGGGTACTTTGGGGGGTTGGAGAGGGAGTGGGGATCAGGCCCGGAGCCGGATCCGCCGCCAAGGCGGAGTGCCCACCCGGTCCCTTCCCTGTGGTATTTAGTTGGCGCGGTCGGAGTCCGCGCCTTTAGGGGGGGGTACTGTCACGCCCTGGCTCTGGGGACACTGTTATGTTGAGCCAGGGTGTGTAATTCTATGTTTGTATTTCTATGTTGGCCTGAGTGACTCCCAATCAGAGGCAACGAGTGTCAGCTGGTTGTCTCTGATTGGGAGCCATATTTAACTGTCTGTCTTGCACTTTGTGTTTGTGGTTTCTTGTTCTTATTTGGTTTGTTTATGTAACCAGAGACATCACGTTTTCGTCTGTTATTTTGATCGTGTGATCATTCTAATAAATAATATGTTCGCATTCAACGCTGCGCCTTGGTCTCTCCCTGACGATCGTGACACACTGATTCCTTCCAAACCAGTTGAATTTGCGATTTCCAACTTGTTGTGTAATATTTATATCCAATGGCCGATGAGCACCAATATGTTTATCTATAATTTATCTTCATATGACAAGGATTGAAAAGGATTTGCCAGTAGAATGTCGACTTGATTCATGATGATTTTACATTTACATCATTTAGCAGACGCTCTTATCCAGAGCGACTTACAAATTGGTGCATTCAACTTATGATAGCCAGTGGGACAACCACTTTTTTTCTTTTATGGGGGGGTGTGGGAGGGGGGGGGGGGGGGGGGGGGGGGTAGAATGATTACTTTATACTATTCCAGGTATTCCTGGAATGATGACTACTTTCTAGCTTGCTAGCTAAGATTTTGAAAGTATGATGTTGACATGATCAGTCCAATCAAAGCTACGGTAGATATAACGCGATTTGATGTAATTTTATCTGTGGCCAATGACCTTGAACCTTTTTGGAAGGGCACTTCTATGGCAGCACCCAAGGGGCTTGAATTTTCGAGCTCTCCCAATAGGTTTTGCGGTGATGTAGTGTCGCCATGAGTGACTGAACACTGAGCCAATCACGGCGCAACTAGAGAACATTACCAACCCCTATGCTCCCACTAAGTGCAAACCAGATGGGATGGCGTATCGCTGCAGAATGATGTGGTAGTCATGCTGGTTAAGTGTGCCTTGAATTCTAAATAAATCACTGACAGTGTCACCAGCAAAGCACCCCCACACCATCACACCTCCTCCTCCATGCTTCACGGTGGGATGTTACTTGAACTCTGTGAAGCATTTATTTGGGCTGCAATCTGAGGTGCAGTTAACTCTAATTAATTTATCCTCTGCAGCAGAGTTAACTCTGGGTCTTCCTTTCCTGTGGCAGTCCTCATGAGAGCCAGTTTCATCATAGCGCTTGATGGTTTTTGCGACTGCACATGAAGGAACTTTAAAAGTTATTGAACATTTCCGTATTGACTGACCTTCATGTCATTTCTCTTTGCTTATTTGAGCTGTTCTTCCCATAATTTGGACTTGGTATTTTACCAACTAGGGCTATCTTATGTATACCACCCCTACCTTGTCACAACACAACTGATTGGCTCAAACGCATTAAGAAGGAAAGAAATTCCACAAATTAACTTTTAAGAAGGCACACCGGTCAATTAAACATGCATTCCAGGTGGCTACCTCATGAAGCTGGTTGAGAGAATGCCAAGAATGTGCAAAGCTGTCATCAAGGCAAAGGGTGGCTACTTTGAAGAATCTCAAATATTGATGTCTTTACTATTATACTACAATGTAGAAAATTGTAAAAATAAAGAAATACCCTTGAATAAGTAGGTGTTCTAAAAGTAGTGTATATATATTATTTAGCTAAACAGGTGAGGCTCAAAACAGCTGGGGCTCTGCCGCACCTGCCACTGCATTAGTAATACATCACTATAACGTTACATTAGTGATGCATTCTTTTTATAGTCCCATTTTTCTCATTTATCAACCGTACGGACAAAGACCTCAAACAAAAGACAGAACAGAACAGACTTCTGATTATAGAGGAGACATTATACTGTCAGAGACTGTGGTTTTGCCTTAGCCCAGCTTTGCTCCTGAAAAATTTCTGAATCGCAGCAATCTGTGGTCCCACAGAAGAGAGCAAGTCAATGCATTTGCAATACATTACAGAAAATATTGCCCAAACAATATCATATATCACTGACTCAGTGACACTCGTTGGAAAATAAAGCCCAAAAAGAGTTGGGCGCAATCAACTGCAGCCAAATGCATGAGCATCGAGGGACAGTTAATGAATGCAGGGAGGAAAATGGGCTGATAAGCGTGGTAAGATTTGATTTTAGACCCGGCTAATGGACTTCTCCCTCCTACTCCGGAACACAGTATTCGTCCGGTGTGATTGGCAGCCTGTAAGTGCGTTAGTGCAGCTAATCTATCAACATCAGTCCCCCTGGTGGATGGACACTCATTAACCGCTAGCCTTTAATTACCCTTAATTAGCTCCCCGATCAACGGGGTGTTTACAGCCAGGTCTCTGCTCTGCTGAGTGGCTGGTCTGACCACTTCCTGGGATTCAGGCGATTGGTGCTGCAGGGGCAACATCCGTTCAGTAATATACAGTGCCTTCGGAAAGTATTCAAACCCCTTGACTTTTTCCACATTTTGTTACATTACAGCCTTATTTTAAAATGGATTAAATCGTTTTCCCCCCTCATCAATCTACACACAATACCCCATAATAACAAAGCAAAAAAAGGTTTTTAGACATTTTAGCACATTTATTAAAAATAAAAACCAGAAATAGCTTATTCAGACCCTTTGCTATGAGACTCGAAATTTAGCTCAGGTGCATCCTGTTTCTGTTGATCATCCTTGAGATGTTTCTTGATTGGACATGATTTGGAAAGGCACACGCCTGTCTATATAAGGTCCCACAGTTGACAGTGCATGTCAGAGCAAAATCCAAGCCATAAGGTTGAAGGAATTGTCCGTAGAGCGCCGAGACAGGATTTTGTCGAGGCATAGATCTGGGAAAAGGTACCAAAAAATATCTGCAGCATTGAAGGTCCCCAAGAACACAGTGGCCTCCAATGAAAGAAGTTTGGAACCATCAAGACTCTTCCTACAGCTGGCCGCCCGGCCAAACTGAGCAATCGAGGGAAGAACCTTCAAGAAGGACAACCATCTCTGCAGCACTCCACCAATCAGGCCTTCATGGTAGTGGCCAGACGGAAGCCACTCCTCAGTAAAAGGCACATGACAGCCCGCTCTGAGTTTGCCAAAAGGCACCTAAAGACTCTCAGACCATGAGAAACAAGATTCTCTGGTCTGATGAAACCAAGATTGAACTCTTTGGCCTGAATGCCAAGCTTCACGTCTGGAGGAAACCTGGCACCACCCCTACGGTGAAGCATGGTGGTGGCAGCATCATGCTGTGGGGATGTTTTTCAGCAGCAGGGACTGGGAGACTAGTCAGGATCAAGGCAAAGATGAACGGAGCAAAGTACAGAGAGATCCTTAATGGAAACCTGCTCCAGAGCGCTCGGGACCTCAGACAGGGGCGATGGTTCACCTTCCAACATAGACAACGACCCTAAGCACACAGCCAAGACAACGCAGGAGTGGCTTCGGGACAAGTCTCTGAATGTCCTTGAGTGGCCCAGCCAGAGCCCGGACTTGAATCCGATCTAACATCTCTGGAGAAACCTGAAAATAGCTGTGCAGCAACACTCCCCATCCGGCCTGACAGAGGTTGAGAGGATCTACAGAGAAGAATGGGAGAAACTCCCCAAATAAAGGTGTGCCAAGCTTGTAGCGTCATACCCAAGAAGACTCGAGGCTGTAATCGCTGCCAAAGGTGCTTCAACAAAGTACTGAGTAAAGGGTCTGAATACCTATGTAAATGTCATATTTCAGTTTTATTTTTAATAAATGTGCTAAAATGTCTAAAAACCTGTTTTTGCTTTGTCATTATGGGGTATTGTGTGTAGATTGATGAGGGAAAAAAACTATTTAAATACATTTTAGAATAAGGCTGTAACCTAACAAAATGTGGAAAAAGTCAAGGGGTCTGAATACTTTCTGAAGGCACCGTATATAAAATAAACTTATTTGGGAAAAGTTTTTTCAAAATGAAAATATAGACTACACCCTAGAAATCGATTGCAAGAATCAATCAAACAAATCTTATCTACGAAGAAAACGTTGAACGGTTAGCTATAATTTAGTCTTTCATTCCAGACAGAGTTCAACAAAACTCATATTGTGCTCTTTTCTAACCCCACTATAAAGAAATTGGGGACATTAAGTAAAACCTGATGGGTTGTGCTAATTGTGCTAATGTTTGCCGCCCATGACTGTCTTTAGCATCCATTTTCAGAGATAATCTAGAGTAAAGAGACAAATGCATTGGTATCCCCTTAGCACAGCATTTTCTACAGTAGGGACATGGGTTAAGAGCAATGGAACGGTCGGTGGAAATTGTCAGAGTGAGGGGTCGCTATACATCAGCATAACCTTCGATCTAAAGAAGCCATTTCCTGTAGCTTCTTGTCAGCTCGGTGCTTCCAGGTAGCTCTTGTGGTCAGGGGCCCTAACAAAACCTGGATTCATTATTCATAACAGGTCAACAGGTTGACAGTACAGATGGAGAACATTGATTCATGGAAACTCATAGGAGGAACCTGTAGGGCACTTGGATGAGGCTGCACCTTCTACTGACCAACCAATGACTTTATGTCTAAAACAGGTTGGATGTGGTAATCTGCAAATTCAGCACAAAGAGATAATGCATGTGTAGATAACGATGGTTATAGCTTTGTGGATAATTATTTCCGCAAGATGTGATCTCATTCTAATATCATGTTCAATGAATTACACACTTTTAGTGTAAATGATTTTGAGGGAATGTTCTGAATTCAAATATAGCCTTTGTTTTTGTTGTCTCCTTACCTATTCACATCCTAATGGACCACATCTCACGTCTTCCATCCAGTTCCAGCCAAAATCATATTCCTGCACGACGCCGAGCCACAGCACCACTGGTGTTTCCCCTTTAAGGTGGACGGGAACCCTGAGCCATCCATCCACTGGCTTTTCAACGGCGCCAACCTGACCGAGGGCCGCTACACCTACACACAGTTCATTCCTGACTCGGATGATGGCTCTGTGAAGCACGGCTGTCTATTCCTCAACAAGCCCACCCACCTGAACAACGGCCTCTACACCATCATGGTGGAGAACAGCCTGGGCGTGGATCGAGCCACGGCCACAGGGAATTTCATGAACAACCCCTTTGACCCCTTTGACCCTGAGGGCATCATCCCAGGTGATTGTCTGAAATTAAACGCTATAGAATTAGGAATTATAATAATAATAATAATAATAATAATAGTAATTTAATAGGATCTCTATGATACTGACCCTCACTTTTCACCAACTTGTGTTATGTTAGATACCGTCTCATGTGCTTGCATATACAGTATGTACTTTATACTTAGTCTAAATTTGTCATCCTCTCCTCTTTTTCTTCATGCCAGTCCTTGAAGAAAGTGATCCACGTAAGCCTTTTGAATGTTATTTTGACAGCGATTATTACCCTATAGAAACAGATAACTGTACCTAACGAGAACAAAAAATACATTTCACGAGTAGTAGAGTGTAAATTACCCAGGATTTTGCTTTCATATACTCCACATATCCAATTATTTTTATTTTTTAATACACTGTGTGTCAGTGTCTTGCATACTTTATTTGTGGTTATCATGGTGATTTGTGAGTAACGATCCATTATTAATGATTCATTTTATGCTCCCTCCAGTTCCCACCAACCAATCTAATGAGGATGTCACTGAGAACCTGGAGAGCAGAGTGTTTGGGGTGAGAAGCCATTCAATGGGTCTGAAACATAGTAATAATATAACACACAGTATGGAATGCTAATGCTAATGTTTTAGAAAATGTTATGTTATGCTATGCTAGGCTATGTTGATGCTAATTATGTTTCTGTGCAGGTGTCGGTGGCAGTGGGTCTGGCTGTGTTTGCTTGCACCTTCCTCCTCATTATGGTACTGGTCATCAACAAGTGTGGACAGCAGTCCAAGTTTGGTATTCACCGTAAGTGACACACTCTACTATGCAATGGGTTTGAAATACCACAGTAGTGTCTGTCGGTTGTCATTTTGCACAAAATATAGTGTCCTATACTCAGAGGGGTAATAGTAAGCAACACGTTACTTGAGTTTTCATAGAAGACAGCTATGAAACAACTTGAGATGGGTATGTTGTTCTCAAAACGCATCAATTGTTAGAAAGTGAAGGGCTGAGAGTGAATTCTGACATGTCCCTGTCTGGAGCATTCAATAAGAGACAACCCCAGGAGAATAAGACACTTTGCCAACGGTAAAGACTTCTCTGAAAACGCATATCCATTTTAAACTGAAAGATGCAAAAGCCAGCGACAATGCGAACTCATTTCTTTCATTATCACTTTGGAATTGCCAATATTTCCGAAGCAAGCATTGTATTCCTCTGAAAGTAATTCACATGAGGCCAGGCAATATAAGGTTTCTGCCAGGCTGTAACTTTGCACACTGTCAGCCCAACATCTCAGTTAGAGTGCCTTAATTACAGCAGTGAACTGCGTCAGGAGCCCCTAGCTGCTGCGTGGGCCATTAAAGAAGACTGATAGAGGCCAGCTAGGCGTGATAGGTCCTCTCGGACCCCCCCAGAAAGTGCCTAAGTGGGCCTGATTGCCTAAGTGGGACCCCCTCCTGGCCGACTCGTTTCCCCTCGCTTGCTGCCGTCCACCATTTTCTATCAGTGGCTCTGGGGGGTTCTGCGGTTTTCTCGATGAGTGGGTTTTACGGTTTTCGGCACATGTTTGCCTTTTAATACTGTCTGCAGATAATACAGTAGTTGCTTACCGTTCCGACGTCCACTTTCCGACATTTTCTTTGTTACTGAACAATGCATCCATAAATTGCTGAAAAGTAAATGGATGTATCACATTCACGTCTCTCTCTCTCTCTCTCTCTCTCTCTCTCGCTCTCTCTCTCACTCTCTCTCCAGGTTCATCTGTCTTGGGAACAGAGGATGATCTTGCTGTGTCACTGCGTTTCATGAACTTTGGGGCCAGCCCTCCTTCCTCTGATGACTCTGGCATGTCCAGCTTTGTGGAGAACCCCCAGTACTTCTGTGGCATATTCAAAGACAAAGACATGTGTGAGTGGAATCGGAATACAACTAGGGAGTGGATACGCGCTAACTTCATTATGATTGCATTTAATATACTGTATCTACCATGTTTTTCCCTAGATAAAGTTGGTAATGCAGTGATCCTATTCTGTTTTACAAGGCCCAATGTTAAACACCTTTATCTGTGTATGTACAGGTGTGCAGCACATTAAAAGACAGGACATAGTTCTGAAGTGGGAACTGGGTGAGGGGGCGTTTGGCAAAGTCTACCTGGCAGAGTGTGCCAACCTCAGTCCGGACAGTGACAAAATGCTGGTGGCCATCAAGGTATGCATGAGACTGCCACCCATGGCCACACTTTCAGAGGTGCCTTACATGAAGTTTAGAACTCCTAAACATTATGATGTCATATCCTCCTGTGACTGTGTTTCTCTGTGGTCAGACTCTGAAGGATGCCAACGAGTCGACCCGGCAGGACTTCCAGAGAGAGGCTGAGCTGCTCACAGTGCTCCAGCACCAGCACATCGTTCGCTTCTACGGAGTGTGTACAGATGGAGAGCCACTGGCCATGGTGTTTGAATACATGAGACATGGAGACCTCAACCGCTTCCTCAGGTATGGAAAAGAAACAGAACCTCATACTTAAACCCCACAGGGATAACCTCATGCTAACCTTCCCCTGCTTACTTCAATTAATTAGCTTCAGTATGGTAACTATTTAGAAGCCAAAGGTTTTGTTCTGACCTCACTGCATCATTGTGTCCACTGCTCTTCAGCAAAGCCACTTAATTGACCTTGATGAACCACACAAATACAACTGTTTCTATTCCAAGCCACACTTGTAGACACCTTCGCCCTCATTGCTCTACCTTGTTGTGTACCCAAGACAACAAGCCACTTGGGGTGGACCATATGGACCAACAGTGTGTTGCAGTGGTTAGGACACTTAGTTGTGGGAGTGCCAAATAATTTGTGTGAGCTGGGATGACTGAATATGTGATTTTAGATGCATTTAAAATATCATGTCATTGAAGATAGTCTGGTCCAACATGGATGCAGGAGAGATGTTCACTGAGCAGTCAGATAGAGCACCATGTTGATACTGTAGATGACCACTCATGCTGCACCTGGGACATAGTCTGAGACACCATTGAAACAGACATAGACAGTGTATGTCTGTCACTGCCAGGTGTCCAATGGGGCCAGACTGGGAATGAAGACTCAATGCACACACAGACACAGCCCACACTATCCATGTTCATGGATAGATGGAAATCACATTTCCAAGCAGACAGAATGGATGAGTGTCTCTTGGCCTATGAGGCAGCTGCTCGTCTACCCTACCACCTGCCTGTTAAACTAATAGTGATAGAATAGACAACTTCCTGCACGTGACAAAGTAGAGAGGCATTCTATTAGGATTGATGGAGACATCGAGGAGCTTATTGGGAGTGAGCTACAAGCCAGAGTGGGTGGGGTGGATGTGATATTGAGAGAAACTGTGGAACGTTTGAAGAATAAGGCTATCATGCATCTCGGAATCAAATTATTCCAAATGAATGCAAGGCGTATAACAAGCCTTATGTTTCCTATTAACCATCTTGTTAAGTTGTTTTGTTATGGTTTGGTCTCTAGCTGACCGCCTCTATTACACTTAAAGGATCTCATACATGTCCAACATGTTCCATCTGCAGATTGCATGCAGTAATCATCCATCTGGTCACTGTATGTTGATATTGCATCACTAGGTTGGTGCAAAAGTTCATGCATCAAAGGACCAATCATAAGCCTAAATTAATCTGGATGACCAATGGGAGAGCTGGGCCCATATCATAAAGCGTCTCAGAGTAGGAGCACTGATCCAGAATCAGGTCTCCCTGTCCATATATTCATTATAATCTAAAAGGCTATACTGATCCTGTATAAACACTACTCTGAGACTCTGTGAATACGGGCCCTGATGGATATCAGCCAAAGTATGTCTCATGCCGTTCACCCAAAAGCCCCAAAAGCCTGTAAAGGTCATGACCTGTCCTCCCCCTGTCCACCAGGGCCCACGGTCCAGACGCCCATATCCTGGAGGAGGTGAAAATGCCCCCACTGGGCCAGCTCACTCTTCCCCAGATGCTGGACATCGCCGCCCAGATCGCCTCGGGCATGGTCTACCTGGCCTCCCTTCACTTCGTGCACCGGGACCTGGCCACACGCAACTGCCTGGTGGGAGATATGGGAGAGGGTCTGATGGTCAAGATAGGAGACTTTGGCATGTCCCGGGACATCTACAGCACAGACTACTACAGGGTAAAGGTGGAAGTAGTGAAATACTTTTTTAGGGGGGGATTTTGTCATCCAACATTTCATTGTCATGTAATATTTAACAAAATATTATATCCAATTGTATGTACACTGAACAAAAATATAAACGCAACATGTAAAGTGTTGGTCCCATGTTTCATGAGTTGAAATAAAAGATCACAGAAATGTTCCATACGCACAAAAAGCTTATTTCTCAAAGATGTTGTGCAAACATTTGTTTACATCCCTGTTAGTGAGCATTTCTCATTTGTCTAGATAATCCCTCCAATTGACAGGTGTGGCATTAAACAGCATGATCATTACACAGTTGCACCTTGCACTAGGGACAATAAAAGGCCACTCTAAAATGTGCAGTTTTGTCACACAACACAATGCCACAATTTTGAGGGAACGTGCAATTGGCATGCTGACTGCAGGAATGTCCACCAGAGCTGTTGCCAGGAGAATTTAATGTTAATTTCTCTACCGTAAGCCGCCTCCAACTTTGTTTGAACAGAAAACCCCATGGTGGCGGTGCGGTTATGGTATCGGCAGGCATAAGCTACGGACAATGAACACAATTGCGTTTTATCGATGGCAATTTGATTGCACAGAAATAACGTGAGGCCCATTTTTTTTTTCAGGTATCTGTGAACAACAGATGCATATCTGAATTCCCAGTCATGTGAAATCCATAGATTAGGGCCTACTGAATTTATTTCAATTGACTGATTACCTCATATGAACTGTAACTCAGTAAATCTTTACAATTGTTGCATGTTGCGTTTATATTTTCGTTCAGTATAAAAAAAAGACAATGATATTTTCAATGTATAGGCTTATCACATATGAAGTAGCATGGTATATCTGATGATCATCTTCATTGTCATATTAATTATAATTCTATAAATGCACCATTGAATGATCATTGACCTCACCCCTATCAGGTGGGTGGGCGTACGATGCTTCCTATTCGCTGGATGCCCCCGGAGAGCATCATGTACAGGAAGTTCACCACGGAGAGTGATATCTGGAGCTTTGGAGTGGTCCTCTGGGAGATCTTCACCTATGGGAAACAGCCCTGGTACCAGCTCTCCAACAGTGAGGTAAGGAACTGGGCACTGGGTAGGCAGCAACATGGGGTGCCAGGTTGCCTAGTGGTTAGACCGTTGGGCCAGTAACTGAAAGGTTGCTGGTTTGAATCCCTGAGCTGACAAGGTGAAAAATCTGTTGATGTGCTGTTGAGCAACCCTAATTTATCCAGGGATGCTGTTCATGATGGCAGACCCTGGCTGTGACCCTACTCTCTGATGGTGTCTCAGGGGGAGTGGGATATGCAAAAACACAATTTCCAATTCACATGTGAAATAGGACGAATATGGGCACCTACCTTTTTTTGTGTGAAAGGGGCATCTTTGTATTGGTGATCAAAACCTTCTAAATTCATAGTAATAATTAAGTAGATATAACTCTGATATCTAGTTGTGTTGAATAATGAAACAGTGTCCAGGCAAAGTGTAAATACTGTACCACATCATCATACAGCCAGTGGATAGAGGGTGAAGTGTTTGATCATAGAGCGATACTAGAGCACTCGGTTTTCCCAGCTGACATACAGCCAATCAATGAGTTCATAGTAATCATGGCGGGCCCAGTCCAACCCTTTTAGGTTGCACCCCAAGAAGTGGACACTGTCCTGACCGCAACTGCACCATTATGGACTAGAACCCTCTTTCCTTTCAAGTGGATGGTAGATCACTTTTCCCGTCCACTCAATTCTAATCTCATTGGCTCTCATCTTTGCCCAGGGCCAATGACGTTTAACCTTGTTAACCTAATCCTTCCCGGCCAATGATGGACTTGCGTAATTATCATGTTGTCTAATTAGGGAAGGCAGGGATAAATCATCCCAAACTCTCCATTTAGGTCTGAGATAAGGCGACGGGCGGCCATCTTGGAAAGTCACTATACATATGTTTCTTAGAGCTCGGTGAGAGCGTGGTTGTCCTATGGTTATTATGCATACAACCTTCCCACAACTTTCTAGGAATGGTGCAGGATAGTTGCTTTGGAACATTCTCAGCACATTTAAGGAACTTGACAAAAAAACATTATTGTCTTGGTGTTTCATTACTTTAACAGAACGTTTCCTAAAAGTTATAGACTAAAATGACATAAAATTAACAGCTTTGTATGAGTAAAAAAACATGGCATGCTAGTTCCATCCTAGTAGTGCAAAGGACTTATTACATAGATAAACAACAGAAGATCATAGGTTTGAATCTCACTGATGCTGTGCCACAATAAAAAATAAATGTGTTTGCATGATTAATGCCTAAGCAAATTAATTTCCATGTGTCCTATCTGTGCTTGGAGTTTAAAACATTTATTCTAAGCTAGCAGTCTTATTGAAACATGTTCTCAGAACGTTATTTAATTACCTTCAAATAGTATGAAAAAGTATGAAAATGTACGCACTCACTAACTGTAAGTCGCTCTGGATAAGAGCGTCTGCTAAATGACTAAAATGTAAAATGTAAATAACCTATCATTTCCGTTCTCAGAACGTTAATAAAACCTCAGAGGAAAACTTTCAGGGAACTATAGTAAAACATTGTCAGAACCTAAAAATAAACGTTCCCAGAACAGGCAAAATTATCACTTCCATTCTCAGAACTTTTAAAAGACGTTCTGCTTTACTGGTCAGGAAATGTTTGGGCTTCGTTCCCAGAACCAATGGGAAACCAAAAACATACGTTCCCACGACTTCCAAGGAACCAACTGTGCTAGCTCAGTATTATAGTATGACGAGGTTCAGTGCTGACAGGTCTCTTCAGTTCATTGGATTAGGTCAGGGATAACCCTCTTTAAAAGGGTTAAGTCACTGGCTCTTTATGTGATGTGGGGCCAAGGGCAGTCCTTGAATGGGAATAGGCATAGTGGAATTCAGTCCTTGACAGTGATAAATGCATTGAGCCATGCCAAGTGCAAGAATGGGTCAATTTGACAATTTCTGATGAATACCGTTCCATTGTTTTGCAAGATCACCAGCTTATTAGAGGCAACATCTTTGGTTCTCACAGAACGTTCTCCAGAATTATGTAGAAGTTGTCGATTCATCTTGACAACTCCACTTATTGTTCTTACCCAAGTGTCTTCACCTCAAGCTCTCTAGGGTGGCTTGAGCTTGTCTGGTCAAATGAATGAAAAGTGACGATCATGAAAACTTTCAAACCCTGACGTAATAGCCCCAGATAAAGAGGCATACCAAAAACCTAGAGTTACCGTAGCTAGCAGACCTTCTAATTCTAACCCCCTCCCTCTGCCTCTATTTGCGCCCCCCACAGGCTATCGAGTGCATTACACAGGGCCGGGAGCTGGAGAGACCACGCACTTGCCCCAAAGAGGTGCACGGCCTGATGCAGGGCTGCTGGCAGAGGGAGCCCCAGCAGAGGCTGGTCATCAAGGACATCCACAGCCGCCTCCTGGCCCTGGTGAAGAGCCCCCCTATCTACCTGGACATCCTTGGGTAGAGGCTGGGAGGGCTGGGGCTGGGGCAGTGTCCAGGCAAGGGGAAGTAGGGGAACTTACAGTCAGGGATGATGGGTATTGGGAAGGGGTGGGAGTTAGGTAAAGAACTGTGCTGTGGTCATCCTGAACCTAAGCATTGCCGTCATTTACCTCTATGGGTCTTAACCACATCGACACCCCCTCTGATTGGATATTTGGTCAGGTCGGACTTTGCTACGATCTGTTCTGATAGGGACCATTGGGATGGGAGTAGGGTGAAGTTGCCCCTAGACGCTGATATTGGGTCATTTTTGCATTTTCCCCAGTAATGGTTAAGGTTAGGATTGGGGGAGGGGAAGCTGATCCCAGATCTGTACCTCAGAGAAACTTTACCCTGGAGCAATGGGAAGACTATGGGGATGGGGGTCAATTCCTACTTCCTGGTCAATGTTTCTTAACACTAAAGCTGGACATACTGTACGGACACTGGCAACATCCATGCTGCTTCAGCTTTGCCTACTACCCCAACTCGCCTTGTCTCATGACGACCCAGCCCCAACTCTGTGTGCCGCTGGCTGGGAGCAGGAGGAAGAGGGTGAGCCAACGAAGACCTGTCAAGTGTTTACTGTGAGTGTTTTATTGTGTAACTGAATGGGTGTCGTCGTGATGAAGGGTTTTGCATGATTGGCGAAATACAGACTATACATCCACTGTAGCGGGATTCACTGTTGCCTGAGAATATGGAAACATTGAATTACTTTAGTGAAGTTTAAGAGGTTCAGTGTTTTTCAAGCCGGAGCATACTTTTCATAGGTGAGATTTCAAACTTTCTTCTACAATTTTGATAATAACAGCTTTAACACTATGATCAAGATGTATTATAACAGTAAGACGCCATCTTTCCATTTTCAAGCTGTGTGATATAATCAGCAGGAGTGAATATTATTTCAAGAGAAGCCAAGTCAATTGCACTAATCAGAAAGGTTTCTATTGTTAGGCAGTTATGTCAGATCCTTCCTTTTTCATATGCATAGCCCAGACCATAGTGAAGAAACTGCATACAAAGTCTGTATTCCTCATGGCCATCCCTTGCATTGTATTGGGATATCAATTATCAATTAGCATTTTGGAATATGAACTAACAGTAAATGGACATTAAGATGAATGCTCCTTATCAATATAATCTTATTTGATAACCCAAAACCCAACCATCATTTGGATTGAAAATGTCATAATTAAATGCTCACAATTTTCTTAAAACAGTCATATGTGTGTGTGTGTGTGCGCGCGAAGAGATATTGCAATGCTAGTTTGACTGGACGTCGTCTACTGTTGATATTGTTTACTACAGGTGTTTATAGTTAATGGAATACAGTACAATGTTTTGCATTTCTCCACCTACTAATTCTAATCCGAATGTAAAATATTATATTTACAAACATTATAGTAGAGTTGTACAGTTATTCTTTTGACTTATTCAGTATTTATCTAATTTATTACTCTGTTGAAAATGTCTTACTGTATATGAAATCCTTTTCTGTCAGAGGACAAAACAATGACGAATAATTGTAAAATAGGAATATTTTTGAAAAAACATAGGGGGGGGGGGGGAACTTCTATTAAAGGCCAGGAAGGTGTTTTTCCTGACATACTAATCCTACATTTTTTGCATTTAAATACTGTAGAAGGATTTCTCTGTCCAAGGCCAGTGAGTATACTCCAAATAAAAAAATGGTATGCAGTGCAAGACATAGTTTCAGGTTCAGTTACATAGCTTTCATAGGGAATAGCCATGTTAACATGCCTTATAGTGACCCCAAAGCATTTAACATCAGCCTTGAACATCAAAGCAAGCTGCTGCAATCCAGTAAGGGACAAGATGGTTGAGAGAGATACAGCGAGATGGTTTCACAAGTAACAGATGGATAACAATGATCGAAACTTCAGGAGGAGAGTGACAGATGGAATTGAAATAGAGTCCCTGATACAACCTATACACCACAGGGCATGTGTCTGGGCAAAACACACAACAAGGTCGACTCTCCATTTTAACCTTTCACCTTCAAAATAAAAGCGGACGTTTTACAAGACTAGTAAAACAATTGGGACACCTTTGAATGTAAATATGTAAATATACTTTATTGATGTAAAAAAAAAAAATGTATATCGTCTGCACATGAATAAAACAACCATTTGGTTCAAGAGCTCCGTTTCCAATTGTCTACCATCTTACAGTACATTTTTAAAATCATTTTTCTGAGAATGAACAAATACAGACTAATTGTACGTAAACGTTTTAGCCTGCAAAAGCACCTTTTATTGTGTGGAGGTCCGTAATCAACTACCTGAATTACACACAGCAGTACTTTCGCCCTGGAACGCTCACCACACACATCAGTTACTGGAAGAATCAAGTTTTATATTACCTTACATCACCCCCCAAACAAACAAACACACTTTGGGTATATTACAGCAGCCTCTCTTGACCTCACACTTTTTTTCTCCCTCCCTTTTTTCCATATCCACTCCCTTAGGAGTGCTAATGGGTTGTGAGTAATGCTATATCGCTGGCTCTCTCCCTCTCTTTAGTGTATTGGAAATGAAAACAGTTGTTAGGCTCATGCTGGACCACTGTTTCCTATCACGTCTTCGAGGCAGAGACCCGACTATACCTTCAACCCCCTATAGAGATATACTTTCCACTGCCCATCTCCTTCCAGGGCTAGAGCCAAATGAGTCTGCCTCTACTATCTCAACTCCCTCATTATCACTCCCCTTTTAAAAGAGACCCTAATACCCTCTTTCCAAGGAAAAGAGAGCCTCTATTCCCCATCTGAAGTGTAGAGACCAAGATCTCAGCATCTTCCCCATTGACTGAGAGAAAAAAAGAACCTCAAATTGCCTCAAAACAAGATAAGCAATATTTGTTAAAACAAATTTGGTAGAATCTGGCAAAATAACTACATTTTCCGCTAAGCTTGGCAACAAGAGGTTCGCTACATACTTGTTGGCTACACAGGCAAAAAAAATAATCATTGTACAATCATGCCTCCTACTGCTCACATTCATACACCAATACTTTGTTCCCTCTTGCAGTAGAACAGTGGTTGTTTTACAGTAGATCATTGCTCAGTGAAAGGTTGTCACCTGCTGTATTGGAAAAGAACTGCAGTACTCCCCTACACAATCCAACATTTCAACTGATACAGTTGATATACACAGTTGACAGACAAACACAGTAATGCTGTCAAATATGTGGTGAGTAATTTTTATTAGAGAAATTATTCCAGTGATAATACACTCAAATAATGCAGCATTGACACACTTTTAGTAACAAGATAGCAAACAATGAAATGTTTTTTTTTTCTGTTTTTTTCCCCAGGAACTATATTAAGTTCTCCACACAAAACACAGCATATATGCTAAATTAAAATAAAGGTTTAATTAAAGATAGTATGAAAGGACAATAGGCACAGACATTCATTCAAACCGCTTCTTTCCTCTTTGCTAAAACCTAGCACTCTTCAGGAGTCATATCACTGGAAGGTAATTGGTGTGTGGTTTGTGGTGTCATCCAACCAAATCTTTGCATAGCTTCCTGTTTTACTTACTGTAACATGCCATTCAATATGAACAAACTTTGGGAATCATTGTAGCTTCATGAAAGTGATCGACGTAAACAAACAGACACATTTGAACTAATAGGTTATCACTTTTTTTCAGCAATAACCTAGTTTGAACTAAAGTCAATTTCAATGATAAAAGCATAACAGAATGTTTTGATATTTTGTTGAACATTCAAATATTCAACAACTTAAAGGACAATAGGTTATATGCACCAACTGCAGGTATATCAGCACTACAATATGTGTATTCAGATACAGTTATGGTCGATATGCTCGGCCACACGCTAATCACATCCCACTTCCAAGAAACAACTTGTAAGACGATGAAAGCACCATACCAAAAATCAACAGTGGAAAACTGAGTGCTATTAGAATGATGAAAAGGGGAACTCTATGGGTCTCTCTGTGTTCAATACACTAACCCTCAAAACAAAAATTGGTTTTCAAACAATAGGGCTCTCGTTGGAGTAAAATAAGTGTGTTTGTGTGTATGTGCACGTGTGTATGTTTGTTTGTGTGCCTATACTGCATGTACACTATGCTCTGTATTCCTCGACCTGCATCACAGTCCATTTCCCTCACTGACCACAATATCACTTTCTATTCCCTCATAACTACCCAAAGCCTTTAGGGGAGACTGCGGTTGGTTGTCACACATTTTACTCTGGTGTGTATTTCTCAGCACCAGTATATCTTACAAGACTTTTCAACATTAATAGAAAGACCAAGGTCTTGGGTTGAAATAGGGACCCTATTATTATGTCTTATTCCAACATGGAGTTATAAGCCATTAAACACACTCTGTCCACTTGTGACAACCAGCCTCGTCGCAGGGTTGGTTGTCACACAGTATGAGGTTCACAGGAGGTTGGTGGCACCTTAATTGGGGAGGACGGGCTCATGGTAATGGCTGGAGTGGAATCAGTGGAATGGTATCAAATACATCAAACACATGGTTTCCATGTGTTGATGCCATTCCATTCGCTCTGTTCCAGCCATTATTTTGCGGCGTCCTCCCCTAGGCAGCCTCCACTGATGGGATGGTTGTCACAATGTTGGCTAGTAGTTTATTCCTTTTGTAACAGGAAATGAAGCAATATAGTATACAGTGTCTTAGAAATAGCCTTCTTTGATCAAACGATACTCCTAACAAAATGCAGCATTTTATGCCTTGAGAACAACATATGTCCTTTTGAGTCAATTTGCGTGTGCGTGTGTTTGCACAGCGCCCTCTAGTTTGGGAGTTATAAGCACTGTGACAACCAACACTGGTCTCCCTTACATGCTAGACACATGATACAATAATGTGTGTTAGGTCTACATGTAAGTGCTATTATGACAAGAAATGATCATATGATGTTGGGGATGTAATTAATAACTTTTCCTAATCTAAAATGTTTAGAAAAATAATCACGTAAATATACTGATCACTGCCAAAATGAAGGAAACACTTGAGTAAATGAGGGATACAAAGTATATTGAAAGCATGTGCTTCCACACAGGTGTGGTTCCTGAGTTAATTAAGCAATTAATATTCCATCATACTTAGGGTAATGTATAAAAATGCCCAGTTGCCCATTATTTTAGCTACCATGGCTAGAAGGAGAAATCTCAGTGACTTTGAAAGTAGGGTCTCAAAGGAGCATACAGGTTTTAAAGGGTGTGTGTGTGTCTATCAGTCACCACATTTCAACCCAATTGAACACTTATGGGAGAATCTGGAGCGGTGTCCTGAGACAGCGTTTTCCACCCCATCAACTAAACACCAAATTATGGAATTTCTCATGGAAGAATGGTGTCGCATCACTCCAATAGAGTTCCAGTCACTTGTAGAATCTAAGCCAAGGCATAGAAGCTGTTCTGGCGGCTCGTGGTGGCCCAACGCCCTATTAAGACACTTTACAGTATGTTGGTGTTTCCTTTATTTTGGCAATTACCTGTACATATGCACCACGCTTTACAACTGAACAGAAACAGTAAGTGCTGTTATATATACTACAATGAATACATATTCAAGAGATACCACACTATTTTTCAAGGATACATGTAAACAATAGCCACTGACAATGTTATATCAGCATGGGGTGTGGTGTATTGGTTCGCCATAAACCTGTAATGACCACCACGATACCACATGACAGTGCCAAGACCCTTTGACCTCCACTGACCACAACCACATGCCTGGGAGATGAGGTTCTGTTGTGCACCATCATCTAAGATGTCTTCCATCAGATAGCTGTTATAAACAGGATCATTTGGTACGTCCTATCGATGTTACAATGATGGGTATGTTTAAAGGAGAATTTCAGTAATTCTCTGACATTTAAACAGCACGTAGTGTTTCACAAAAATGTATCCAATGACCATTACTGTATATGGTAGAAGTAAAAAATAAGAGTACTCCTAAGAACAATAAAAGTGGCTGAGCATTTACAGGAACACATACTGCGAAGAACCATGGAGTTTCCATGGAAACCTACGTCTGTAAAATGGCACCTGTCTTTTAATCATAGACATGGTACAGTGCTGTAGCTTTCAGATACATGCTACGAAAAAAGGGTTACAAAAGGGTGTCCCCATAGGAGAACCCTTTTTGGTTCCAGGTAGAACCCTTTTTGGTTCCAGATAGAACTCTTTTGGGTTCCATGTAGAACCCTCTGTGGAAAGGGTTCTACAAGGAACTCAAAAGGGTTCTACCTGGAACCAAAAAGGGTTCTTTAAAGGGTTCTCCTACGGGGACAGCTGAAGAACCCTTTTAGATTCTAGATAGCAGCTTTAGACATTTAGAGCAGGCCATCTGAGAGAGCACTATACTGGTCTGTAAATCTATTCAACTCATAGTGGAGAAATGGGGTCTAGCAATTGAAAACTGCATATATGATGTAGATTTAAATGAGATGGTAGTGAATATTGAAATAAAATGGTGGAATCATACTAAGTAGTCCAGTTAGTGAGAGTGCAGATTATTTTAGAAGTCATGAGAATCATGTAATGGATAGTCATACTTTATATTAAATATGGGTTTTGAGATGTTCTAATAATGGCTTACAAATATATAGGACAAATGAACAACAGTAGCTAAATACTTATATATTAATATGAAAATTCCCTGCAACTTTACAGTTAAAGATTTTTCCAGTTTGAGATTTCACAAACCAGAAATAATGTTACGAGTACTTAGGTAACATTTGTGTCACTATCTATAAAAGAAGGCACTTTTATGTGTTGTTAGACATCAAATATGCTTCATACAACCCAAAGCCTTTCAAGTATAAGTGAAAAGAAGTCGGCATATGATACTTTAACTCTAAATACCTCCACAACTTTTAACAGTAAACAATGATACTGAATAACTGAAAGGCTTCATAAAAATTGCTGGGTATTCAGATTCAAAGTAAACAGTGAACACATTAATAAACTCCTAAACAAACCTTATAATGACGTTAGAATAACATGTAGAAAAACCATCCTGTGATAATAATCCAATGGAGTTATACAAATACTACCTGGTTTTAAAAGGTATAATACAACTTTTTGTGGTTATTATTTCCAAAGTTCACGACTGGGAGAATGGTTTAGCCAACCCTTTTCATTTGAACATACTGGGTGATCACTGGTTGTGGGGAGTGTCACTGTTGCTTGCGTTTCGTGGGTGGCGTCAGTGGGTGGTTGGCACTGTGGTGTGGGTTCCACAGCAGAGGGGCACTGAAGATGACAATGATGCCTAGGTTGAGGATGATGCCGAGGGCCAGTGCCCCCAGGGTACTCAGGAAGGAGGGTTCGGCCGCCTGCGTGATGAGCCACGCCCTGCGTGAGGTCATATCTGCTAGCACCGCCTCCATCTGGAAGTGGGTACCCACCACGGCACAGATGTGGAAAAGCTGGTGACTGTGGCCTGAGAGAGGAGAGAGAGAAGGAGAGCGATATCAATGAGAGAGAAAGTAATTGAAAATGCTTGGATTTGATGATACTGCAGTCACTATTCAAATATTCGCCTACAGTACCATCACTGACACAGTAGAAATGATACCGATATGAGCCAACAATAATTGGCCAGACTAGCTAAAGCTTGCTCAATAACTGGTATAACCTCCCAATTCCAGTTGCCACGGTAACACCAGGCATTGGCGTGGACATACCGAAGTAGTCGAAGCGCCCCGGGGCCAGCCTCTCTGGGAGGTGTGAGGCAAACAGGAAGCAGGTGAGGAAGGCGAAGAGTAGGTGGTAACAGTGACTGGGCAGGGCCTCACTGTGACAGCAGCTGCCCCCGCAGCACAGCAGCAGCTACACAAACACACACATAAGATCATTGGCACAAACAGCGGCCAATAGATTAAAAGCTTTAACAGCATGTGGTCAAATCTTTATTTATTCTACACAAAATCCGTTTCTAAGTTAATGAGTCAAAAGTCCTGGTCAAAGTATTAAAGAGATGCATTAATCGGATCTTAACTGTTACATAACAAACAGAATGCAACCCAATAATTGCACAAGCAGACTTTCTGTGAACTCTGTCTACACCTTCTTAAAATACACTCACTCTGTAAAATAGAGGGATGTTGTCAAAGATGAATGGAAAGACAAATGCCCCTGTCCGGAGAATTTTACTCCGGTGTGGAAATTGCAGCTCTAGGAATCTATGAAAAAAACAGAGGGAGGAAAGTTACAATGGTTTCAATGACCAGGAGAGTGATGCATTGTGGGTAGGAGACAGTATGGCTGCCTACCTAGAATAGCAGGACAGGCTGGTGCAGAATAGTGTGTTGCAGATGGCAATGGGCACAAAGTGTTGGTGCAGCCAGCTGTTGACCCAGCAGTCAGGCATCACATAGGAGCCATAGGTTATGGCACAACCTGGACACAAACACACAAAACATTGAAAGGTTAAAAAACATACAGCACCAGTCAAAAGTTTGGACACCTACTCATTCAAGGGTTTATCTTTTTTTTTTTTTTTACTATTTTCTACATTGTAGAATAATAGTGAAGACATCAAAACTTTGAAATAACACGTATGGAATCATGTGGTAACAAAAAAAGTGTTAAACAAATCCAAATATATTTTATATTCTAGATTCTTCAAAGTAGCCACCCTTTGCCTTGATGACAGCTTTGTAGACTCTTGGCATTCTCTCAACCAGCTTAATGAGGAATGCTTTTCCAACAGTCTTGAAGGAGTTCCCACATATGCTGAGCACTTGTTGGCTGCTTTTCCTTCACTCTGCGGTCCAACTCATCCCAAACCATCTCAATTGGGTTGAGGTCGAGGGGATTGTGGAGGCCAGGTCATCTGATGCAGCACTCCATTACTCTCCTTCTTGGTCAAATAGCCCTTACACAGCCTGGAGGTGTGTTTTGGGTCATTGTCCTGTTGAAAAACAAATGATCGTCCCACTAGGCGCAACCAGATGGGATGGCGTATTGCTGCAGAATGCTGTGGTTAAGTGTGCCTTGAATTCTAAATAAATCACCAACAATGTCATCAGCAAAGTACCCCCACACCATCACACCTCCTCCTCCATGCTTCATGGTGGGAACCACACATGTGGAGATCATCTGTTCACCTACTCTGCGTCTCACAAAGACACGGCGGAGCCAGTTTCATCACAGCGCTTGATGGTTTTTGCGATTGCACAGATTTTCCGGATTGACTGACCTTCATGTCTTAAAGTAATGATGGACTGTCGTTTCTCTTTGCTTATTTGAGCTGTTCTTGCCATAATATGGACAGTCTTTTACCAAATAGGGCTATCTTCTGTATACCACCCCTACCTTGTCACAAAACAACTGATTGGCTCAAACGCATTAAGAAGGAATGAAATTCCACAAATTAACTTTTAACAAGGCACACCTGTTAATTGAAATGCATTCCAGGTGACTACCTCATGAATCTGGTTGAGAGAATGCCAAGAGTGTGCAAAGATGTCATCAAGGCAAAGGGTGACGATTTGAAGAATCTCAAATATAAAATATATTTTGATTTGTTCAACAATTTTTTGGTTACTAAATGATTCCATATGTGTTATTTCATGGTTTTGATGTCTTCACTATTACTCTACAATGTAAAAAATAGTAAAAACATAGAAAAACCCTTGAATGAGTAGGTGTGTCCAAACTTTTGACTGGTACTATACAATATCTGAGTCTAAATCTACCATGCATTTACCTACCATACACTCACCAAGCACTTAAAATGCTTATAAATTGCAATTCTCACAACATACTGTATCAATTAGGCTCTAACAACCTACTAATGAAACATTGGCCTTGCACTTGCTGTAAATATGCTTCAGCACCAGTTTATAATCCCAATTATGTACTTCCGGTAAATCTACAGGCTTTTTTAAATAAACTTGGCTGCAGGGGCGGTGTGTTCATTAGGGCGATATGGGCGACACACTGCCAAACGGGAAAAGGAAGGGATTTTTTTCTAATCAATTATATCACGGCAACAGTAGTTATCAGTGTTCTAATCTAGACGTCTGATCTGAAATTTTTTTCAAATATCAGAGCTTTCAATACAATCTCTATGGGTTTCTGAGGGCTTGCACTTACGCGCTTTCGTCATACGTAACATAACCATGAACGTAACTAAGAAAAGAGCGGGTAGCAGCGTCAATCAATTCACGTACTACTATCAAGATGGCTAACGTTCAGTGCAACTCGATTGTCTCTTTGAAAGAAGTTCACATCAAAGACCATTCAAAACGAGCTACTGGAGTGTATGCTAGCGGTCATGAGGGAACATATTGTGGAGGAGGTGAAGTCGGCGAACTTCGTAGCTATCCAAGCTGACGAGACCACGGACGTTTCTACACAGACACAGCTGGTGCTTGTGCTGAGGTACATAGATAGAAACCACAAAGTGCAGGAGCGCTTTTTTGAGTTCCTTCCCATCTCGGAATCAACCTCAGTCTCAATCGCCAGTGTGCTTTTGGAGAGACTGAACGGTATTTTTGCCGACGACGAGAAAGTCAAACTGTGGTGCTGTACCAGGTTCTCATGAGCTACAACCTCCAGGAGACGTTCTCTGAGACTGTGACTCTGTTGAACATCCCCATAACTACTCCAATGACAACAGCTGAAGCTGAGAGATGTTTCTCAACTTTGACACGAGTTAAGACATTCCTGCGAAATTCAATGGGCCAGGAACGTCTGAATGCACTGGCCATGCTTTCCATGGAGAGGGAACTAGTCCTCAGCATGCCTGATTTCAATGAGAAAGTCATTGACCGCTTTGCTGCATTGAAAGAGAGAAGAGAACAGTTTCAGTACAAGTAATGTAGCCTCTCTCTCTCTTTGTCCCTCCCTGTCTGTCTCTTTAACACACACACGCCCAAATCAGTTCACAGTTGATGTTGTTTAAAATAGTTATTTTTCATTTAAAAAAAAGTAAAAATAAAAAAAAAATCTGTTCATGTTCATTTTTACAAATCTATACAATTGGCCAGAATTTGGTTGTTCATATTTACAAATCTATACAATTGGCCAGAATATGGTTGTTCATTTTTACAAAGCCATACAGATAGCTGTGTTTACCTTTTCTATAAATTATTTTCAAATTCTGTTTTCAGGCAAAATGTCTATCACTGTTCATTTTCACAAATATATACAAGAGGGCAGAATATGGAAGTCTATAAAAATGTCTTATTACCAATAACTTGCATCAATGTTTTCAGTAGCCTCTATCAAAAGCTCCTGCTTGCTTGTTGTGAATTATGCTCAGGTGCACATATTTCCAATTCAACCATGAGGCAAAAAATGTGGTAAAAGCTCTTGTTGATCCTGCAATCTGAACAAATACTGAACAAGATGCTGTATTTTCAGCTGATATTTCATTTGTTTATGGAAATGCATATTGTTTATGCAGTGTTGAGGAATGTGAAATAACACCCTTGATTATTTTTACTGTGATAACTTATTTTGCTTTTGTAAGCCAACACTTTTGAGATCAGTCAATAAATGCTTCTGGCATTGACTTATATGCTGCCCCTGTCTTCATGTTGTTGCTGGACATATCTTTTTGAAAATGTGTGTAGGTCACCTAAATCATCAGAAAAATTGCCCCCCCTGAGAATTTTTTCAGGAGCCGCCACTGCTTGGCTGCAGAACACCACCTACAGTAAACATTTGCAATTCTTATCGCAGAAATTGACTTTTGGACATTTAGGGCTGGGTATGTTTTGACAGTAAGGAGAATTGTGGTAGATTAAGGATCAAATTGCAGGGGCCTCATATCCGTTAATATGGCTTTAAGCGGCAGTTTTTCAAAGTAAGGGACAAAGTTTATGTTCGAAAGACAGAGAGACAAGTCTATCACACACACCCATTCAAGCAAGCACACACCCAAGAAAAGCATGCGTATTCACAAGCATAATGCAAATACCCAAGTATATGAATCCGTTGAGCAAGCATGTGGACACAGACATTAATCCATGGAAAATCTCCACGTGAAGGTGTAGAGTAGTGGTATGCAAACATCCATAAAAACCTTTCCCAGATGCTGGTTCCGAGAGGAAAACATATGCAGATATTTTAATCTCTGCTGTCTGTTGACCTAAATCTGACAGTGCAATCTGGTGCAACATGCTCTCTGTTTGTAAGTAGCCATGTATGGCTTCTCTATTGGAAGAGCAACCCTCAGACTGAATGTTTTAAATGAAAGACAAACATTTTTCAAAGGTGAAAGGATTGTAGAAGAAAACACTCTGATTTCACTGTTGATATTAAGCTGTCGAACCGATTTTAGCTTGTCTTGATACTTGAACAAGACATATATTATTATGAGGTTTTGTGGGCCAAAAACCTTAATTAAAGTGAATCTGACAAGCCCAGACAGCACAGCAACACGACACACACAGCGCCAAATCATACATACACAAACAATGAAGTAACCACACAAACAATGACGTTACCACACAAACAATGGTTACAAATGTGGGAAGTAGTAGTGGCCAAGGATATAAAGTTCTAATCGTGCAATGAATTTCTCCAATTCGCAGAGACTTTTTGGAACTTGAAAGATGGCCCCTGGCCTGTACCTTGTGGTATTGCACAAGGTCGGATTAGAAGAAGCAGTAGCCTACTGTGAGAGTTGGCAGACTTGGTACAGGAGGAAATTTAACAATAAAAAATTACTAAAGGTAAAGGAAGTACAAATAGTCTAACTGTGAAGTGCAGACAGTCAGACTTCATGCAGTGGGCCTTACCCAGGCTGTAGAGGCTGAGGGCCCCGTAGTCGAAGAAGTAGCAGATGTGGCGTGCCTCGGGGGACATGGTGCTGAAGGTGTGGGCACAGCTGGAGGTGAAGGGGTACACACAGATCAGCAGCATGTACACCAGCAGCGGCCAGGTGTAGCTCTCCGACAGGAAGTTCAGTGTGGAGCACAGGACGCTGAAGCGCCACAGGAAGTACCTGGGAAATGAGACGCGTCGCAACACCGTCAGTTCAAATTCAGATGAAATGAGAGAGTGATCGGAAGATTTCATACGAAGACAGGAAGACACCAATCTGATACGTATGCTTTCCAGTCTAAACCAGCCCTAATTGTTACAGAATACCTCCCGCTATCTATGGATCTGATCTTGTCTACATTCAGAGTGTTTGCATTGGTGTACATACCATGTGGGCAGGAAGTGGGTCCAGATGTTGACTGTCTCATTAGTCATCTGGAAGCTGCTAAGGATGCAGTCCAGGGCAGAGCTTTGGGGGTGACGATAGCCTGAGATGATCCCATCCTCCCGGAACACCTGAAGGCAAAACACAAACACATTTGCTGTGATACAGTACATACTTTAGGCTACTAAAGAGATTATCTAACATACAACTGGAGGACATCAAGACCTGTCCTGTGAGATTATTTAAGATACTCTTTGAAGAGGTAGGGTTTCAGATGGGGAAGGGACTCTGCTGTCCTAGCTTCAGGAGGAAGCTGGTTCCACCATAGGGGTGCCAGAAAAAAGAAGAGCTTTGACTGGAAGCCAGTGGAGTGCGCGGAGGAGCGGGGTGACATAGGAGAACTTGGGAAGGTTGAACACCAGGTGGGCTGCGGCATTCTGGATGAGTTGCAGGGGTTTGATGGCACAAGCGGGGAGCCCAACCAACAGCGAGTTGCAGTAGACCAGATGGGTGATAACAAGTACCTGGATTAGGACCTGCACCGCTTTCTGTGAGAGGTAGGGTTATACTCTACGAATGCTGTAGAGCATGAACCTGCAGGAGCGAGTCACTGCTGCTTTGATGTTTGCAGAGAACAACAGGGTATTGTCCAGGGTCACGCCAAGGTTCTTTGCACTCTGGGAGGGGGACAAGGTGGAGTTGTCAAACGTGATGGAGGTCTTGGAGCGGGCAGGCCTTCCCCGGGAGGAAGAGCAGCTCCGTCTTGTCGAAGATGAGCTTGAGATGGTGGGCCGACATCCAAGCTGAGATGTCTGCCAGGCACGCAGAGATGCGTGTCGCCACCTGGGTGTCAGAAGGGGGGAAGGAGAAAAGTAGCGTGGGAGTGTCATCCGCATATCAATGATCGGAGGGACCATGTGAGGATATGACGGAGCCGAGTGACTTGGTGTATAGAGAGAAGAGGAGAGGGACTAGAACCGAGCGAGTGGAGAGGAGGATCTGATGGTTCACGGTGTCGAAGGCAGTGGATAGATCTAGGAGGATGAGAACAGAGGAGACAAAGTCAGCTTTGGCAGTGTGGAGAGCAGTCTCGGTTGAGTGACCCGTTGAGTGACCCGTCTTGAAGCCCGACTAGTTAGGATCAAGAAGATCGTTCTAAGAGAAATAGCGAGAGAGTTGGTCAGAGACAGGACACTCAAATGTTTTGGAATGAAAAGTAAGAAGGGATACTGGTCTGTAGTTTTTAACGTCAGAGGGCTCGAGTGTTGGTTTCTTGAGGAGGGGAGCGACTCGGGCCCTTTTGAAGTCAGAGGGGACACAGCCAGTGGTCAGGGATGAGTTGATGAGGGAAGTAAGGAATGGGAGAAGGTCTCCAGAGATGGTCTGGAGAAGGGAGGAGGGGATGGGGTCGAGCAGGCAGGTTGTTGGGTGTCACTTCAGATCCCCCCTCTTATTCCTTATAATTTAATAGGCAAAACTGATCCTATATCAGCACTGCTACTCTGAGATGCTTTGTGAATACGGACCCGGGTGAAGATGGAGCAAGGACTGGGTTGAACATAAGTGCAGACAGCCCTCTGGGAACTGTGTGACATATAATCCTGATCTCGACACCATTTCCTATATTTAGTAAAACATGAACATTCAGTCAGTGAAACCTCTGAAGGTTTGTGAAATGGTTGCAAAGGGTTTCTCTTTCAGTCTGGCCACTCTTACCTTGGGGACTTGGTGGATGTCGAAGAGCTGGGGGAGTTTGATGCTTAGCATGTCAGTGGGCAGTCTGATGGCCCCCCTCCCTCTCTGGCAGGCCTCCCTGAGCCTGGCCCTGCATCCCCGGCAGAGGACACACCAGACTGGGCAGTCAAATGCTGGGGCCTGGGCCCCCTCTCCAGGCCCTGGTTCCCATTGCATACAGCGGCCCAAGCCCCAGCCTTGGCCCCAGCCCTGGGCCCAGACCCCACCACCGCTGGCCCCCCCGCCCCCCCACCACAAAGGAAACACTGCAGAGAGAGAAAGGGAAAGGAAGACAATTGCTGTTAGATATAATGCTCTAGAAATGACACTGCCATACACTCAGATATAACGTGTGAACACTGTTACATACCCATCAGAACTAGAAATGTGTTTACATATCACACAAGACACATCCAATGTATGTGAACAGTTTGGGGAACAGTCCACTCTGTTTCCCCTGGTTTCAAATTACAAACCAACACAAAAACATTCCATAGAATTTTCTCATGGTTCCATCAAAATGAGTATTCCTTCCTTTGTCATGATGTCCTTGTTGACTGGACTCAACAGTCTTCCATTGTGTCAACCTTCTCTAGACATCCCCAGACATGGACTCAGATTTAGACAGTGGTTAGCATTGTCACATTATGGTGGGCTGTTAGCTAACAAAGCTAGCATGACAATAACATGTTCCTGCTATGCAGTATTGAACAGAGGACTCCTTCTGTTCAGATAGCAAGGGAGATTGTCAATAAGAGTATTTTGTTTGTGAACCCAGCAAACCACACCATGTTCAATATTCCAGGCCTGCTTTGCTTGCCATTTTTCGGCTGGCAAAACAACATAAAACACTAGTTGGTTTGATGCAAATCTGTCATTGTCTATTGAGAGTTTCTGTTGAGGAAGTTTTATTTTGCCCTACTTACTGATGTTTAAATCTCTCATGATCTCTCCCTGTCTCTTTCTCACTCAAAGGTATTTCAGATACCCTATATGGAAATACACAGAGTGTACGAAATATTAGGAACACCTTCCTAATATTGAGCTGCACCCCCTTTTGCCCCCTTTTGCCCTCAGAACAGTCTCAATTCGTCAGGGCATGGACTCTACTAGGTGTTGAAATCGTTCCACAGGGATGCTGGCCCATGTTGACTCCAATGCTTCCCACAGTTGTGCAAGTTGGCTGGATGCCCTTTGGGTGGTGGACCATTCTTGATACACACGGGAATCTGTTGAGCATGAAAAACCCAGCAGCGTTGCAGTTCTTGACACACTCAAACCGGTGCGCCTGGCACCTACTACCATACCCTGTTCAAAAGTGCTTAAATCTTCTGTCTTGCCCATTCACCCTCTGAATGGCACACATACACAATCCATGTTTCAATTGTCTCAAGGCTTAAAAATCCTTCTTGAACCTGTCTAATCCTCTTCATCTACACAGATTGAAGTGGATATAACAAGTGACAACAATAAGGGATCATAGCTTTCACCTGGATTCCCCTGGTCAGTCTATGTCATGGAAAGAGCAGGTGTTCCTAATGTTTTGTACACTCAGTGTATATCATATCAATAAGTGCAACCCACTATCAAAGCGTATTGTGAAATAGACACAAATTACTTTGGTTGCAACGTCATACAGAATTCAATATAATATAATTCCAAATGAAGAAGCAGTAATTGGGAGCACGCTAGACTTTTAAGTGACTTGAGTGAATCTGTGAGGTACAGGAAATTAATGAAGTGCAGTTCACGAATGCTTATTTTTGAACAACCTTTTTTACTGACTGATACATTTTTTCAGAGTGACTCGTTCCTTTTAGTCGTTCGTTTGACCTGCTCAGCGGCTCCAGAGACGTGCTCCGACCACCAACTGTCTATCATATGTGCGCGCAGGAAAATAGATCATGATGCATACGCAGCATAGAGAAGAAAAATACATGTTTAGAACTGGTATTTGATCTCATGGTGCAAGAATGAATGTAATTAATAGATTATTGAAAGCTACACAGATTTGTAGAAGCCTAAACAGCCTGCATCTGCTGAACAAAATCGAGAACAAATCGTTTGGGTGCCTGCTGCAGTTCGCGAACGATATGTGCTTATCTCCCTCTCCGCAGTCAAGTCATTCCACAAAGAGTCGTTCACAATCTAGTCTGGTTGCAGCCGCAACTAGACCTTGTTTCAAAGGTATTAATATATTATCTAATTTGTATGCCTAGCTATCACAAATGTACACTTTAGTAAGTCTCAGTCACAAATGACAGCTCCAATAAGCCCCCTATGGTGAACGAGAGGCTTGTAGAATCATAAGTCTCTCAAGTTTTTAGTTCAGCTTTCGCCGGTAGGGGGTCCTGCGCGCTCTGGGCATTACTGAATAAAATGAACGAAATGAGTCGAAAGATTCATACTTTTGACAGAACGAGTCAAAAAGATCTGAGTCAGTAAAAAGTGTCGAACTTCCCATCACTACAGGAAATACTGTGTGATAGCCACTGAGGCACACACAAACAGCAGAACATGTATGTGCTGAACAAGCAAACAGGATGGATAAACATGCCAGGAAAGGAAGGATCATGCCATCTTTCACACAAAGCTGAGTCCTCTGCCAGGAACATACAGTATTAACATTCAAGTAACATTTGCGTTATAATGGCATAGGCCATAAATCATGTTTGTTTGTATGCAATAATATGACATTATGACAATCATAACTGATTTGCACAGCTTCTTTTCTTTTTATGGCACTTCACTGTAAAAATGGACTTAAGTACACTCTTAGAAAAAATGGTTCCAAAAGGGTTCGTCGGCTGTCCCCATAGGAGAACCCTTTTTGGTTCCAAGTACAACCCTTTTTGGTTCCAGGTAGAACTATTTTGGGTTCCATGTAGAATCCTCTGTGTAAAGGGTTCTACATGGAACGCAAAAGGGTTCTACCTGGAACCAAAAAGGGTTCTTTAAAGGGTTCTCCTATGGGGACAGCCGAAGAACCCTTTTAGGTTCTTGATAGCACCTTTTTTTCTAAGAGTGTATGTTAAAGAGCACCATCAAACTAAACTAGATTCACATATTAGTACTAAACCCCCATCACAGGAGGCTGCTGAGGGGAGGATGGCTCATAATAAAGGCCGGAACGGAGCAAATGGAATGGCATCAAACAGATGTACACCATGTGTTTGATGTATTTGATACCATTCCATTATTCCGCTCCTGCTATTATCATGAGCCTGTCCTCCCCAATTAAGGTGCCACAAACCTCCTGTGACCCCCATCCATACTGCTTCCTTTGTGAGAGTACAGTTGCTACAACAGCCTCATATAAGTCCTATCCTAAGTCTCTGGCTCAGAATGGAAGTTGCTTTGGTCTGATGATTTGTCATAGTCAGGGCACTTATCTCAGTGCTGGCTGGGTGAAATATTACCTGGAGGTTGCCCTGTCATTATGGTGCATACATCAGGCTCTGTGACGTGACAGTGAGTGAGGGGAGACAGAGATAGAGAGAGGGTGACAGGACACTGCATGGCCCAGCTGCAGGCCTTATCCCGTTTACTGGGACAAAGTGTGCTTTGTGACTGAGGCCCTGTCTGGAGAGAGCAGGGCCAAGGGCCAACTGTTACACACCGGACTGAGCTCTATGAAAATGAGTGGCCATTCTGCTCAACACACACACATGCTGAACTGGAAGTTCTTATTCATGCAAACGCACACACACAGAAAGAGAACGAAAAAGACAAGACAATAGCTTGTGTCTGTGACATTGAACCATGCTAGCGGAGTCACTAGGTTCAGAGATGAGAACAGAGGGTGAGTCATTTGCATGCATCAAACCCCTATCAATGAAAGAGGGGCGAGGTCGAGGTGCCAATGATTTGAATAAATAAAAGGCTGGGTAAATACAAGGCTGTGCGTATCAGTGTGTGGTTTGCAAAATGTGCCGCTGGTTTCAATAAGCAAAGTCTGCATTTAAAACATACACTGAGTGTATCAAACATTAGGAACACCTGCTCTTTCCATGACATAGACTGACCAGGTGAAAGTTATGGTCCTTTATTGATGTCACTTGTTAAATCTACTTCAACCAGTGTAGATGAAGGGGAGAAGACAGGTTAAAGAAGGATCTTTAAGCCTTAAGACAATTGAGACATGGATTGTGTATGTGTGCCATTCAGAGGGTGAATGGGCAAGACAGAAGATGTGTCTTTGAACAGGGGTATGGTAGTAAGTGCCAGGAGCACCGGTTTGAGTGTGTCAAGAACTGCAATACTGCTGGGTTTTTTCATGCTCAACAGTTTCCCGTGTGTATCAAGAATGGTCCACCACCCAAAGGACATCCAGCCAACTTGACACAATTGTGGGAAGCATTGTAGTCAACATGGGCCAGCATCCCTGTGGAACGCTTTCGACACCTTGTAGAGTCCATGCCCTGAAGAATTGAGGCTGTTCTGAGGGCAAATGGGGTGCAACTCAATATTAGGAATGTGCTTCTAATGTTTTGTACACTCAGAGGTCCAGTGACTACACCGTGGCCTCCATTTTGGCCTCCTAGGCTCTCCTTTTCAATGGATTTGTGTGCTCCTTGGGATGGCACTACCTGTATGCCCACCTGTATACACACATACTTATTCTGCTAATTGAGTAATCCCAAGAAGCAAGTTCATGTTGTAAATTTGGTCCTGATGAAGACCTAGTTATAGGGTCAAAATGTTGCCTGTATAATGTAATAGAACTTTGGGAGTGTGTGGAAGACACACTTTGGTTACCACAAATCACCACCTAGACATAGATGACTAAACATCTGTGGCCATATTCAGAAAGTGTTTCAGAATAGGATTGCTGATCTTGCATAAGTGCTGCCTTTTAGATCATAATGAATAACATTGAATGTACGGTCCCTGGCTTCCTCTCTGCAGCAGAGAAACTGTGGTGAAGAAAACAAGCCTAAATGCATTATTCCTAATCCTAACCCACCCCACTATGAAGTCATCTTTAATTCTAATTAGACTTGTCTTGACTCCAACTGTCCTCTCCCTCAGTACCCTCCCAAACTGACTCTTCCCAGCAGCCTCACTGCTAATCAGCTGTAAACATGATGTCAGGTGATCGTGTGAGTAAGAAATACTCTCACTGCAGAGTGGAATGGAAAATAAACATGTCCACATATTTTGGCTTAGGGTAGACCCTGATTTTGTTCACTTCTTTGGAATCTGAATTGTCTTGCACAAAACTATTGGCATCCATGTCCGTGTTTATGGGAAAGGTCTGCTAGGTGACCAGGTGGTGATTGGGTAATGGTCCAAACCGGTCCATCTGATTAGATCTCATGACAATGAGTACATTGCAATGAGCGCATAGATAATAGTTCTCAGCTTACTTTTAAAAGAACTCTGCACGTTCTGTGACGACCAGTAAAACTACTTATGAATAACACCGATTTATAGCCTGGAATGTATAACAATGGTGAAACAATGGTGTGTGGTCCGATTTCGTTCTCCATCCACAGGAGGTTGGTGGCACCTTAGTTGGGGAGGACGGGCTCGTGGTAATGGCTGGAGCGGAATCAGTGGAATGGTATCAAACACATGGTTTCTATGTATTTGATGCAATTCCATTTGCTCCATTCCAGCCATTATTATGAGCCGTTCTCCCCACAGCAGCCTCCACTGTCTCCATCAGTAGTAGAATGTTTATTTCTGTTTTAGTCGAATAACGGGAGGTTTTGGAGGTGTTGTTCATGGGCCTCTGTGGTCTCTGTGATATCAACCACTTCTCATGTGCTCACTACCACCCACTCTCAACTACACAACCCACTCACAAGGCTGTTCTGCACAGTAGCAACACATTTCTCTTCAGAATAATTTATTGTCAAGGACTTGATCATTCTTGACTTCCTATCTACAATACTATACAATTGTGCAAATGAGTAACAAGAAAGCGAGAAGAAGGTTAAACCCTCTGTCAGAGGTGTTTGTTTAAGTGTCAGTGAGTGTTTGTTTGTTTGTTTGTGTGCAAGATCACGGTAATGGTTGCCACATACAGCAAACAAGGGGAAAACAAGCACTCTAAACAGAGAGTGACTGCCGGTGGCGGTGACCATCCCCAGTTCCCCTACCATCGTGTATCAAAATCAACAAATATTCTAAACTTTCCCTTCTTCATCCCTCTCTCCTCTTCACCTCCCCTTTACCCCTCTCCACCTCTTCTGAATCCATCCATAGTCCCCTAGCTATGCAGCTTCTCTCCCACTTTTCCCTCTTTCTGTTCCACTCTCTCGCCCAAATCCTGAATTCTGAAATTCTTTCCCTCGCTCGTGATCTCGTCACATGACCTTCCTCAATAGGAGTCTTTATTACCCAGGAGCTGAAAATAAGAAGTCTATGTGGGGAGCATGTTATGCAAACAAGAACAAGGCACATCGTTCGCCCCATAGAACATTGTGTTGTCATGTTGCTGCATGGTTCTGTACAGTTTGTACTGGGAATGGAACATTGAAGACATCAACCTCAACACACACACACAATATGACTGATGGTCAAGTGTACCAGGAACAACAGGATTTGCCGGTTCCTGTCCATACTGTACTGCAGAAGGTATAAATCCATCAAATAACTCCATGTATAACTGAACTAAATATCAGACCCTCCCATTGACATAGATGGACTACTCATTAACACTGTCTGTTTAGGACTTTAAATTCACACTATGCCACTATGCCATATGACACTATTATAAGCAAGTGATAAATGGATTAGGATATCATCTGTTATGTCCAGTAAGAGAGTTTGATTTTTTTTTTTATGCTTCCTTACTCTCTTGTCGCTTCTTTCCTGTCATCTCTGATCTAACATGAATAAATTGTTGAAAGCGTAACAGAACCTCTGCTTTCACCAATCTGCAAACTGATGAATGACTATATCACAAAGCATTTGACATGATTTAAACAGGGTCATACAGTTCCTTGCTGCAGGTGTGGTGTCAACCAGTAATATCACTTATGCCAATCTGTAATTAACTATAAGAACATAGTGTCACATGGAACAAGTTACAACTTGTAATTGCAATAGCAATAGAGTCGCAATAACAGTAGACTGGACCAACCAGATTTGTAGGGAAGAGACCTACATTTGGTCTATGGAATGTTTAACTCATATAGCCTAGCGAGGTAGCTATCCTACCTTTCCCTTGCCCTACCTTTGTAGAGGAACGCACTAACGCCCTGTACCAGAGGCAGGGCAGAGGGTGAAACTCAATTCATTGCTCGGGAGTTGTAAACAACATGAATATTACAAAATAAAGAATAAATGCTGAGTGCATAGTTTCATGAGAGAAACGAGATCCAACAATTGGACACAGTTTCTCGTAAAGAGCACTCAATCCTATCTCCTGTTCAAGTTCAAATTAATTCGTATTTTTATAGGAATGTACAATGCCTGAAGTCACATTCATATGACATTAATAGTGGTGAAATGGTAAAGGCAGACACACAACAATCACAGACAAAAATATAAATGAGCAGTTATGTTTAGTTATGTCACAGGCTAAAAAGACAATATCAGAGATAAACTTTCTGGTGAGAGATTGGGTTCTATTTTTCCCAAGAGAATAGCACTTACCGTGGGAGTCCGGGCATGCGGAGGGAGAATATGCCCTAAAAAGAGCCGAGACGTAAAACCAGGGAAGGACTACCTCGCTGTCTTGGTGAACTGTAGGCGGTGTCTAGTCTAACCGTCTATCCTAGTAGCTCTCTACACAGCCACTGCCCAGAAGAACCCTGGAGAGACTGACTAAATGCTCCTCCGCGCGCTCACGTGGACTGTTGCAGCAACAATAACAAGACAAAAGCCATTATGTGTGCTGCGGGCCAGAGATTACAAGACCAAGAATGTTCCCCCGTGCGCGTTTTTTTAATGTATGTTTGCTTTCCAAGAAAGAGGAGTACTGGATCTCCAATCTGTTTCCATGTACTATTTGGTCTTCATTTTCATGTCGGATAGCCTACCATATTGTTATCGCATTGTAAGAAAAGTGTTATAGGCAAATATCCTATTTGTTCCGGCGCAAGTGATAGAAACTGATCTGTCAATTTGTCACACTTCAAACAATAATAGGCCTACACACTCATGACAGTCTACACTGCCAATTTCATCAATTAAAATGGAATATGAATACAAAAAGGCAAATATGCCGACAAAAAGTGTAATGATATTTTAAAATGACAAGATACATAGGCTACATAATATAATTAGCATAATAGTTGAAAAGTCTGGTTCCGTGGAGACATAGAGGACATTTTCAGGATTTCCATAACGTTTCCTACACGCACGTGGCGCACATACATAAACGCACGCACGCGCACCCCCCCGGACAGTGCTTGGAAAGAAAAACGGCACTTACCGGTAGCCTACACACACACACACACACACACACACACAAACACACTATAGGTTGTTACATTGTGACAAGCACACTATGGCACGTGAAGAGAAAGAAACCAAGTCAAACCTTTCAGCTTTATATTGGCGGTGAGCTCATTTGCGCGAATCTTCACTGGAGCGATGTAGTCACTGACCAAAATGAACAAATGTTGCTTGTAATAAACTACAGTTCCATCGTAAATCCGGTTATCCTGACCATCGGACGCTGGTGTTAGTCGGTATAAACTGTCTATGTCCTGCATTCCTTCACAGGCGAATAAAAACACTGCCAACCCGTCGCCCCAATGTCGAAATCCCACCCTCCGCACACAGCGACTTTTTGATTGGATGGGACAAGAAAGAAACCTTGTTATGGAGAATCAGGAGACAAGGCAGAGAGCAAGCCTTAAGGCATCCCATATCATCGCATAATTATTATATTTTACACGCACAGCCAATTATATATTTTCCTTAATCAAAATGCCACATTGAAAAGTTTTTCACATGACCTATTTGAAACAGCTCCAAAGACTATTGGGTGATATCAATGGTGATGATTTTCATCTGTAGCCTATGCAATACCATGACTATATAGGCAAAGTTTAAATTCTTCAGAAATTCTCACTCACTAAGTCAAGGCAGGCAGGTCACTTCATAATATTCATAAAGTCTGAACCAAGTCCTACATGAAGAGCAGGGCCTATTTTTCACGGACTGAGAGGCACATTGACAAAATGCTTTGTTAGGACTTTTTATCCTCCCTCAGCACCAGACTACAGCATTTGGGGTCAAGGGGGCCACAGGGCACTGACCTCTGGCAAAATTTGCATTTCAACAAATTTTTTCCATGGTGCAGAGAGAAAACAAGTGCTGTTTTATAATGCTATTCCACACATTTTGTCATTTTAAATTCCCTGCAATTCTACACTTTTTGCTGTTTTACAGCTCATCTCATGCTTTTGTTCATATTTTGCCATGAGGCTGAGAGAACATTTTGCAGTTTTAAAGCTAATTTCCTGCAATTCTACACATTTTTGCTATCTTGCTATCATATGCTCCAATGAAGGTTCTAACGATGAACTTAACCTTAAGATGCTTTTGGGAAACCGGGCCCTGGACTGTTCACTTCCCCACTACCAGAGTGGGCCAGCCCTGTGCTTTGCCAACCATCTTCTGTTGGGGTGGCGCTGACCCCGCTGCCAGGGGATTGGTCACTCTCTGCCATGCCATGCAGAATGGTGGGCATGGGTCCCAGGCATCCATGGTAGTGAGGGGCACGAGACCTCACAACAGAAGAGAGCAGATAGATGGTACACAGAGACCTACTTACAGGACCGAGACTGATGGATGAGCCAGACTGCACTGAACGGGTTCAGAATGAGAAGTTAGAGAGGAAAGTGGAACAGAACTACCATATTTCAATAGGCAAGGGTGTTCAGAAACTTTGGAACAAGCCTATAAAATGAAAAACATTCAAATGTGTTCCAAACAGCAAGCGGTACCGGAGCACTTAGTCTAGGTCCAAAAGGCTTCTACCCCCAAGCTATAAGACTGCTGAACAGCTAATCAAATGGCTACCCGGACTATTTGCATTGACCTCCCCCCCCCGCTTTTTTTACGCTGCTGCTACTCGCTGTTTATTATCTATGCATAGTCACTTTACCCCTACCTACATGTACATATAACCTCAATTACCTAGACTAACCTGTACCCCTGCACATTGACTTGGTACCGGTACCCCCTGTATATAGCCTCGGTATTGTTACTCTTGAATTTTTTTTACTTTAGTTTATTTAGTAAATATTTTATTACTTTTTTTACTTTTATTTTTTACTGCATTGTTGGTTAAGGGCTTGTAAGTTAGCATTTCACGGTAAGGTTTACACCTGTTATATTCGGCGCATGTGACAAATAAAATTTGAAACACAATATTTTATTTTAATGTTGTTTGGTCATCGTCTCCGGATCAGTTCTTCATCTTACTGAAACAATGCCTATTGTTGTCATAAGGGTGCAGACGTGAGTATGTTCTTCAGCTCAAATAGGTTGCTTTCCCAATTCAGTGTCCTGTGCTTTGTCATAAATTGTGGAAAGCTATGAATAGTTGACCTGTAAATGTTTTCTGCAAGAGAGTGAAAACGAGAAAATATATTTTTTATGAGTTCATTTTATTGTTCAATGCGTGGCCACACACATATACCGAATTCCTTTGCACTGTGCATGATGGGACAGTTAGTGATGATGGTAGATGGGATATATCAGGAGTTCATAGGGGTCAAAACACAAACACCCTGCGCCGCCATTTTGGGACAGCCGCAGGCCCCGCTCTCCTTGACATCTAGCAACAGCATAAAGCTGACCCACCCCAGTCTACCTCTTCCTAAAACGGCACCATGAAACAGAAGTCAGGACTATTTATTGGAGAACAGAAGGATTATCAGACTGGTTTAGGGAAACGATACAAGACAACCCCATCCCTCCCCCTGCATTTCATTCCTGTGTGTATTCAGCACAGCTCACAAAAACACAAAATAAAGTATATTTGGGTACAAAAATAAAATCCAAATTAAAACAATTGCAGGGCACAACACGTCATTATTCCTCCTCCTCATACACAGATAACACAATACATTAGTCACTGGACACAAAAAGTACACCGCAAAAAACTGATTAGCCACATAGGAAAGAACACATCCTGGAGAAGTGTACGTCCATTGACCTGAACCCCTGTTTGTAACCCTACGAGCTACGAGACTCCGATGTGTTGAGAGGCTCAACGCTCGGCAAGCTAGAGATGTGTTCTCTCTCTGGGATTTACCCCACACCCCCCTGCCTTAACAGACCAGACCCAGCCAGCCATAGGGCTGACATAGTGCCACCTTCACAACACAACAGAGGGAAAGGAGGAAACGGGAAACACTGCTCTATACATATATACACCAATGGATTTAACTGAGCGTGAATGTGTATGTGGTTCTCTCTCGACACGTAATGTACTCCTTTCTATCATATACAGTATATGCCTGGTTATGATGTGAACCAAGGGCACTTTAAGTGCGTAGCGTCCCCACTTAATTATCTTACCCCAACCTCTGGGCTCGCTTCTTTATGTTTGGTGTTGGGGGTCTTCTGCTGTTTCTTACTGCCCCCTTTGCTCATGTGTCTCGCCTTTTCTTTCCACCCAACTGCTTTACTTTTCCACCCTCTATCGCATTCTCTTCCCCCCCCCCCCTTCTCTTTTCTTTCTTTGAGTTGATTTTCCTTGGAGACACAGATACAGACAGAGCAACAGAGTGGGAGAGAGAGAGAGGGAGTGAGTGTGTGATCAGCTGTCCGCCGTGACGACCTCGCCCCCTCAACGCTCTCAGCCAATTTCCTTCCACTGACGGTAGAACTCCACAATGTTCTTCAGCTCCATGCCTGCTGTCGCCAGTACCTGGATGGCTGACTGTTACCAAGGAGACACAGACAATAGAGGGTAAGATGTCAACTCTAACACCAATGAACATACAAAGTAAGGTAAATATCACGGAAGGATGAATGGGGGAGGTCGAACATGCCAAACGTCTCTCAGAAAGAGCTCTGGCTCTCTACAAAGATCTACACCATGGTAAAATGTCAGTCGTTTATAAATGGGATATATTAATAGCAATACTGTACAACCCAAGGGATAAACCAGAAATACACGGTAGTCAGACCATCTGTCCATACCAACAGCGGTTGCTGGAGAGCCTAAAGAACTGAGTGAGTGATTCTATTTATGATATGTATTGTTGCTCACTGACCTTCATAGGTCCAGAGCGGGTACTCAGCTCCTCCACTGAGTGACCGGTGAGAATAGTGACCATGCCAGCCGTGTCTTCGTCTCCGTTGCTCTGGGAGACGGTCAGCTGACGACAGCTGTCCACCATCTTATATAGATGCCTAGAATCAGAACACATAAGAAAACAGTTAGGGAAGGAGTTTTACCGCTGGTAGATATCTTTCATAAATCTTTTACCACTTTTGAAGCATTTGTATAAGAATGCTAAGTATTGGAGAGGTCACCATATGAAGAGACTATGTAGACAGACAAATGGAGACTAGGCTTACCAGGCTTCAATGTCCTGGCGTTTCAGTTTGTCCCTCTCAAAACTCCGCCCTGACTCCTTCTGGCAACGTATGTACCTGAGGTAGATGGGGACGGAAGAGGGGTTTACTACATCAAGTGTCTTCGCCCATATGGGTCGCAGCCTATTCTTAGTTTATTGGATCACAGATTCAGACTGGGTTATGGTTAGAAACATTGTTTTGTTAAGATCTGAAGTAGTAAGGGCAATATTGGCTCCAACAGCCAGCTCATTTGAAATCGGTTGCGTGAGAGAAAATTGATGTAAAAGGAACAATGACCTGTGTATCATTGGCTCTAGGGTTTCACACCAGTTAAAGGCTAACTACATTGAAAATCGCCCTCTTTATCTTTTCATTCAGAGAACTGTCGACTCCACATATCCCATTCAATGATAACAAGCTATGCTTCTGACTCAAGAACTGGCTTCCCTTGTACTGGGTTGGCTAATTGTGGTTGTCATATCTTAAATGTGTCCCACTATATTACCATACGTCACACTTGAGGGTTGAGACAGACACATACCTGTTGCCTTTACGGAACTCAGACTCCAGGAAGCGGATACCGTCCCTCGCTCCGGCATTCTCCTTCTTCAGGTGGTCAAGGCCATCAATCACTGAGGCAGATAACAGAGTCGACCATCATGTTTTAACTTAGAGCATGAAATGAATCGATACCTAACTAGAAAGACAAACAAACTCAGCTTCAGTCTTGTCACCTCGAGAACTTACAAAACATAGCCAGCAAATAGCCAATGTCAAAACAATATAGCAGGGCTATTCAACTGGCGGAAAGCGGGCCAAATCTGGCCCGTTTATCAATTTAGAATGGCCTTCTGATCAATTCTGAACATGAATTCTAAAAATATTTCCCCTCTGATTTTATTTTCCTACACTGCGACACTATATTCGGTTATCATCAGCACAGATCACTCCCGTGATGTCGGAGTTTTTAGATAAACTGAACGCTAACTTCGCAACAAGATTTGATGAGTTTAAGTCCCCAGAGAGGTGGTGCAGCTTGTTATAGGGAGCCGTTCTCTACTGATGCGGGGGGAGAGAGACTTCTCCACAAAAGCTAGTCAACTGAGATACGCCATGCATAAAAGGTTTCTAAGTAAAAAAAAAAAAAAAAAAAAGACAGAAAAGAACAAAATGATAACGAAATAGAAAATAGAACAGAATGTGATGCTGGTCAACTGAGATATGCCATGGATAAAAGGTTTCCTATGTGTAAATAAAACAAAAGATGAAGCCATGTCTGTAAAACAGACAGGAAAGTAGAAATGAATGTGATGCAGGTCAACTGTGTTATAAGTACAAATGTGTTCCATTATTTAAACAATTTGATGCACTGAATTAGGCTAATCTTAAAGCACTTCAAATTAACTATTAGCAACATTTAATCTGAATAAACAGTGCTTTATAAGAGTAATCCCATGTAGAAAATGTCTGGCCCCCTTGTAAATAACCTTTTTCAAATCTGGCCCCCGTAAGAATATAGTTGAATAGCCCTGCAATATAGAAATCATATTTATCACTATTTTGTCTCCATGCAATTCTGGTGAGAAACCTCTAAATTATGACTACATTCAAACCAACAGACTTATCCACAGCCATCCAGTCCAACACTGGGTGTGCTCACCTGTGCGGGGGATGATGATGATGAAGCAGCCGCTGCCAGCCAGATGTCTGAGGAGGTTGAGGTGCTGGCATAGGGCGGCAGAGTCAGGTACCAGGTACGGAGACATGGACGACTGGGTCTTGGGCTGCTGCAGGCTGCCCTCTAGCTGAGACACCTCCAACTGCAGAGCAGACACATGACAATTTGCTTACCTTGATGGGATGTTGAGTGGATAATACAGTGCCCTCTAATTATTGGGACAGTGAAGCATTTCTTCTTCTTTTGGCTCTATACCCCAAAAGTTTGGATTTGAAATCAAATCTGTGAATGTGGGACAAATACTTGTCCCAATACTTTTGATCCCCTAAAATGGGAGGACTACGTGCAAAAAGTGCTGTAATTTCTAAAAACAGTTAACCCGATATGGATGAAAATACACTCAAATTAAAGCTGACTTTAACCTCAGTCATTGTTTGATTTAAAATTATTTTAAAATTATTTTTTTAGGGGGTAGATCAGCTTAATATTGCAGATAGATTGTAACTTCCATCAATGTAATTGTCTGCATCACTTCCTATATATATATATATATATATATATATATATATATATATATATATATATATATATATATATATATATATATATATATATATATATATATATATATATATACATATATACACACACACACATACATACACATGCATACATACACATACCCTTTAAAAATATATATATTCCCCTTTATTACTTTCCAACCCCACCACCCTTTCCCTAATTGGAGTAAACTAGTGAACAACAATGCTTAGGCCTCTACTTCCAGCTTATACTTCCTATATACATTTTATGGACACAGTCAATTTTACAATAATTATATTTTATTTGTTTTTTTCTCCTGAACTACTTCTACTCTCAACCTCTCCGATCATTTTCATGATGTCCATCCGGTTTGCTTCTATATGCCATATCTTTCTAACTGTGCTCTTTCACAAAAGCTCCCAACCTACAACCTAAATACTTTATAATGGACACAGTATGCTTACATTATTAGTTATCTTGTTATTAGTTGTTGTTAGTTGTTATTAGTCCCATTCTTCAACACCACCCATCTATCTCTTAACACCATCCATATAGGATTTCTATTTGCCATATATTTTTCAACTGTACTGTGATGTTTTACAAAAGTTCTGAACCTTTCTATTCTCATTGTTTCTACAGATTGTAAATTGAAAATAAACATTTTTGCTAAAAGTATTATTATATTATTGATCGATTGACTATGACTTTTCAGATCACCCAGTAATGCTATCTGCAAGGTTAGCTCAAGGTAAATATTGATCTAATGATTCGGTCTCTTCGCAGCAAAATCTGCAGAGCTGGGAAGATTGTATCCCCCATATCAATAACATTATATTGGTAGCAAGAATTGTATATAATAATTTAAATTGAAAGATTCTAAGTTTTGAATCCGGTGTAGTTTTGCTTATCAGTTCATAAACACTATGCCATGGGATCGGTACGTCAAAAATCTCTTCCCAACTATTTTGCAATCTATATGGGACGGCTGTCAATCCTTTGGTCCTTAAATGAAACTGGTATACTTCTTTATTTATCACAGTTTTCTTTAACCAATTATGTTCTTTAATGCAAGGCCGACAGACAAGTTCCTTACTTTTTCTCCCTTCCACTTTCCTCTTCCATTTTTGCGGTAAGGCTGCAATTATTTGGTTGTAATTTTGGGTAGAGCAGACATTTCCATATGTTTTTGTTAGCTGCATGTGCGACATAACTCCACCAGTCCTACCGATGATTTAATTTATGAAGATTATACCATTTTTAAACATTTTGTAAAAAAAAAGAAGATTTTTTTGTCAATTAGTATATTTGAGTTTAACCACAATATTTGTTGCATTATTTGTTCTGTAGTTTCTGGAGGATTAAATTGAAATTGCAACCAACTTTCTACGGCTTGTTTTAGAAATAGTGATATTTGGGAGATGACTTCCTTTTCAAACAACTGAAAGTGAGAGGTTGTAATCTGAATAAAGGGAAAAAGGCCATTCTTGAACATTGGGTGAGACAATCTTACTAATTTGCTAGAGAACCAGTTCGGATTTAAGTATAACTTTTGTATGACTGAAGCTTTTAGTGATAGGTCTAATGCTTTAATATTGAATAATTTCTGTCCTCTGAATTCTTATTCATTATATAAATAGGCCCATTTAATTTTGTCTGGCTTGCCGTTCCAAATAAAATGGAATATTATTTTCTCATATAATAAAAAAAAAAAAAACTGTTCGCTAGGCGTAGGCAAGACCATAAGCAAATAGGTAAATTGGGATAATACTAAAAGAGTTAATCAGGGTGATATTTCCACAAATAGACAGGTATTTACCTTTCCATGGTAGCAAGATCTTATCTATTGGTAGCAAGTATCTATCAATACTTTCTATTAAAATGTATTGGAGTGAGATCATTTATTTCCTTTGGGATATGTATTCCGAGTATATCCACATCACCATCAGTCCAGATTTTATTGGTAAACTACATGGTAATGTAAAAATTGTATTTTTTAGTGATCCAATACGTAATATAGTACATTTGTCATAATTTGGTTGTAATCCAGAGAGGTTAGAAAATGTATCTAGATCCTCTACGAGGCTGTGGAGGGATTCTAGTTGTGGGTTTAAAAGAAAACATGAATCATCAGCGTACAATGACACATTTGTTTTTAAGCCCTGGATTTCTAATCCCTTGATATTATTGTTGGATCGGATTTTAATAGCTAACATCTCGATAGCCATAATAAATAGATATGCCGATAGTGGACAACCTTGTTTCACTCCTCTTGAGAAAATAGCCATTATTTACTATTTTACACCTAGGGTTACTATACATGATTTTGACCCATTTTATAAGAGATTCTCCAAAATTGAAATGCTCCAGGCATTAATATATAAACCCCAGTCGTACTTTATCAAATGCCTTTTCGAAGTCTGCTATGAATAGCAGGCCTGGTTTCCCAGATTTTCCAGTTTTCTATTGTTTCCAGTACTTGCCTTATATTATCTCCAATGTATCTTCCATGTAAAAAAACTTGAATAATGTCCGACAATACCTTTTTAATTCTATGCACTATACATTTTGCTAGAATTTTTGCATCACAACACTGAAGTGTAAGGGGCCTCCAATTTCTTTAACGGACTGGATCTTTATACAGTAGGGAAAATAAGTATTTAGTCAGCCACCAATTTTGCAAGTTCTCCCACTTAAAAATATGAGAGGCCTGTAATTTTCATCATAGGTACACGTCAACTATGACAGACAAAATGAGAAAAACTTTCCAGAAAATCACATTGTAGGATTTTTAATGAATTTATTTGCAAATTATGGTGGAAAATAAGTATTTGTTCAATAACAAAAGTTTCTCAATACTTTGTTATATACCCTTTGTTGGCAATGACACAGGTCAAACGTTTTCTGTAAGTCTTCACAAGGTTTTCACACACTGTTGCTGGTATTTTGGCCCATTCCTCCATGCAGATCTCCTCTAGAGCAGTGATGTTTTGGGGCTGTCGCTGGGCAACACGGACTTTCAACTCCCTCCAAAGATTTTCTATGGGGTTGAGTTCTGGAGACTGGCTAGGCCACTCCAGGACCTTGAAATGCTTCTTACGAAGCCACTCCTTCGTTGCCCGGGCGGTGTGTTTGGGATCATTGTCATGCTGAAAGACGCAGCCACATTTCATCTTCAATGCCCTTGCTGATGGAAGGAGGTTTTCACTCAAAATCTCACGATACATGGCCCCATTCATTCTTTCCTTTACACGGATCAGTCGTCCTGGTCCCTTTGCAGAAAAACAGCCCCAAAGCATGATGTTTCCACCCCCATGCTTCACAGTAGGTATGGTGTTCTTTGGATGCAACTCAGCATTCTTTGTCCTCCAAACACGACGAGTTGAGTTTTTACCAAAAAGTTATATTTTGGTTTCATCTGACCATCTGACATTCTCCCAATCCTCTTCTGGATCATCCAAATGCACTCTAGCAAACTTCAGACGGGTCTGGACATGTACTGGCTTAAGCAGGGGGACACGTCTGGCACTGCAGGATTTGAGTCCCTGGCGGCGTAGTGTGTTACTGATGGTAGGCTTTGTTACTTTGGTCCCAGCTCTCTGCAGGTCATTCACTAGGTCCCCCCGTGTGGTTCTGGGATTTTTGCTCACCGTTCTTGTGATCATTTTGCCCCCACGGGGTGAGATCTTGCGTGGAGCCCCAGATCGAGGGAGATTATCAGTGGTCTTGTATGTCTTCCATTTCCTAATAATTGCTCCCACAGTTGATTTCTTCAAACCAAGCTGCTTACCTATTGCAGATTCAGTCTTCCCAGCCTGGTGCAGGTCTACAATTTTGTTTCTGGTGTCCTTTGACAGCTCTTTGGTCTTGGCCATAGTGGAGTTTGGAGTGTGACTGTTTGAGGTTGTGGACAGGTGTCTTTTATACTGATAACAAGTTCAAACAGGTGCCATTAATACAGGTAACGAGTGGAGGACAGAGGAGCCTCTTAAAGAAGAAGTTACAGGTCTGTGAGAGCCAGAAATCTTGCTTGTTTGTAGGTGAACAAATACTTATTTTCCACCATAATTTGCAAATAAATTCATAAAAAATCCTACAATGTGATTTTCTGGAATTGTTTCTCTCAATTTGTCTGTCATAGTTGACGTGTACCTATGATGAAAATTACAGGCCTCTCATCTTTTTAAGTGGGAGAACTTGCACAATTGGTGGCTGCCTAAATACTTTTTTTCCCCACTGTATATTTTCCACTTGTATCCTGTTTCAGTAATAATGAAATCAGACCATCTTCTTGAGTGTCTGATAATCTACCATTTACATAGGAGTGGTTAAAACATGCTAATAACGGTCCTCTTAGTATATCAAAAAAGGTTTGGTATACCTCGACTGGTATGCCATCCATCCCTGGAGTTTTCCCGGACTTAAAGTCTTTAATTGCATCCAGAAGTTCCTCCTCTGTAATTTCACCTTCACATGAGTCTTTCTGTATGGCTGTTAATTTTACATTATCAATAGAAAAAAATCTCTACAATTAGCTTCAGTTAGAGGAGATGGAGGCGACTGAAACGAAAACATATGCTTAAAGTACTTTGTTTCCTCCTTCAAAGTATCATTTGGTGAATCATGGGTGACTCCGTCAATTGTAACCAGTTTCATTAAATTATTTTTGGTAGCATTCCTATGTTGAAGATTAAAAAATAACTTTCCATCCAGTTTGCTTTATTTTTATAATATATTACACTTGATCTTTCTTGAATAAGTTTCTTAATTTCTTTTCTGTTTTTCCTCTAATTTATTCTGAGCCTCTGTTACAGTTTTTATTGCCATCTATCTGTTCTGTTAGACCTTCTATTTCCTTTGTTAGTATAAACTATTTTGACCTAAATTGCTTTTGTTTTTTAGATGAGTACTGAATTGCATGGCCTCTAAAGGCACATACAATAAGGGGATTTGCTGTACCTATGTTATGTCGGAAAAAATCAGTTATAAATTCCTTTGTCCTAGTTATAAATAAATTATCATCCAATAGGCTTTGATTACATTTCCAATATCCTCGCCCACGTGGAAATTCAGTAAGAGTAATGTATATGCCAATTATATGATGGTCCGACCGCATTCTGTCCCTTATCAACACTTTTTAAACTTTTGGTGCCAACGAGAATGACATAAGAAAGAAGTCAAGACGACTAGCTTGATTGAGTCTCCGCCATGTATATCTCACTAGATCAGGATATTTAAGCCTCCATATATCTACTAGTTCTAATGTATCCATGACATTCACGATTTCCTTAAGCGCATGAGGGTGATTGTTTGTGGTGTGATTTCCTTTACGGACCATTGAGCTATTTAAAACAGTATTATAATCCCCCACCATAATAACATTGTCTTGAATTGCTTGCAGGGTTGATCATTTATTATATATATTGTCAAAGAAGTGTGGATCATCATTATTTGGTCCGTAAAGGTTAATGAGCCATATCTTTTTATGGTCCAATAACATATTTAAAATAATCCATCTACCTTGCGTATCTATTTGGACATTCAGATCGAAATTACTATTAAATGAATATCATCACCCCTTTTGAGTTTCTTTGCCCATGGGAGAAGTATATTTCGCCCTCCCTCATTCCCTTTTCCACGCAACGTCATCTAGAATTGTTGTATGAGTTTCCTGTAAACAATAGATATTATATTCCTTCTCTTTGAGCCATGTAAATATTGTTCTTCTTTTGTTATTATCTGCTAAGCCATTACAATTATAACTGGCTATACTTATTTCACCATACACCATAATGAGATACAAGTTTCAAGTCTATTTATCAATAAAAAATACCGTAATGATTGAGTGTCCATATAGCTGTCCCATGATATTTGCATTGCTACTAAGTAACCCTCCAATTGTTCTCCACTAATTCCCCCGCTAAAGCCCCTCCCCATCCCAAGTTGAGCCGTCATCCCAGTGATCGGCATCCCACCCCCGTCCCTCCGGATCCCTAGGGCCCCCCGAGAGGCCAGGACCCATCCATCGAAAACAGCATATTTACAGTGGGGAGAACAAGTATTTGATACACTGCCGACTTTGCAGGTTTTCCTACTTACAAAGCATGTAGAGGTCTGTAATTTTTATTATAGGTACACTTCAACTGTGAGAGACGGAATCTAAAACAAAAATCCAGAAAATCACATTGTATGATTTTTAAGTAATTAATTTGCATTTTATTGCATGACATAAGTATTTGATCACCTACCAACCAGTAAGAATTCCATCTCTCACAGACCTGTTAGTTTTTCTTTAAGAAGCCCTCCTGTTCTCCACTCATTACCTGTATTAACTGCACCTGTTTGAACTCGTTACCTGTATAAAAGACACCTGTCCACACACTCAATCAAAGAGACTCCAACCTCTCCACAATGGCCAAGACCAGAGAGCTGTGTAAGGACATCAAGGATACAATTGTAGACCTGCACAAGGCTGGGATGGGCTACAGGACAATAGGCAAGCAGCTTGGTGAGAAGGCAACAACTGTTGACACAATTATTAGAAAATGGAAGAAGTTCAAGATGACGGTCAATCACCCTCGGTCTGGGGCTCCATGCAAGATCTCACCTCGTGGGGCATCAATGATCATGAGGAAGGTGAGGGATCAGCCCAGAACTACACGGCAGGACCTGGTCAATGACCTGAAGAGAGCTGGGACCGCAGTCTCAAAGAAAACCATTAGTAACACACTACACCGTCATGGATTAAAATCCTGCAGCGCACGCAAGGTCCCCCTGCTCAAGCCAGCGCATGTCCAGGCCCGTCTGAAGTATGACCATCTGGATGATCCAGAGGAGGAATGGGAGAAGGTCATGTGGTCTGATGAGACAAAAATAGAGCTTTTTGGTCTAAACTCCACTCGCCGTGTTTGGAGGAATCCCAAGAACACCATCCCAACCATGAAGCATGGAGGTGGAAACATCATTCTTTGGGGATCCTTTTCTGCAAAGGGGACAGGACGACTGCACCGTATTGAGGGGAGGATGGATGGGGCCATGAAACGTGAGATCTTGGCCAACAACCTCCTTCCCTCAGTAAGAGCATTGAAGATGGGTCGTGGCTGGGTCTTCCAGCATGACAACGACCCGAAACACACAGCCAGGGCAACTAAGGAGTGGCTCCGTAAGAAGCATCTCAAGGTCCTGGAGTGGCCTAGCCAGTCTCCAGACCGGAACCCAATAGAACATCTTTGGAGGGAGCTGAAAGTCCGTATTGCCCAGCGACAGCCCCGAAACCTGAAGGATCTGGAGAAGGTCTGTATGGAGGAGTGGGCCAAAATCCCTGCTGCAGTGTGTGCAAACCTGGTCAAGACCTACAGGAAATGTATGATCTCTGTAATTGCAAACACAGGTTTCTGTACCAAATATTAAGTTCTGCTTTTCTGATGTATCAAATACTTATGTCATGCAATAAAATGCGAATTAATTACTTAAAAATCATACAATGTGATTTTCTGGATTTTTGTTTTAGATTCCGTCTCTCACAGTTGAAGTGTACCTATGATAAAAATGACAGACCTCTACATGCTTTGTAAGTAGGAAAACCTGCAAAATCGGCAGTGTATCAAATACTTGTTCTCCCCACTGTATGTGTGTATATATATATATATATATATATATATATATATATATATATATATATATATATATATTACTATTTAAAAATATATATCTATTCAAATATCTTGCATATCTTATTTTCCATCATTATCAATTAATATGCGTAATAATGTCGGCAGTTCATGCGTAGGATTTTAACATATAACCCGGATTGCCATTGTATTACATTTAATTTTTGACAAGCAATTATTATTTTAGCAAACAATTATTGTGGTTCATCCTATATTCTCCCTAACATCCTTACCCCCTTTGCAACAGATGTGGGATAAACACACAGGCACACTCACATACTCTAACACACTCAACCCCTTTACTCCACAATCAACCATAAAATCAGATGCTCAACGGTTGTTACATCCCAGAGCCCAACTCAAGAAAGGACCTGATTTACGAATGCATATACAGTTACAGCTGATTGAGAAAGCATGCAAGATTGAGCAGAAATTGAAAACAATGTGAGATTTGATTTATCTATTTAATCTATGTCAAGTCTTAGGTGATGGAGATCAGATCTACCCTCTTCACCTGAGACACAAACACTCTGGTCCCCCGTTGTAACCATTTTTCCCAAGCATCTCCGTGCATTCAGACCTTTGATTATTTTGTGCCACCTGGGCCACAATGATAAGCCCCCTCTCTGATTGTCTGAGTGTGACCCCCTCCCCATGGGTTACTGCTGCCAGTGTTGCCAGCACTGCCACTACCTGGGAGGGGGTACCCCACCGGAATCCCCACCGGCTAGTTACAAGGTCGTCAAGGTTCTCATTAGCAGCTTTGAGAATTTCCTTGTATATAATGCTCTCTCATCACGGGGGCTATGGCTTTGTAGGACCAACCCTGCCAGGCAGGCTCAGAATCTTGAGGGGGTGGTGCTGCTCAAGTAGGTCTCTGACCGCATTTATTTTCCTGTTTTGGCTGCATATAGGCAACTCACAGCAGGTCCATAAAACAGATGGGGACTTCTCTTTGGTGTATGGGTCGCTCAAGTGGGTGTCTAGGATATAGGGTTGGGGATCATTCCATCATGATAGGACAATGACAAATATAATAGATGTATACTATACTTTAAAATGTATATCCTTCATCTGCACAAAATTGAAAGCTCTCTCTCACAACCCCTGCTCACAGACACATGTTGGTTCTGGGATATGCAACCATTTCCTTTCTCACTCACTTAAGGCCACACTTATTCAAACACCAAAACACACACCACGCCTTCCATCACAATTCATCCACACATATCCCCACATTGTGCCTTCTATGTCTTCTGTTTGCTATGTTTTTATCTCCACTATGTTGATTGAGTACTGTGTTCTAATTTAGTTGTATTTGAAGATGTATTATTTAGCTTGTTATCTTTTCTTGTAATACTGTGTCTTATCCCTTTATAAATTACTATACCTACTATAAATATGTTTTATTATTACAATCCCTACCATGACTAGCATTGGGTGTTCCATTAGTCGACTCCTCTATTAGAACTTTCAGAATAGCCATGGAGTAGTCTTTGTGTCGCGGAACATTTGGTTGTCAATATACAGTTTATCAACAACGAGAGCAACACGCTTACCTTTTAATCTGTTTTCCTTCAAGATTGGGTACAGAACTTTGCGCCGTTCTGCAATCTCCCTTGGGAACTGATCATTCATGCCTATTTTCGTGCCAGCAAGTCTTTTTCCTAGGCTTTTAACCATTACTTTGTCCTTAAAAAAGGCAAATTTGGCAAAGATTGGACGCTCATATCTCTGCCCTCTTTGTCCGAAACATTGTACACGTTCGAGTTGGATTTTATCGACAGCCTCGAGTGGAATCTGCAGCGCTGTAAGAAAGAAGTCCCTCACTATTATTTTTGTAATCTCTCCCTCCTTTTCCTGGATACCCGTAAGTGCTAGATTTTCTCTCATCTATCTAGTTTGTATATCTAGTAAGGCTTCTTTCAGAAAGTTGTTCTCCTTTTTAAGTTCCTTAATGTCCGTTTCCATCCTTGTGACTGTCCCTTTTAGTTTTTTTTGTATCGCTCTCCATTATCGCAACTTTTCCGTCACTCATTTCCAGACACGCCTTCAACTCTTTTCCATCATTACTGACCAACTCCAGTATGCCCAGTTTGTCATTTATCGACTTCAACAGGTCGCTTTCCACACTTACCAGTCCGAGTGGTGAAAAGCATAAATCATCTGTATCAGTCGAGGAGTCTCGTTCTCTCTTGGAGATTGATTCTCCTCGTTTATCTTCAGTCATGTTTGGGTGTTGTGTGTTGTTGTAATATTTGTCAATACATTTCTCTAGCCTTATAATTTGTTTTGTGTTATTATCCAGATTGTATGTTATTACCCTCGAATATATGAAATTTTAATATTTAGTCTAACTTCCTGATATTGAATATTATGTTTTTATCTTGAGGTGAATTTTACCGCTTTGTGTTCAATATGCCATCTTGTTTCCCTTTGCACACCTGGTTAGATTTCAAATCCAAACTCTTGGAGTATAGAGCCAAAAGAAGAAACAAATGCTTCACTGTCCCAATAATGAAGTTGGCTGGATGTATTTTGGGTGGTGGACCATTGTTAATACACACAGGAAACCGTTGAGCGTGAAAAACCCAGCAGCATTGCAGTTCTTGACACAAACCGGTGCGCCTGCCACCTACTACCATACCCCGTTCAAAGGCACTTCAATATTTTGTCTTGCCCCCTGAATGGCACACATACACAATCCATGTCTCAATTGTCTCAAGGCTTAAAAAGCCTTCTTTAACCTGTCTACTCCCCTTCATCTACACTGACTGAAGTGGATTTAACAAGTGACATCAATAAGGGATCATAGCTTTCACCTGGATTCATCTGGTCAGTCTACAGTATGTCATGGAAATGGAATGTTCCTAATGTTTTGTACACACAGTATAGTGTCAGATAGCTAGATTGATAGTGTTTGGTTTATGATAGAATGGAATGTTTCAGAAGACAGACCTGTAGGCGGAGCTGAGCCATGTCTCTCATCAAGCGGTTTCGTCGAGCCTCCTCCTCTGCCTGGACACACAAACAGTGTTGAAATAGATCATACTTTACAGTCATTTGAGCTTCACAAGTGAAACAAGTACTGAAACTAGAGTGACTGCTGCTGCTGCTTTGGTCTCATTGGTTCATTCAACTGCGCTCACCATGCGGAACTGGGCCTTGGCCTGCTGCACCAGGTTGTCCTGCTCCGATTGGCTGATGCTGGTGAAGATGCCCGCCTCCGGGTTGAAGTGCAGCACGTTGCATTGGAGATTGGTGAGGAAGTGGCCAAAGCTGCGGATGCAGCACACGCGCACCACACACTGAGATGGGAGAGAAAGAGAGCGAGTTTGAGTGAGATAGTAAAGTAGAGAGAGGGCAGCAAAACAGTGAGGGTGTGAGGGAGGGTGTGTAAGGGAAGCTAGGTGTGTGTACCTCCTGTACGGGGCTGAGGGAAGGTCTGGGGCGGGCGTAGTCGAGGCGGCGGTGGGCCAGGTTGAGGGCAGGTAGGTGTCGCAGGGCCAGGTCCTCAGGCAGCAGCAGGGACTGGACCAGGCCGGGTTGCTCACACCCATTCACCAGCTCAGTCACCGCAGCGCTCAGACCCAGCTCTAAAATACACACACACACAGAGACAGAGAGACTAAGACATGACATCTACTCACATGTGCTCTACAACCGTGCTCTACAGAATGAGAGATACAGTCGGAATTTCAGCTCTGAGAAGATGGGTTAAAATAACCAAAGGAGAGGAAAAGGGAGAACAGTTAGAATGAGAAATATAATGTGAGAGAGGGGGAAGAGAGGAATTTGGCCAACTCAAGCCTCCACATTTAAACGCAGATTAACAACCCATAAAAAGGACGGGTGCATTCAGTAACTCGCCTGCTTCCAGCATCTTTCTCCCGTCAGGCAGCAGGTTGAGTAGCACAGACAGTCTGTTCCATAGGCTCTGAGAACTCTACAGACAGAGTAACGGAATTACATTGAGTGGAAGACAGACAGTGAAACAAACACCAACAATGATGAAGACTATAAACCCTTGCCTTGAGTCAGCTGATACAAAGCCCAACTTGTATTTTGCCAATTTGATGCAAATTAGATTTTTCAATGCATACTGTTTGTAAGTGCTTCTAGGTTAGTGAAAAATCCACCCCCTTTACCTGTGCACACATGACGATAATGTCAGTGTTTGTTCTCAGCCAATCCACAAACACCTTGACCACCTGGATGAGCCCCTGATTGGTCAGAATCTCCAGTCTCTCCGAGAGGGTCGTCTCACTGTGTACTGATTGGTTGCTGTGCACGCTACACTCTGAATCGGAATCCACCTCTACAGGGAATGGACAAATAAAGAAATGAACATGTGTTTAATCTACACCTTAGTTTTCTTAGGGGGAACCTCAGAGGTACTGTTATAAAATTGCATTTTTTAGCGATGTGCTGTTACTCAATGTAGTCATTGGGAAAGACTAAAAACAGACTAGAAGTACATCATTATATTGGTATATTAAAGTTCCTCTTTAAACTCATCATATCCTGCACTATACAAAAATCACATAGTAATCAACACAGCATCAATGTGTGTGGGTAGGTTACTGACCATTGTCGTTGGTTCCGTTGGTAGTGCCGGGGCCGGCGCCGGAGGGTGAGTCCCCTGGGGGAGGAGGGGTCTCCTGGGAGGGGGTGGTGGAGGAGGCATCTGGGTCGGTGGGGGTGGGCGTGGGGTTGGTGGCGGAGCTGTGGGGCCTCAGCAGCATGTTGCTGAAGGTGGGTGCCAGGCGGAAGCAGCGCTTGGCCTGGAACAGCTGGGACGACATGGCCTGGAGGTTACTGCTGATACTGGGGTCGCTGGGCAGGAGGGGGCCGTTGGTGGCCGGAGGGGTGTCCCCGTCCCCCCTGGGATCGGCTTGCTCATCCTCGGGCTGCTGCTCCCCCCGAGGAGGGGTGTCCGAGTTCTCCAGGATTTCCGAGTCCTCTATATCCTCCAGGTCGGAGCGGGACTCCTGGCTGTTCATGTCCGAGTCAGTCTCCACGTCGAAGGCCGTGCCCCCCTCCTCGTCTTCCTCCGAGCAGCTCTCCCAGGTTCCCTCCTCTGTCGGGTGCTCCCTCCCTCTCTTGCTCTCCTTCCCCAGTGTGGAGGGGGTGAGTGGGGGTCCTGAGGAAGCGGCCCCCGGAGTCAGCGCGGCCCCTCTGCTCTTCTTCTTCCTCCTCCTCCTCCTCTTCTTCATCGCTCTCGAAGCCCTCGCTCAGGTCGCTCTCGTCTTCTTTGCGGGTGGCGCAGCGGCGGCGGCGCAGCATGGAGAGGCGGGCGTACTTCTTCTTCTGCTTCTGTTTCTCCTCCTCCGCTTTCCGCTCACCGATGCCTGCTTTCTTGGCCGCGGTGCTCCGGTGGCCCCCCTCGTCCTCCTCATGGTCCAGGGAGCCGTTCTGCAGGGGCCTCTCCTCCGAGGTCAACGGGTCAGACGGGTCTCTCAACTCAGAGTCGTCTAGGAGCAAACATTATTGTTCCATTAAATTGTTTTATTTCAAAGTATAATTTTTCAGAGGATTAACTGAGAACGTGAATAGTGTATGGGCATCATGAAGTTAGCTGTGAGTGGTGTTCTCACCGGTGTTGTCGGTTTGGAGCGGGGGCACCTGGCTCTCCCCCTCCTCCAGCTCAGCCTGCAGGCGGATGTTGACATGGTTCACCAGGTGGGAGAAGAGGGCCAGCGTGAAGGCTATAGACGCACTGTACTGCTTGGACCCTACACAAACAAGTCAACATGTCAACTTCGCATTACAAAATTCAACAACAATGAAACAACATATTCCCTTATCTCTCCCTTGCAGTATGTCATATCCTCGCATGCCTACCGACTCAGCCCTACTTAGAGCACCCTTTGAGCGTAATGTTTGAAAAGCGATGTTAAAAAATATATCACATCTATATTCTTACTGACCTCCCCGCTTCAGGCTGTGCACTACCATGAGGCAGGTGACCACCATCTTGAAGACGAGGGCGTCGGGGAGCAGGGCGCAGGGCGAGTCGTGCTCTTCATGCTCCTCCTCGCTGGGGGAAGTGACCTCGTGGCCGTGGAGCGGCGAGGGCAGGTAGAACAGCACCAGGTTAAAATCCTCCAGCACCGACTGACACAGAGAGGTCAGCTCTGTCTCCAGCAGACTACTCACAGGGAGGAGGAGAGAAATGGTAAGACATTACAAACACGGTACCCAACAGACAATAGAAAGCACTTTGAGACCGAGCAAAGGGGGTTATAAAAATCAATTGTTATTATCATCAGATAGCTGTGTCATATATGGACAAAATGTTGAGGTTCCTATTGAGATAAATGACTAGGGCCTAAATCCATGGTGAATAGTGAAAGTCCTAACCTGTTCTTGGGCTGCAGTAGACTCTGCAGGTACATGAAGCTCACCAGAAGTTGCTTGATGTCCTTGGATCTGGAGAGAAAACAATTGAAGAAACAGTAAGGATCCCAAAGACGACTATCTCAATTCATGTTTCAAGGCTGACTTAGTGATTTGTCATTTTAGGGCTGTGGTGAGAGGAAACCAGACTGACCTTTGCCGTGAGGGAGACAGCTTCTTCATCTCCTGTTTCTTCACCTGGTGGTACATCTTAGCAGCTTTATCAAACAGACGCTTCAAATTCCCGTAGGCCCCCTCGAAAGGAGTCTCTGACTGTATACTGTTCAAACACGGGAACATAGAGGAGAAAACCATGATCAGTACTTGGTGTAAGGCCTGTGACGATACCAGTATCGCAATATTTTTCCATGGCAATGAAAACACGAAGCAGACCCAAGTCTTTAGTCTTTAAAAACCTGTTGTATGTAAAATAGTGTGCTATAGCTTGGAAAATAAATACATGTGACTGGATGACAACATAATGTTTCTTTCCAACATCAGGGCTGTTTTCCTAACGAAGTTCAATCCGCTTCGCGTTTTGTTTCCTTGCCATGATACTAACGAGTATTGCAATACTGGTATCGTCCCGGCACCACTTGGTGGCGAGTCTTTTTTTTTAACGTGTTCTGGCTCTGAAGTTGGGCTTCTTCTCCTAACAGACTGGTTTCAGAACCTCTTCCATTTCAAAACATGTCTCCTATTTAGAGCCTACTGAACGTGATCCAAATAGTAATTGCTACTATGAAGATATTTCTCCCCAGCAGTGTGACTAAATTGCCCCACTGAGGTAGAGAACAATAGCACAGCTACAGCATAGCCTACATATCAGTCATAGATAGACTGTGGCTGTTCTGCAGTAAATCTAGACGTGTCAAAGTCTCCTCTCACCAGCGTAGGTAGTAATAGGTGGCCTCCACGTTGTAGAATTTACTCCCCGCCAGTGTACCTAACTGATTGAAAGGCATTCCTGAAAACACAACATCAAACACTTGTCAATATCATGGCACACTAAAGACATTGCTTTCCTTTAGCAGCGGCTATTTAATGTTGACTTTCAGTTCGACTGATGAAGCTCTCTGAAGCCCTCTCCAAAAAACTGAAAGTTTTAAATGTGGATCAGTAATTTCTTAAGACTGAATGCCTTTTCCTGGCCCAAATGGCCCGCTAACAGTCACTGAATGCCCCCTTCCTGGCCCAAATGGCCCCCTAACAGTTCAGCTAGATCACTATGAGCTGCGTAAAGCTTTGACCAGTCATTTGCTCAATCAATAAGTGCTGTGTGAGTTCATCACTATGTGGGCAATATAACAATAGTAATTCATTTGTAGATGATGGTGGTGTGAGTAAACCGGTTAGTGTAAAAAACAGTGGTTAATGTGCTGTGAAAGAGAGGGCTGGTAACACCTAGTTGTCAACTCACCTACGTGCGGCGTGACAGACAGTGCCTGGTGGTAGAACCGCTCTGCCAGCTGCTCAGCCTCCACCCCAGCCAACTCGTTCTGGTAACGGGCTGCGGAAAACATTCAAACAACCTCCCGTAAACCTCTCCTGTACATTCAAATCAACGTGACCTTGGATTTGGGGAATGTAATTCCGTGGTCATACAAATAAGGTTGTCTCAAATCTCTTTGGTGAGAAAGATCAAGTTTGTATTACCTAGATCTCCCAGGTACACCAGGCAGCGATGGCAGGCCATTTGGGCCCACTCCATCTCCTTAGGGGTGGCTGATACCGGCTTCTTCCGACCTACAAAAACAAATACAATCATTTATACACTGTGTCAATCACAGATACCACTGACCTGTGTGTGTCTGTGTGTCTCACCGATGAGGGGGTCAGTGACATGGGTCCAGTCGATGCAGTCCTGCATTTCCAGCTGGTAGTGGGACTGGATGTAGAGCAGCAGGTGCTGGTAGAAGCCCACGCCAGCTATCAGGTGAGTCCTGTAGGCACACTCCAGGGCACTGCGACTGTGGATATGCTGCAGAAGACATGGAGAGATAAGAGGGGGCCAGGCAATGAGAAGAGTAAAGGGTTGTGTGTAGGGCATGAGGAAAGATAAAGTGTGCATGTCTGAAACCTCAGCAGTCACTGTACTGGCCACACTGTCATAACATTTCCCCAATCACTTACGGTGTTTTCACACATGGTCCCTTTTAGCAAATGTTTGTGAACTCAGTGCGGTTTGCTTAATTTTTTATGCAGTGTTAACACTCCAAAAGGAAATCAGACCCCTCAAGAGCCCCCGAAGCGAACCGAACTGAGACAATTCCGCTGTCCGGTTCCATTTTAGGGCAATGCCCCCCAGGTTCGCTTGTGATTACACACACTACTGCAACACCGTTTCCCCTGCCATAAACCCTCACATTGGTGCCACAAGACAGAAGATGATGATGTGCAGGTTCGTGGAAAAAAAAGTGTGCCGTTTTTGGATAATTGATTAGCGATTGTCAAGGACACACAGACATTCCAAAATGTGTGGAGTTTTTAGTTCCGATTATTTGTTTGCAATATGCGATCTTTAAGAGAGCTTCATACGCCATTTATTCGATTGTGGGGTTTGAATAGTATGAGAAGACAACATATTTGGTGAGAATCACAGCATATGGTCCAAAATTGATGTTAGCTCTTAAAGGGGCGGTAGCCTAGATTGGGTGTACAATTTTCAATTACAGCATTATTTAATCTGCAGTTATTCTTCTGCTATTTATTCTGTTACGAATAATATTTACATGTTAATAGTATCTTCTGATTACATTTATTATGTCTCATCTTTTAACTAAATGCAATATATTAGATACCAAAATGTAAGTAGGTATATCTAGCTGTCCAATAACACGTTTTGATGAAATGGCTTGTCCCAGAGTGCATTGAGTGAATGATGGAAAAAGATCTTGCTTCCTTTCTAAATATAGCAATGTGAATGCAAAGAGGACATGGACCATAAAATGGATAAAGTGAACTGGCAAAAGAGTTGAGTCCTCATTCAAAGGCAAGGGCAGTGTGAATACAAAGAGAACAGAGTTCTTTAGCTTATTTTTTACCCCAGAGTTCACTTTAAAGAGGACGGAGATCAGTTATTTTAAAGTGGCCTATATGTGAAAGAAAAAAAAACACCTGTACCTTCTTGTTGGTCTTGATGACCTGGATGACCTCGTAGTAGACCTTCCTCCACAGAAGCTCCTCTGCCTTGCGACCATAATCCACAGGGTGGAGAAACATCAGTTTCACACACAGTTCCCGCAACCTGGGCACAGAGGACGGACAAGGTTGGGGTTAGTGCTTTGCCTTTTGCCTTAGTGTTTAGAGCAAAGGTTAGAGTAAAATGCTTACTTGTTGCGAAGGCTGATGTTTTCAGGCTTGAAGACCTCCCTGTACGATGACTTACTGCCAATGATGACATCCAGCTTGTGTACCGACTCAACCACTGCCCTGAGCACACAAGAGACAGTTATTATGGCAGGTGAATTACTGGTAATGGTTTTTGGAGGAATGAGCAAACTCATTCTTATCAATGTAGGGAACTAACGTTAGCTAGCTAGTTATAACTGGAAAATATCAACTGTCATACATGTCTCACACTGAGATAATGGTTGACATTATAGTAAACGTTACCTAACTAGGTAGGTAAATCTAAAGGGGCTTGTGAAATATGGTGTTTCTCCCTAACTAGGCCTAGTTATGCATGTTAAAAGTAGCCAGTCGACATTATTAATATGGTGTTGTTCTAGTTAGCTGCTAAATAACTAACTAGCTAGGTAGCTAGCAAACAAGGTAGGCCTATCAGCTAACTAGTAACTTACTGTGACAATACTGACAGCTGAAGCTATCATAACTAACGTTAGTTAACCAATTAACGTTATTTAGAGAGCAAGTTGACACGGCACAGGAATAAGTTAGCTAGCTAATAGCACAGTAACGTTTACTTGTTACTGTTAGTGCTCAGTTGTCCAGAAGCTAACGTTAGTTAGCTAATTAGCTATCCGCTTCATAAGTTCACACTGGGCTACATCTGGCTATTTGAAAACCATATTATCGGAAATGTCCAACTACTTCGTAAAAATGTCATTGTCCTTCGACTAAGGCTCCGTGACAAGTCCAGTTAACTACCTAACGTTCGCTGATGCAAGTCACAGACAGACAGATGACTGGATAATTAGCTAAGTAGCTAGTTGAATAGATGGCTTGCTGGTTAGCAAACTAGCTAAGGTTAGCTATCCATTTATTTTACTACTGTTAGCTAGCTATGTAATGTTTCCCAGTAAAAGGCCTTTAACTCACCTGTATAGCCGCTTGATGAGGAGGACTTTTGCCTCTGGTTCGCTATCCTGCCCAGGTCCACTCATGTTAGCATCTGGTGCCAGGCAAGAGTCACACACTCCAGTCCACCCTCTTCAAACACGCACTTGTCAGGGTTGCTCTGGGCTTGCCTCACCGGCAGTGACAACTGTGTTGACTATCGAGCTAGCAGCTCTCTCTTCCACTGTATATCTCTCCTCTCCCGCTAGCCACCTATGTCGCTTTCGTATCTTATGTCGCTTGGCAAACCCCCCTCTACCCATCCGTTCGGAAACCGGTTAGGAGAGGGAATGCCACAGTATTTTCGTTAATTCCCGGTCAGCTATCACACCCCGATGGGTTCCTTGTGTTGTTCCCCGTTCCAGACATCGCTACGAGTACGAGGGCCGCCATTAAACAGCGACTGCCTGAATAGCGCGAGACTTCGCATGATGCGTTCGTGCCAAGGTTCGCGCGTTACAAGGGCCGTCACTAGTTACCACAGCCACAAAGTCATGAACTCCGCGGTTGGCATCCAATTTGTTGCATTACCGCCACCTACTACACTGGAGTACAACTCCCTTTTCTTTTCCTTGAAAAATAAAATAAAACAAAGCAAAGAAATACCCTACCATCTAACATTACACTCACAAATTCAAAACTATTACTAATAATTAACCCCACCCTTCTCCATTATTTAAATATACTCATTCCTACCTCATGCCCTCAACCTGAAAGGATGGGACATCACCACTTAACACTCCCTGTAACTCTTCTGATGTCAAGTCTCGCACACTCTCTGCAGCTGCCACCACAACCTCAATTTTCTATGACTTACGTTCCATCCCTGCAGTACAATTAATAACCATTGCTATAAACTCTAAAAATCCAATCTTACTGAAACATATATCACTTGCTTGCCTATCCCACCGTACTGGTACATATCTCCTACTCTCACCACTCCCCCCCTTGACCCCTCTTCCTCTACTTTCTTCACTGCCTCCGCATATGACAATTTCTTCTCTACTCTTACCCTGGAAACCTCAATCTGCTTCTCTCACACTGGACATGTCTGATCCCCAGCCCCATGGCCACCCCAACTGCTTCACACTCCTTTATCTCATGCCCTTCTGCACACTTCTCACACCTTGGAATCTCCCTCCTACATACTGCTGCCACATGCCCATAAGTTTGACACCTGTAACAACGTAATGTACTCGGCACATAAGCTCGCACAGGATAACTTATATATCTTAATTTCACTTTGTCAGGCAAAGACTAAACATGAACTTCGCCATTTCCACAATTTCTCTTTAAATACAAATATTACTTTACCTTAACTCTAACCTTAACCACACTGCTAACCTTATGCCTAACCCTAACATTAAATTAAGTTTTAATAATTAACTTTTTTTTCACGTTAATTTTTCTGATATAGCCAAATTTGATTTTGTGGCTGTAGAATCTAGTGAAGTGAAACCTAGCTAGATTGCCAGACAGCCAGAGTCATTATGATTAATTTGTTTGTGTAGATTTGTGATCCCTGGCTATGTAAAACGTTTGTATATATATTTTTGTGATTAGGGCTGCATTGCACAATTACCATATAACCGGGTAACCAATGGTTATTGATGAAGACTGTCATGAAAATTAAATAAGAGTCATAACCACCAAAAAACAACAACACCTGACTAAAGACAGGACTCCTGGGCATTTGTGTAGTTGAGTTAGTTTCTGGACTCTACATGGATTCTCCAACTTGCTGAAACAACCAATGTGTTGTAGCAAACACATTTTTGGTTGCCTAGGCAACAGCCCCCTCCTTAAATTTAAATTTTAGTCATTTAGTGCATTAATCGTGCCCCTTTCCTGCAGTCAAATGACCTAGTGGCCTTAAGGGTGGAATGTTATTCATATTTTTTTCATAATTACTAAAACATAAAAATATATATATATATGAAAATCCGGTGTTTCTATGTCAAACAGTTCTGTTATATTTCAGTCTTCTGGGATGTATATAAAGTGTAATATTGTGATGCAAACTCAAAATTGAATACATTTCAACTCTATATCTGACATGGTACAGGTGTCTTTTTTTTAAAGCCCATAACCATGTGTGTGAGGTGTATACTTTTGTTTCAAAGTAGATTCGTTTAAAACTAACAAGAAACATGTTGTGTGACCCTGATTTAGCCCACTGCAGTATTAAGATAGCTAGGTGGGACAACCACATATCACAGTCATAGTAAGTACATTTTTCCTCAATAAAGTAGCTATCACAAAAGTCAGAGCTAGTAAGAGGGAAAATAGTTAAGTGCGAGTGTTAGCTCACAAAAGTCTTTTTTTTAAAAACACTGAACAAAAATATAAACACAACATGTAAAGTTTTGGTCCCATGTTTCATGAGCTGAAATAAAAGATACACACAAAAATCTTATTTCTCTAAAATGTTGCGCACAAATTTGTTTACATCCCTGTTAGTGAGCATTTCTCCTTTGTCAAGATAATCCATCCACCTTACAGGTGTGGCATATCAAGTAGCTGATTAAACAGCATGATCATTACACAGGTGCACCTTGTGCTGGGGGCAATAAAAGGCCACTCTAAAATGTGCAGTTTTGTCACACAACACAATGTCACAGATGTCTCAAGTTTTGAGGGAGAAACAATTGGCATGCTGACTGCAAGAATGTCCACCAAAGCTGTTGCCAGATAATTTAATGTTAATTTCTCTACCATAAGCTGCCTCCAACGTTGTTTTAGAGAATTTGGCAGTACGTCCAACCGGCCTCACAACCGCAGACCACGTGTATGACATCGTGTGGGCTAGCGGTTTGCTGATGTCAACGTTGTGAACAGAGAGCCACATGGTGGCGGTGGGGTTATGGTATGGGCAGGCATAAGCTACGGACAACGAACACAATTGCATTTTATCGATGGCAATTTGAATGCACAGAGATACCGTGACGAGATCCTGAGGCCCATTGTCGTGCCATTCATCTGCCGCCATCACCTCATGTTTCAGCATGATAATACACGGCCCCATGTCGCAAGAATCTATACACACTTCCTGGTACCTGGAAAATGTCCTAGTTCTTCCATGGCCTGCATACTCACCAGACATGTCCACCAATGAGCATGTTCTGGATGCTCTGGATTGATGTGTTCCCACCAATATCCAGCAACTTCGCACAGCCATTGAAGAGGAGTGGGACAACATTCCACAGGACACAATCAACAGCCTGATCAACTCTATGCGAAGGAGATGTGTCGCACTGCATGAGGCAAATGCTGGTCACACCAGATACTGACTGGTTTTCTGATCCACGCCCCTACCTAATTTTTAAGGTATTTGTGACCAACAGATGCATATCTGTATTCCCAGTCATGTGAAATCCATAAGGACTGATTTCCTTATATGAACTGTAACTCAGTAAAATCTTTGAAATTGTTGCATGTTGCATTTATATTTTTGTTCAGTATATATTTTCCTCTTTTTGGGGGGGTGCTGTGGGATTATTTAAGATACTATTTGAAGAGGTAGGGTTTCAGATGTTTTCGGAAGACTGCTGTCGTAACTTCAGGGGGAAGCTGGTTCCACCATTGGGGTGCCAGAACAGAGAAGAGCTTGGGCTGGTGTCACGCCCTGGCTCTGGGGACTCTTAAATGTTGAGCCAGGGTGTGGATTTTCATTGTTTAGTTTTCTATGTTTTTGTTCTAGATCATGTTGATCTATGTTGGCCAGGGTGGTTCCCAATCAGAGACAGCTGTACTTAGGCAGCCTGTTGGCACCAGTTATTTGGTGGGATCTTGATCCGTAAAGGTTTGGTGTGTGTAACTTTAGGACTTCACGTATCGTTGGTTTGTTGTTTTGGTTTTGTTCGTGTGTTAAGTACTAATTAAAGATGTACGCTTATCACGCTGCGCCTTGGTTCCATGAGTCTTCCTGTAACGATCGTGACAGAAGATCCCACCTAAAAAGGACCAAGCAGCGTGTCCAGGAACAGACAGCCTGGACTTGGGAGGAGATCCTGGATGGGAAGGGATCCTGGACTTGGGAAGAGATTCAGGCCGGAATGGATCGCCGTCCTTGGGAGGAGACTGTGGAGGCGCGCTACAGAGAGGAGCAGCGGCATCGCAGAGGGTACCAGCCGAGGAGGAAGCCCAAGAGACAGCCCCAATAATTTTTTTTGGGGGGGCTAAAAGGGTGGTTGGCGGAGCCTAGAGT